TTTTTTTCCTGGGCTCTGAGCGAAATCGAAACTCATTGTTTTGTGTCCTGTCTTCCCAAACCAGTGTAAACAAGTCTGCCCTGCATAGTACAGGGTTTCCCTTCAGAGACTTGGAAACAACCAACACGTCTCTCCGAGTAAGCACACCCAGCACTTTTCCTCTTAAGTTTTTCTTTCCAGACTCCTCCTCATCTTGGTTGCTTTCCTTCGGGCGCATTCCAGTTGGTCAATGTCTTTCCTAAATATGGTGCCCAACATAGCAATCACAAGAAAAAAGTCAAGGAAACAGCACATCCACTTAAGACAAATGATGGCAAGCAAGCTGGCCAATGCCTCAGAAGACAAGCTCAGGATCCAAAAAGATTTTGACAAACTTCAACAATGGGCCCTATCCAACAACATGAATTTTAATGTGGAGAAAAGCAAGGTTTTACACCTGGGCAGGAAAAAAACAAAGGTAAGAACAGAACAGAACAGAATAGAATAGAATAGAATAGAATAGAACTGGAAGGGACCTTGGAGGTCTTCTAGTCTAGCCCCCTGCTCAAGCAGGAGAACCTATACCATCTCAGACAAATGACTGTCTAGCCTCTTCTTAAAAGTCTCAAGTGATGGAGCACCTACGATTTCTAGAGGCAAGCTGTTCCTCTGGTTAATTGTCCTCTCTGTCAGGAAGTTTCTCCTTAATTCCAGATTGCTTCTCTCTTTGGTCAGTTTCCAACCATTGTTTTTTATCCTGCCCTCTGGTGCTTTGGAGAATAACATGACCCCCTTATTTGTGGCAGCCCCTCAAATATTGGAACACTGCTATCTCCCTTATTTCTTCTTTTCTTTAGTCTAGCCAAACCCAAATCCTGCAGCAGTTCTTCGTATGTTTTAGTCTCTTTGATCATCTTAGTTGCTCTTCTCTGATTTTTTTCCAAACTCTCAACATCTTTTTTATGATATGGTGACCAAAATTGGCTGCAGTATTCCAGGTGTGGTCTTACTAGAGTTTTATAAAGCGGTAATAATACTTTGTATGATCTTGATTCTATGCCTCTATTTATACAACCCAGGATTGTGTTAGCTTTTTTGGCTGCTGCTGCTGCTCACTGCTGGCTCATAGTCAAGTGATCGTCCAGGTCTTCAGGGCTTTGCAAAAGAGAGTCAAAGAGTGGGCCAATCTATCTCCATGGGGAAGATGTTGCAGAGGGAGGGGGCCACCAGAGAGGGCCCTTCTTCTTGGTCCCGCCTTGGACCTCCTTAGGAGAGGAAACCCATAACATTCCCTGCCTCCCCTCTGGTGGGTCAGGTAGGTCTGATTGGGAAAAGATACTCCTTCAAATAACCTGGTCCCTAGCCATGTAGGGTTTTGAACCTTGACTAGGACCCCAAAGCCCGTGCAGTTTGTGTAGCAGCAGTAAGCCCAGCCACAACAAGAAGCACCCATTACCACTCACTGTGCTGCAGTGACAGTGTGAGCATTAACAGGCCAATACAAATACCAGGCAAAGTTATGAGAAAGATGATTAAGCAGTTGGTTTGTGGACCTTGACGGGAGCCAGAAGGGGATTATCAAGACTGGGTCATGTCAAACCAACCTGATCTATTTTCCTGATATAGAGACCAGTTTGGTTGACCACAGAAATAACTTGGACATAAATGTACTTTAGCTTCAGGATTGAGCAAAGCCTCCCCTGAGATCCTAGACCAGAACATGTGCTGGATGAACCATTAGATAAACATGGGTACCCACCAAGTGTACGTTAATGGCTCTGCTGTTGAGAGAAATCCAAGTCTTCTCAGCTTGTGTTCCTCTGCAGTTCCACTGTGGTCCTTCCTCTCTGTTACGCCTTGGATGGACCACACATAAAATGTTGCCTTCAGGTCTGGGCACCACGTTTCAAGAAGGACAGTTGGCAAAATGGAGCCTGTGCAGAGGAGAGCAACCAAATTGACAAGGGAAATTCCAATGAAGAACATTTGGAGATGTTGCATGTGCTTCGCTATAGTTTTGTGGGGAAATGTGGAAACTCTTTTTGTCTCTGAAGGGCTGTCAGAAGATAGGGAAGGGATGTTTAAAGTTGTTCCAACATTCAGGGCAAGGAATGGTAGCCCAGATGAGAAGGGATTCATTTCTGTCAGACACCAGGAAGCATTCCCTAACCATCGGCTCTATTCAGCAATGGAACCGCCTGCCTCAGGAGATGGCGACCTCAGTTGCCTTTAAGGTATCCTTCCAACTTTAGCATTTTATGATTCTGGATCACATGGAAGTTCATTATTTCAGAGGGCACAACACAGCAACAGCTTTAAATCACGGAAAGGCAAATTTTGACTGAAAGTAACGAAAAGAGCCAACGATGACAAAACGATGGTGGACTCTTCCTCACTGAGAAGGATCAAGCAGAGCCTTGATAGCTACTCATCAGAAGGGTGTCATGCAGAGGGGAGAGCCTTCATGGCCCCAGTGACTCTTCTAGGATTCTGTTTCAGAAAAACATCTGGTCCACCAGCAGGTGTGAAGCATGAATATTGGCAGAACTCGATTCCCTTGCCCACTTAACCTAAAGGCCTCTCATGCTCCAAGCCAAGCTATCACGTCTGAGGCCTCAAAGGCTGCAAGGAGCTCCTGGGATGTCAGCCAGGCTGGTCACCTTCAGATGTTTTTCTGTTCCAGGTGGCTGGCTTGTTCCAGCCGGCCATCCTGCTCCCTTAGGAAGCTGTTGACAAAACATGGGGGTGGGGTGGGTTGGGGTAGAGGGAGAGAACAACTCAAAACCAGCTAGCCTTACTAAAATGCTTAAGGGGAAAATGCAAGTTAAGGCCATTCCTCTTTCAAGGTCAGAGTCTCCATGTCCCCAGGCGCTGCACATACAACACTCTAAGCAACCTTTAAGCACACGCATACACACACGCACACACACACACACACACTTCCTTGACGGCATTTCAATCCAAATTTAGGTAACTTGAGAACAAGCAGGCCTGCTGGACACTGGGTCTCTCCCTGTTGCCACCCGTGCCTCTCAGCCTCAGGAGCTTCCCAGGACTTGTCAGCCTCGTCACCAGGCAAAGCTGGCAGTGCACAAGCAAAAGTCCACGTCCCAGAGGAGACCTTGTCATGGGGCAGGGACTTATTGAAACCTCACGTGGGGAGAAAGAGGGTCTCCACCAGGCAAGAGGACCATTCACTTCATTTTCAAGTTCCTAGTTCGGTAGAAGCTGCATCCCTTCCAAAAAGTGGGTGGGGGAGCTGCTTCTGCTGCTACCACCGGCCCTCCCTGCCCACCCCTGGTTGGATAAGGAGAAGACTGAAGTCTCTAAAGACTTTGATAATAAAGATAGGCCAAAGAAGCCCCAGCCCTTCTTCCAGGTGGTTTCCCATCTAGAAGGGGGGGGGGGCTGGCTGAGCCCTGCCAAGCCAAGGACGGGGAGCTGGCTGGTTCTCTTTACACCTGAGCCAGGAAGGGGCTGCAGCCAAAGGGGGCAGGAGGCCTTAGTGGGGCAGAGGGGAGGCCTTGACTCTCAGGGGCAGGGTTCATCTTCGGATCGCTCTCAGGTTCATCCTCAGCTTTTTCTGATTTCTTTCTTATCCAGAGCCCCTTTCGAAAGGGCTGAACCTTGTGACGACTGCCAGATTCCTCCTTGGGTGGCTCTGGCGTTATATTTGCCTCCTGCTTTTCCAACGGGGTCCCCTTGGCTCCCCCACTTGATGTTCCTCTGAGGTCAGCCGTGCATACAGACAGCAACTAAACCAAGCAAACCAGGGCCAGCAGACTTTTGAAATCATATAACAGATGTTCATTTTCCGTTTACCTGCATTTCCTTTTTTGACGCTTTAGGTCCCCTAAAGCCTGGGAGCTTTTGTCCTCTGGCCCTGCCAAGCCAAGCCAGTGGGAGCACCGGGGAGAAATGATGGAACCGAAGAGGAACAGGATTTGCCCACTTTTGCTACGCTTGTGAAAGGCATGAATAGCTCTTGCATGGAAAGAACCAGGGAGCCGGAAGCCCTCAACCACCTTGGATGGAAGGCCTCAGCCATCCGTCAGCCTGGATGCTTCACGGCCAGCCTTAGATTCCTCCAGGGCAAGTTTCAGGCCACTGGCCTGAGGACGAGAGGCACAGTGGCCAGTCCTGGGCTCTCTCTGCTTCGCCATCTCTTGGAGGAGAGGAGGAGGAGCCCTCCCCTGCCTTTGGTGGGCTGTTCGCCCTTGCAGCCCACCCTGAACACAGGGTAACTGAGGGGCCTTTCTCCTCTGCTGGCAAATGGCACCTGTGACCCATCTGGGAGCAAGAGGGGGATGTGAGGGGCCCAGGACAGGTGGGCCTCTGCCTCTCTGCTGCCCAGCACGAAAGCAGTTGTGGGGAAGGAAGGCAATGGTAGGGCTGGGTAGGAGCAGCAGGGAGAACTGGCTATGGAATACTTCACCAGTCCTGAAGCCAAGAGTGCCACAAGCAGTTACTCATTAATAGATCACCTCCACACCCACATAAGCCACCCCATCCTAGGGTGGGACCAGCCATCCCTGTAAAGCACACAGGCCAAGCAGAGAAGCCTGCAGAAACCGAGGTGCATTACATATTGTGACTTTCTGACAAAAGAGATGGCCCACTTGTACCAAGCTGCATCAGATTCCCACAGCTTCAACTGTTCCCATCTCATGCAATGAAGTTCCTTTTGAATTATGGACTTTTTTGCAGGAAAGGATTTGAAGGCTGGTTGCTGAATATAGCAATAGTGGTATGTGGTGTAAGTAAAGCATGCATATGAATCCAATGAATGCTTAATGAGCGCTTCAGAGTTGAGCAGGAATGAGTGGTGCCCTTTTGGCTGTTCCGTGCATTTACAGTTAGCTGTATCAGGAATACCGGTGACATTTCATGCCTCTGTTGCGTTGGGGACACACATATATATATGTGTACTTTTGAATGCAGACAAACTATTGTCAATTGACAATCCAAATGATGTCAGACAGACTGTATGGTGCAGCAAGGAACATGGATTTAAAAACTAATTATGAACAACCAAGGCAGCCTTATTTAATAGACAAAAAGGAATGAACAATTTATACATAAATGGTGAAAAACAAGATGAATGTATATATCCCTGAAGGACGTTTACTGAAGACAGGAAGATGGATGGGGGAGTTAAGACCCACAATGTTGGCAAAGATGGTGGTGGCAGGAGGACCATTGCCCCAAAAGGCAAAGCAGAAGTGGCTCTGTGTCCTTCGGTCCACTTCATTATACTGCAGGGAGGTGGAAGTTAAAAAATAAATAATGAATTTATAATGAAATGTCTTCCCTTGGTAGCAAAGGGTGAAGTTGAATGGGGTTGGAACGGGTCCTTAAAAGTGTGTGTGCACACACACAATAACACAAGAGACTGCAGACTGAAGGTGCGATGAATGCAGGCCGAACACGGAGGGGCCCCCAGCACCGCAGGGGCTCTTTGGTGGCAGAGAGAGCTAAGCGCCTGGGAATCCAATGGCAAAACCAACATGTGAAGGGTGAACAAGTCAGGAGGAAGAGCAGAAAGTGGCTTTTCATTGAGACTTTCTCAGAACCAGAATGTGAGAAGCTTAAAGAACAAACGTCAGCCGGCCCAGGTGGTTGAGCCAGGAGGTTGACCGAGACCAAGCGGAGCAAAGAGGGAGCGAGGAGGGGGAACCCTTACAGCCCCCTTTCCTTTCTTATTTCAGGTCTTTTATTTTCTCTGACAGCTTTCCACTCCTTTCCACCCAAGCAATTGTATGCATTTGTGGAGAATCTGTCTTCCTGAACCTCTCCAAAATGCCACGGGTGCCACTGGCTCCGGAGACCTGGGCCACGGCAGAGTCTGTTGCAGAGCAGAGTCTGTGCCGCGCTGGCTCCTCTGCCTGGCCTGAGAGCCGGTACCCTGAAGACCCTCGGAGAAAGGCCCCCCAGAAGCAGGCAAAGCCCCCTTCAGCTCTCACAGCCTCTTCTTCTCTGGAGTCCCCCAGACAGTAGGAAAAGAGGAACACGACTGTTTTGCCAGACTTGCAAGAACAGCTTTTACTTCTCATTTCTAACACTGAACCCCAGGAAGGGCCAAGCAGCCCTCGGGGGCTCACCCATGGGCGGAGGCAGCAGCAGCAGCAGCAGCAGCAGAGGGGCTGGGCAGAGAGAGCCGCTCCTTCTGGGACTTTGGAGTGCCAAGAGGCCATCTCTCCGGCCTTCTCTCCACTAGGCCTACCCTTCCCATTTCAGGACATGGCTGGGGGGGAGGGGAACAGCACCCACCCCCTGGGGAGACACCTGAAACAGAGGCTTCAGCTCCCCAACCCTGAGCAGGAGCATCCACACAAGCACACAGGCCAACACACTGGCCAAGCGAAGCTTGCTCCTCAAGGCACAAGGGGCCAAACAGGACTCTGCCCAGCGGGGAGGGGACTGCCTGGGCATCTGCCCCCCCCACCCCTCTTGGTGAAGGGAGGCAGCCTCCCAAAGAGAAGAGCCTCTCCAGTTCCCCCTCCTGCTTCTTCCCGCTCAGCACGGCCTTGGGGGCTCCTCACACGGACACGCTGGCCGAGGACGCCAGGCCCAAGGCCTGCACCAGCTCCTCATTCAGGCCGCTCTTCAGGGTCCGCCTCACTGCAAGGAAGGAGAAAGGGGGGGTCAGGGAGACGCAGAGGCCCTCTTTGGCAGCAGGACTGGAGCGGCCTTGGCGGGGCCTGCTTTGAGAGGGGAGGGGGGGCAGGGAGACCTTTCCTCCCACTCCTCTTTTCCACATCAATCGCCCCCTCCAAGGGGGAGTGCATAGAAGCCACTTGGTGACTCCCCCAAAGTGACGGATCAGGCAACACTTACAGGACTTCCTGTTCCCGCGTGATCGCCGGCGCTCCTTCGCTGGGCCTGAGCGTGCAGGAGACCTCTGGGTCACAGACTTGACCAAGCGGTTCATGATCTCCTCAGAAGCATCCTCAGGAGAGCCAGCAGCTTCCTCCTGGGGGGTGGACCCACCAGCGGGACTTTGCTTCCCAGCACCTAAATGGGAAAACTCCTGAGAGGTGGAGGGAGTTGCTGACATGTTTCTGCAGGTGTGTGTGTGAGGTGCGTTGAACCAGCTCTCTCCCCTCTGATAATACCAGCATCTACAGCTGGCTGCCTTGTGCATCGTCCCCTTTTGCACCATTTAATTTGCCTCTGCAGGAAGACCTGGCCCCCACTGCCTGTCGCCACTGCAGGGTCAGGGCACTGACCTGGATTAGACCTCCACAAGAGATGGAGGGCAGCAGGTGAATACAGGGGAACCCTTAGCAATGCTGGGAGCTACAGAGAGAGAGAGAAACCGGAGGCATCCAGAAGGGGCTGGAAGGGGAAAGTGTGTGTGTGTGTGTGGGGAGAGATTGCTATCAGCTGCCAGAGAGCCCAAGAAAGGGAGCCCTGCTGAGGAGGATGCCGAGGCCGAATCTTGTGCCAGGCGCTAGTTCCTACCTCTACTGGCGCGAGAGCGGTGGCCAGGGCTTTCTGCTGGGGAGACAAGCAAGCTGGTCAAGTCTTTATGGCTGGCTTCTTCCTTTTGCTCCGGGCTGGCTGACAACACAGCAGGAGGAGCTGAGCCGTCTTCGGTCTTGCTGGCCACAGCAAACTTCTCCATCTGCAAAGAGAGAAGATGTCCAAGGGAGTGCAAAGGAAGCAAGTCCCATGTCTTCATGGTGGTTCTTCCTCTTCCCTCTGTTCTTGGCAACCGTAAGGCCAGCCCAGAGGACCAGGAGGGGAGAGGATATAGGGATCACCTCTTTTTGTGTAGACTCAAACAAAACTTTTTGAGCAACCTTGGATGGCTCACCTCAGTAATCATCCTGCCCCGTGTCTTGTTCCTCTCCCGACAGGCTGCCCGCTTCTTCTGCTGCTGCAGGACACGCTCTCGGCAGGTATGGTACTCCAGAGCAAACTCCCGCAAAAGCCGGCAGAAGCTGGTAACCCTCATGTTCTGTGCTGAGTGTGCGTCGTAGCCCAGAAACAGGAGAAAGGAGTGGAACCTTGAGAGAGAGAGAGAGAGAGCATCCGTGAGCCGGAGTGGCACTGCCGCAGAGACAGGCCTGAGGCCTCCAAGGCAAACTGCGGCTGGCACTGCTCAGGTATGTCGACCTATCCTCTTCCCTGGGAAGGACCTCTGGGAACCCCGAAAAGATTGAATGATGCTGAACCTGGACCAGTCTTCCTCTCCGGGGGGGGGGGGGGCAGCATTTTTGTTTTTCTGCTGCTCCATGCGTCCTTCAGCCCCCTTTGGAGGGGTCACTTCAGAGGGGGCTGAAGGATGCAGGGATCAGCAGAAAAGCAAAAATGCTGCCCCCCCCTCGGAGAGGAAGACTGCAGCTCTTGGGCAATAATTCCTCCAGGGACAATAATCCCTCACCATTCTATAGACTAAATCCCCATCTCATTTTTCAGCTTTCAAGCATAATCAAGGTCTTTTTTAAATTAGATATTTAGCAGCTTAACATTAAAAGAGCAATTACTGCAAAATAAGAAAACGAATTGCTTATTTTGGTGCAAATTGAACAAATGCACCAAAGAAAGCGGGGGGGGGGAGAGGGGTGACAGCAGTTTGTCCCAATTGAGCACCTGAGAAGGCAGAGCAAGCAGCGTGACTTCCTTGATAAGGCCACTTGCTTCTGCTGGCCCCATGCAGCCCTCGAGGCAATGTCCTTGGCTTCCCCCAGTTTTCTTCTGGGGGCGCCCCAGCTTCCATCCAGACATAGCCCTGATCCGAATCTATCCAGCTGCTGCAAGATCCAAGGGTGGGGAGATCCCTGTGGGGGCACCAGGCGAGGCAAGCACTCCAAGACTCTCCTTTGGACCCAGACACTGAGCCACTCGGTGAAATTCTAGCAATGCCATTTGGGAGCCTGTTTTCTGGATGGGAGGCCTTTAAGGGTGGAATAATTTCACCTCAGGGATGTGCAAAACTGTACCGCCTGTTTCTGAAAGATTTGGGCATACATTTCCCCCAAAATGTTCCAGTCTGGAAGTTTCACGGGAGACCCAACCCTTTCCAGAGTGAATCTCCGAGACCTCGGAGAGTATATCCCAGACACTCTCAAAGTATCCCCCCAAAGGACCCAGCAGGAGCACCTCTGTAACAGACAAAGAAAAAAACAATAAACAAAGCAACTTAGGCATTCCATAAGTTGCAGGAATATCAGAAAAACTTAGGATTTTCACCCAACACAACATACGTGCACATTTCAAACCCATGATAGACTAAAGCAGAAGCTTGTCAAATCCAAGGACAGCACCCAGACAAAACACCCAGTCAAAAATTAAGCAATGTGGTAGATGCCATACAATGCAGTGAGCCATGTGCAGATCTGTACATTGGGGAAACAAAACAACCACTTCACAAACGCAGGGCACAACATAGGAGAACTAACACATCAGGATAAGATTCAGCAGTCCACCTTCATTTAAAAGACAAAGGCCGCTCTTTCGAAGAAATTAAGGCCACATTTTGGACAGAGAGGACCTCTCTGAAAGAGGGGTCAAAGAGGCCATCTAGGTCAAGACTGAACAGTCCCCTCTCAACAGAGGGGGAGGGATATGACACCATCTATCTCCAATCTACAACACAGTCCTTTCAACAATTCCAAGAAGGCTACACACCCATTTGCACTACTTGGGTGACCCTGAGGACACAGATAAACCTCCAGATGACCTCAACGACTCTCTAAAGGAAGGCAAATGACCGGGTGTCTGCAAGGAGTATAAATCCTTCCATAACCCACCATCCAGTCAGAGCTGAAGAAGCTTCTTGGATGAGAAGCGAAATGTCTTCAAAAGAAAAACAAGAAAATTCAGCTGCCTCTTGAAAAAAGCACCTTTGGGATAATCTCCCAGAACAGGAAATAGTCTGCGGCCTTCCACACGGTCCAGGCCGCAAATGGGGAAAAAGCAGACTGTGAGGAGCTTTGCCCTCAGTTTCTTCATTCCCTCTGGCCTGGTTGTCCGTGCCCTTAATGCCTCGGACACAGCTGGAATTGAAGGCCCCCACCCAGTGCTGTCATCTTGCTGTGAAGTGGCCAATCCAAGGGTCAGTTCTGCTTAAAAGAAGCTCAGCCTTCTTTTGGCTGCCTGTGATCTCTCAGTGGCCCATTGCCATTCTCTTGTGGGAAACTGCTCTCTTTATAGCCATACACACAATAGAGGCCCCTCTTAACGAGCTTACTCGACCATCAGCAGTCAGACTATCTAGAGACACAGACCTGTTCAACACCCGCCGGTGGATGATCTTAAGGAGGCCAATCTTCTCTGTGCTGGCCTGTAGAAAATCCAGCAGCTTGTTCTTGAGTGCTGGCTTGCAATCGTGTCTTGCAATGGCCTTCAGGTGCTCCCAAGAGGCTTTGCATCGCCGTTCCAGCTGCAGGACACTTTCTGCCAGCTCCTCAAAATCCACCTGAGGAGTCAAGATGAGCACTGTAGATGTGCTGCCCCTGTGGGATTTGAGTGGGACCTCAGCACCCAAACTCAGCCTCCCAGGTGCAGAATGAGGGGAAGAAAGGCCCTTCACCTTGGCACACCGAGTGAGGGCAGCAATCTCTGAGTAGAGGTCTGTGGTGGTTGGGAACTCCACTACCACAAAGTGGCACAGGTGGTACAGGAGGCTTTGCCGGTGGACGGTGTCTTTTACCTCTGACACTTTGGCCAGGTAGCTGAGCTCAAACCCTCGACTCTGTAAGTGCAAGGAAGAGAAGAGGTTCTTTCTTGCTGTGGTGGAGGGAAGCCAGTCCAGAAATAGTCCACAAAGAGCAGAGATTCTGCCTCGAGTGGCCTTCAGAAGATCCCATTTTGATCAGGGATGCCTTAAAGGGCTTTTAAAAGGACTCTCAGGAGCAGGCTAGAGGAGGGACATGTGGGCAGGCTTTGGCTTAACGTCCCATCTTGGAAACCAGCCCCCAATCCCAGAGAATACACTAGGACAGACAGGGAAGAAGGCAGGTAAAAGCTTGCTTTGGTCATCTCCAAATACATTCTGATCGAACGCCTTGGCCTTGGGCAGGGCCAGGTGTCCCATCCACCACCTTCGGCTTGGTGGCATCTTGCTGGCGTTCTGCCATCAATCAGGGAACGGAGGGGGAACAAATGGGCAAGAGAGTTTTACTTTGCTAGGAGATCAGACTGGGGCAGATCTGACACCAGGCACGAGACTCTCCTAAAAGGCAGCCATGTCGTGCTTCACCTGGGAGCCATTCAGGAGGTTGCCCATGGCCAGAAGGGTAGCCAGAATACGCCTGAAGGTCTGGTTTTTGGTTAGCTGCTCCATGCCCAGCTTCAGATCGAAGAGGGGCTCTACAATTTCCTGGAGAGAAGAAAACAAAGCAGGTTCCGCTCAGAGTTGTCTGAACCTCAGGATGGGCAGCAAATAAATGTGATCAATAAAATAAAAAGGTAACAAAACCCTCACAGAATGGGAAACACTGAAAAAGGAAGGAGAGGGAAAATTCAGAAGAGAACCATCTGGCCAGACACTCAAGGCGTGGAGTGACACCCCCATCCCCAAGCCTACCAATCATGGCAGACAGCAATGCCGCATGTGCCTTGTATTAATAGGAATGCTCGGTTGCCAAAACGACACCCAGATTTGCCCTTCTTTGCTAGCCAGCAGATTCTTCTTGCAAGCTACCAGGGAGAGTCACCCTGAAATCCAGCTGTGCACCCCTTTCCTCCTGGTCAATCCATGCCCGGCACAAGTACCTTCTCCAGGGCTTCGTAGTCCAGCTTGAAAGCCCACAACTGGAGGCGAGCTGGGAGCTCTGCAATGGAGGAGAGCGTGAGCAGGAATTGCTCGGCTGACCCCAGAGGGAGATTCGGGTTTGCCAGTTGGGCCTCCTGGATCTTCTGCTTCTCCTCCTCTGTGGGAACCATGGTCAATATTTTCTGGTTTAAAAAAAAAGTCAGAGGGAACAAGGTTAGTCAAAACCTCCTTCGGATCCCTCGGAATCTCCTGACGTTCTCCTGCACAGAAAGCTTTCTGAAGCACTGAGGACACCCATCCGAAGGTACCCCAGGAAATCCCTTCTCACCTCAATCCCTTCCTTATTGATTGCAAACTCATCGAAGCTGAGAATGGCCGCCTTGATGACATGGATGGGAGGCAACACCGTCAAGCCAATATTGATGGCATTGCTCCTCTTGGGATCCAGGACCACGACCAGCTTCCTTCCGTCCACAGCTTTCTGAAAGGGGAACAGCAGCATTGGAACAGATTAAACACAGAATCTAGAGGTGTCTTTGCCCGTATTTGTTTTGATAAGAAAGAGAACCCAGATAACATTTTGTAAACTGCACCATTATAAGCCAAGAAATTTGGAAGCTCCTAAGGATGCAGAGCTGCACTTAGCCCAGGAAAAGGAAGGCCCTGAAGTCTCAAAGGGAAGCATCTGCCAGGCTGAGGCATAAGTCATCCTCTGCTGCAGCTGCTCTACTCCTTTATCCACCCCACCATTTATGCTCAAATGCCCAGAACAAGAGAAAGAAATCTTTCCATGGCCTGACCCAAACAAGGACCAGCTGCACCAGAAGAGGCCTGGTCCACCTACAGCTCAAAAGCATAGTGGCCAAAAGATTTGAAAGCATCTCTACCCAGAACCCCCCTGAGCCGTGATCCCAAGGGCTGGTGGGAAGCTGCTGTGCTGGGCAGGGATGGGGGGGCAGAGCAGTTTCTTTTGCTCTTGTATTTTGAACCAATGGCACGGCCAGGTTGAAGATAAGGAGCAGCCCACAACGCCAAGCCAGAAAGTGATCTCAGGACAGCTGCTGTTCTCAAGGTTCTGCCTTAGCCCCAGTACTCTTCAACATTTTCATAAATGATCTAGATTAGGGGGAGAGAAAGGGAACTCACCCAATTTGCAGATGACACCAAGCTAGGGGGAATAGCTAACATTTTAGAAGATAGGCTCAAGATTCAGAAGGTTCTTGATGCACTTGAGCATTGGGCACTATCCAGCAAGATAGGTCTAGTCTAACAAAATAAATATTGGGGCAACATGGTACAGTCTTCCAATATTTGAGGGACTGTCATAGAGAAGCGGGGGAGTCAACCTATTTTCCAAAGCACCAGGAGGCAAAACAAGCAATGAATGGAAAATTTTCAAGGAGAAATCCAACCTAGAACTAGGGAGAGGTTTCTGACAGTGAGAACAATTAACTAGCAGGGGGTTGGACTGGAAGACCTCCAAGATCCCTTCCAACTCTGTTATTCTACGTTCTATGTTTTCTTCCAGCCAGAGAAGAGCATTGATACGCCAAGCTGCAGCCTCATACCGCAACTTACCTTGGAACTCGGAATCTCCTTTGCCCGGGACTCAAAGAGATGTTCCAACTTGGCAGAGTCAACCTCGACCTTCTCCAGGGAGGCCCACAGAGTAGCCTGCCCAAACCAACTTTCCCTGGCAGGGCCATCTATGTCTTTCAGCTCGCTCCAGAAGAGCTTGACGGTCTTCTTTTTCTTGGCAGGGGAGCTGGCTTTTCCCCCAGGAAAGGGGCTGCTGAATGGGGGGGGAGGAGGGGGACCAGGTATGCCAGCTGGGGGAGGAGGAGCCGGAGGAGGTGGAGCACAACCAGGAATCAGGGGAGGAGCCAGGCCCTCACCGGCTCCCAAAGCCATGTGGGGCAAGGCTGTCTCGGCCACCTTTGCTTCTTGTACATCAAAATCCTCTTCCTCACACAGGTCTGAAAAGTCAAGATCCTGGATCTTCAGAGGTTGAGAACGAGGCCCCGGTGGACCCCCCGTCACTTGGGTCCTTTCCAGACTCTTCAGGCTGGTTTCAGCTTCCACACTGAACTGGCTTTGCAAGGGGAGGGCCTGAGAGTCAATCTGTTGCCCCATCCTCTCCTGGCCCTCCTCTTCCTGGTGCGGAATCTTCCCCTTCTCTTCCGTGCCTTGATCTCTCGCAAAGAGCAACGTCCTCTCCAGGCCTGGTGGGCTCTTATTAGTGAACAGTATGTCAAGCATAAGTTTTCTGCTCTTGAGAGCCCCACTGATGCCACAGGGGGCACATTCTGGATCTGGGCCCACGACACAGGAAGTGTTGAAGGGGTGGCTTGGAGAGGCATCCTTGGAGGAGGTGCTTTCCCTGCCTGCCTCATGATCCAAACCAGGCTCTGAGCTGGGCTCTTTCCATTTGGTGTTTCCATCTTGTCCTTCACTCCACCTCCCTACAGCAGAAAGGGGCGCTTAGAGGGGGAAAGGCCACACAGAAGAGAACAGAACCAAGAAAGGACAAGCTCTTCCCGCACCCACTACGCTACCTGGGGCCGCTTGCTCAGTGCTGGAAACAGCTTCACCAAGAACTTCTGCTCGCCCACGGCTGATGGCGCTGATCTTCTCTTTCTGGGAGGCAACCAGGTTTTCTAGAAAGCGGGCTCTGCAAGAGAAGAGGAAACTCCACACCACTGAATTGGGGATGCCGTCACCATTGTGTCCAGCAGACGGTGCCAATCATGAGTTCTCCTGCCAGTCACATATGCAGTCGCCGAGCAAGAGAGGACCGGCCAACCCTGCCAGCCCCTCCGCCTTTCTGCGAAAATGTACAACGCTTGCACGGACCCAGGAACACCCTCCAAAGGCAGATGCTACCTACAGGGCTCTTTGGAGGAGCGAGACTCCTCTGTTTTTCCAAGAGATGGCCATTTCTGGGGGGTCTTGTAACTTCAAGGCCAAGCTAAGGCCAAGCCATCCCCAGGCAGAGGAATTTCCCTCTTGCAGCCACTTAGACCAACACAGGTTTAAAGCATGTCTGTGACTCCTGAAGTTATGTCACAGCATCAAAAAAGCCTTCATTCATGACCTCTGCTGGGAAGGAATCCTTACCCAGCGCATCAAAGGCTTCTGGTTATCAGTGACCTGGATGAGAGAATCAAGACCTCAAAGTCTGCACAGGGTACAAAGCAGGTAACCCTGTAGAGGAGAGTGATGTTTAAAGGTTCAAAAAGATCCAGACAGGCTTGGTGAAATTGATAGGATAGAATGGGAAAAATTTAAAATTCTCCTTCTGGGGAGGAGAAACCTAAGGCACAAGACCAGGATGGGGGAGATCTGTCTTGAAAGGAGTACAGGTAAAAGGGGTCCGAATGTCTTTGGGGATCCCAAGTTAAACAGAAGCCAGCAGCATCTTGTAGCTGTGGAAAAAAGCAAATGCCACCTAGGGATCGTGATCAGGAATGCTATATCCAGATTTCAGGAAATCCTATGTCCAGTTATGGGCATAAAGACAATGACAAACTCATGAAAGCTGCGAGGAATGAGGTCCATCCTGGACATCAGGAGAACTTCCTGAATCCACAAGTTGTCCAGCAGTGGAACAGACGGCTACTGATATGGTGGGCTCTCCTGGGATATTTATTTTCAAACGAACGGAAAATGGTCACTGTCAGAGATGCTGCAGTGTATCTTGCATTCAGCAGGGGACTGGACTAGATAACCTTTGTTGTTCCTTCCAACTTTATGATAATATGAAAACACATAGCTGGCCTTAATACAATAAATGTTACCCATAAAGGTTACCAGTAACAATTAAGCTGTAAGCTAAGACACAGAAAAGAGTATCAAGGATCTGACAGATGTTTCGGATATAATTTCTGTCTTAGGGAATCCAGATGTCTTGCTCACCCTCATGCAAGGACAGCTGAGTGTCCTCCCACAGGTGAGGCACCCAGAGGATGACGCAAAGCTGGTCTGCTCCAGTGTCCCACTTGAAGACACACGGGTGGGCGACGGATAGTGCCCTGACGTGTGCCAGGTTCGTGGATCAAGTCCCGGGTACAGTCATGGCCATCGGGTGGCTCCAGCTGATTTTCGGGTTTCCTGTCCTGCCCAGATCTCATCATCTACCCTTGGTCCTCTCCTGAGGATTGACAGCCATTCCTTCCTTTGTAAAGAGGACCGATCAAACCGACAGCCCCGAGGGTTGAATTCTCTTTCACCAGGGCTTCAGGCCTCAAAGATGCTGGTGGATGACCTATCAGAGACGTCTGGAAAGTCCTGGAGAGGCTCAGTCTGACAACTTCTGGGTCTAAGGCCATGAGTGGGGAATGCCAGGGAAGGAGAGAAGGCCCTCCTTGCCCCTCTGCCTCCAGGCACAAAGAACGGACAAAGCACCACAGACCAGCTGGAGGGGAGGCCACTTGGCCAGGCTGCTCAGAAAGGCTCTCCGCATTTCATCCCAGCCTGAGGTGAGCAAGGGTCCCCTGAAGAGGGGGTCTTCCTCAAAGGCCTTCCTCTTTCTTGTGATGCAGAGGCTGGCACCTGCCTCGCACCTGCCTCGCACTGGATGCCGCAGCACCAATGGGGAGATGGAGAGCAGCAAAAGACCCATCCTCTTGCCTTTCCTGGGCAGCTTTGCAGGGTCCCCCTCCCAAGTGCAGCCCTTCTCTTCTCCAACTCTGCCTAGAGAAGAGAAAGGGAGCTCGGACACCTCCCAAAGGCAAGCAACCTCGCCTCAGGCCATTCACCTTCTGACCTTCGTCCGTCTTGGTCACCTCAGACTGGCCTCCGGGCACGACAAACCTGGCCTGGCCCTTCGCAGGGCAACCATGCCCAAAGCCCACCTGCTCCTCAGTCAGCCCCGCCCAGCATGCGCCCTCCATGGTCTTGATTCCTGAAGGGAAGAGGTACTGGGACGGAGCCCGTGGCTACGCGCATGCAAGAGCACTTGCACACGGCTGTTCCCCCAGCCCTGCCTGGCAGCCTCACTCAGGGCTCCCCTTTTCATGCTCTGGTTCTGAAACGCACCTGCTGTGCCAGCCAAATCTCTCCATCACCTGCATCCCCTCACATCTTTGCACCAGAATAATGAATCGCTAAGCCAGATGGGAGCCTCACATCCCCAAGACCCACTGGAAGACGAGATCTGGGCTGCTTCCCTTCCCCTGAGATAAGCTAGAACTAGGCAGCTGACTTCTCTTTCTCCAGAAGTGCCCAGTTTACTTATTTATCAGTCATACAATATGCATAACTGCGCTAGAGGCCCTGTCGGGCCGTGCTAGGCCTCACCCATCTCGGTCTCTCCCCTGAAGACACTGCCTGGGGTAGCACCGAGCCGTACATTAAACAGGTGCACCTCACCTCACCACCTCACGCCCCCGGTTTGCTCTATGAACAATCAATGTGTGCACAACACGCAAAGCCGGGTGTTTTAATATCAGCACTATTGCATGAACTTGGAGAAACCACTGCTTATACCCCATGGCTGGGTATAAGGGGCAGGGAATTTATTTTAGTCTTGGATTCCCAACTCCACTGAAATCCAGAAAACGAATCATCTGAAGTTGAACCCACCTTCTGGCTCAGGACTTAGAGGAGGCTAAACTCAGGGGCGGCTACCGCCCGGGACTCTAGATGGGTGCAACTAAGTGCACCAAAGCAAAATACTCCCCGTTTTCTTTAACCGAGTTTCATGAAAAGGTGTGCAAGAAAGGGATTGAAAAGGGATCGACTGCTTTCTTTCACTTTAAACATGAGTTTCAATCTCGGTTTGTTAAGGTACTATTTTTCAGATGTTTTTTTTTTAAATTAAGAGGCAAGGGGCATTTATCAGATTGTTGGGGAGTGTGCAGGTGGGCAGGATTTGAGACAGGAGGGAAGATGCTGAGCAAATGGCCCATGTGCAGCCCAGGCACAGGGGGAGAGGAGGAGCTCTGTAACAGCCCTCCAAGAACCGCTCCCGAACAAAGTGCAATGTGGGTTTCAGAATCAGAGCAAAGCTTTCAACTTTATATACATCTGTGACTTAGCAGGTCATCCTCCCTAAGTAAGCACTGGATGACCAGCAACCTCCCATGTGGCCAGTCAGCGGCCTATTTGCAGAGCCCTCTGCACAAGGCCACAGGCCAAGCGGTCTTGGCTTAAAGCTCTCGCTTTAAGCCAGACTACCTGGAAGGAAGTCTGTTTTCTAGGCACGCCTGAATCCAGCTTCAAGAAAAGCAACAGAAACTGCCCAGGTCTCCCAGGGGACTATTTCTGTGTACACAGAGAGGGGAGCTTTTCAGCTGCACCCAGGTGTGTGTGTGTGGAGGGGGGGCTCAGACAAGCAAGTGGCAATATTAACAAAATGTGAGCTGGAAACGGATCCCAGCCAAGCCCTTCTTCCAGGATCCGGGATCAGGGGAAGGATCGGCAGGCAAGATCCAGCTCCATCCGGATCCTCAGCCTGGCCAGGGTGCCCACGCCACTCTGTACTTACTCAAAGTGCCTCAGAATGGGCTTGTCCCCACATACCGGGGGGGCTTCCTCTTGCCTGGGAGAAAAAGGGAGTTAATGGCAGTGGGCCGAGAGCCCCTCCACACTGTGCCATAAGCTCGGCCAAGCCAGCCCTGAAGGCAAGAGAGACATGCAGGGGCGCTTTCTGGAAAGAATTGCAGTCCCCGTGGCCGTCAGGCCAAGGTACCAGACCACTTGGATTCTGCAACAAAGGTGACCCAAAGCGGGAATGGAGGTCTCCCCAGATAAAAGCAGAGGTGCCCCCTTGTGGCATGGAGGGGGCACGGGGAACCCCTGCCCACCTGAGGAATGGAAGCTGATGGCCCTAGGATGCCAGCCCTGCCAAGCAGCTGTCTCCGGCTCCTGGCAGCCCGAGGGGGCAGCTGAGCGACAAGCATCCCCCAAAGCTCAACCAGGGAATTTCCTGCCAAGAAACTGGCACTGCTGGCAGGGAGAGCAGCTCAACGCCGCCACCCACCCACCACACCCAGGCCATTGCTTACCAAGCAGAGGCAGCCATGACACGCAAGCCCTCACTGACTTATACCACTGCACACCACACACAGGCCATCACTTACCAAGCAGAGGCAGTTTCATGAAGTCTGGAAGAGGAAATAGCATTTAAGCCGGCAGGCGCTGGAGAGAGCAAGAAAGCTGAGAAGCTCAGAGCAGCTAGAAAGAGAGCAGACCCACCTGCCACCTGCTCCTCAACCCACCCTGCAGGTCCTACGGGCACAGCCTCTGGCGCTGCTTGCCCGGAGAAGAGGGGAGCAGTCTGAAAGACGCAGAGCAGTGGCTGGGAAGGGGGCAGCTGACGCTGGGGCCGCCTCTGTGCATCACACGCCATCCTCCCCAGCCCTCGGGGCCTTCTCCCCTGTCCAGGGTCCTGGCAAGGGGGGGACCCTCTCCTCCCCCCAGTATCAGAAAGGGTTTGTGGGGGCACTGGGTGCCTCATCAGATGAGCCAGCGGTGGCCCTACTCTGCCAGCTGCAAGAGCTGAGCCTCTCCTGCCTGGGGCTGTGCTACCAACCTGCAGCTGGAGGCCAAGGCTGCCACAGCACCATCTGCTTGAGAACAGCAAGCTTAGGGAGAGGGGCTCAGTGCATCCCCCCCCCCCACACACACACCCTGAACCAGCCATCTGCTGACAAGGAAAACTCCAGTGCTAATGGCAGAGATGGGTCCCTGCCCAGGAAACACCCAGGAAGGCTGCTCCGAGCAAACCTCCCCTCTCCCCAACGCACAGAGGCGTCCTCCACAGTCCTCTTGACCACCCAGCTGGGACCTACTTGAAAACGCTCCTCTCGCCCAGGCCAGCCAGCTGTGGTCCTTCCACGGGGGCCAGCAGCACAGAGAGCTGTATGCAGGAGGCGCTCGGGCTGGGCCTGGAAGGGAGAGGGGAGAGCTGCAGCTGATCGGTCACTTGCCGGGGAGGCTTAGCAGGGGCTTTCTGGCCCCTACAAGAGACAAATTGGTGGCTCCACCGGCCAGCCTGGCAGTTTTGGGAAGACATGCAGGACGGGAGTCCAGTGGCCCAAACAGATGGAGTGAACCCCCTCACCCGTGCCCCACGCCCAACTCACAGCTGCTCACAGCTGCCTCCCTCCAGGTCCAGAGTCTCCTGAGGGTTGGGAAAGGTGTCTGCAGCAGCAGGAACACCTTTGTTCTCCTCCTGGGCTTCAGCAGCGAGGAAAGAGCGCCGGGCCCCCTGCCGGCCCTCGTCCCCTCTCCGCCGCTCCTTGGCACGGGTGCCCGGCAGAGGCTCTTCCGGCTCATCCTCCTCCTTCAGGGCATTCTGTGGATCAGAGAGCAGGTCAGCAAGCAAGCAGGCGCAGGCAGGTGGTGGAGTGACTCTTGCCAAGGGCCTCCCTCTGCGGGCCCCCACCTCATAGAGGGCAAGTTGCTGCCTCAGGTCCGGGTCCGTGCCCTTGCTGGCCAGGTGCGCCTGGATGAGCTGCTCCATGCCCTGCTGCTCCAGACAATCTGTCACGTCGTAGAAGGAGTCCTGGTCAGGGAGGGCAGCCAACGTCTGCAAGCCCCAACAGGACACAACCATTAGCCGGCCAAACAGCCGCCCACCTCGGGAGGCTGTTCCTGCCCGCTCTGCCCACCCTCACCTTGTTGATGAGTGTCATTGCAAACACCTGGAGCTCAGTATCAGCCCCGCTCTTCTGCTCCAGGATGGCCACAAGGCGAGACCACGGAACCCCCCCTGAAAGGCAGCAAGTAAGGAACAGAGGGACTGGCAGAAGATGGTTCTGTGGTTTCGTTGCCGCTTAGGCAGAACTTCTCCAGTTCCAAGAGACATGCAAGGGCCCTCTTTTTCTCCCACAGAAGGACAGCCTGCACCTCCCGGTCCTTGGAGGCCACCAAAAATGGCTTGCTTGATGAGAATAGAAGGTGGCACTCTTTCCAAGGAGCAACCAGGAGGCACCAGGCTCTACTCAACTCGGCCACCTGCAGCTGGGCTCACCTCTGCCCTGCTCCACAGTCACCACAGCCTGGATCAGCAGGTGGGCATTGGACTCTGTGAACTCCACAAAGACCAGGAGCAACTTCAGGGCCGTCTTCACCACAAGGCGGTACTACAGGAAGGAGAGGGAAACTGCGTGTGCCGAGAGAGCCAGCCTTCTCTTGTAGGGGAATCTTCAAGCATGCCAACTGCGCCCATTCCTGGGGTGAGCAGGAGGGATAAATGCCCACCACTTCCAGCAGGTGAAGAGACCTTTCCCCGATGTCTTCTTTGAGCTCACTCCTCTGACCCCTTTCCAGAAGGAGGCCCTCTTCTACGGACTGCTCTCTCTGAGTTGGGATTCTGTCTGGAGGCTCTCAAGGCCCAAAGGCTGCATGATCCTGAGGACCACCTAGGCCAGGGATGTCCTTGGTGGAGGTAAGATGTGGAGGAGATGTCCTTGCTCCCCAATGTCCTTTCACAGGAAAGGTCCCCTGCCAGCTGAAGGGCCTGCCCACCCTCGTTAAGCCCGGTCACAGCAGTGGAGGTGCGACTCTGGCTTTCCAGTCACTCAGACAGCAGAGAGGAGGAGCTCTGCCACCATTCTCTCTTTGCCCAGTTCACCTCTCAGAGCTACAGTGGAGGGGACCACATGAGGAGATCCAAGAGAACACGGAGGATTTGAACCCAGTAGTAAACAAGGGCATTAATGAGACGGATAAGGGCATCCCGAATGGCCTCTGCCGGCAGGGAGGATATTCACTCACCGGGCTGCCCGTCAGGGTGTAGAGCCACCTCACGGTCTCTGGGTGCTGGATCACCCCCATCATTCCATCCACAAAGAGCATGATCTGGCTGAGAGCTGCAAGGAAGGAAGAAGAGTGGCCCCATGGGGGCTCCAGCAGCACTTGGGGGAGGAGGGGGCTGGACTAGGCTGTTCAACTGCTGTGCATCCCCTGCTGGGGGGAGGACTTCTGCAGAACATGCGGCCGGACCCCTCCTTTGGAAAACCCACCCGTCCGCTTCCTGGTGCCTTTTTATCCCCTCTGATAGACGTGCGCATCCAAGTGAAAAAAAGGCTAATTCTCAAAGCAAATTTGAAAACCTCGGGGGCTTCGGCTCTGCGAGGCAGAGACTCTGCGTGGGGCTGAGCCCCTCACTGGCCACGGAGTGCAGCCCTGATTTCTGCAAATGCACAGAGACGACTACCCCAGCTTGGCGGAGAGGAGGGGAACCACTGCGGGGAGGGGGGAACTGACTGGGTGGTCCCCTCTTCTGCGCAACCAGGCACCTAAAGTCTACCTTGGCTCTTCTGCGCTTTGTTGCTGCACCCAAAAAAGGGTGTGGTGGAGAGCAGGAGGGGCCACATGCCACGGAGGCATTGAAAATGGCAGCAGCCTTTCGCAGAACGGGACGCAGAAAAAGCAGAGCGACCCCCCCACCAGACTGAGGCTCTTCCCCCCTCCCAAGTGGCTGGTTGTTTACTCATTCTCCACCAGGGGGCAATCGAGAGAGACATTGGTGAAAGAGAACTGCAGGGACACCCCCTCCTCTCTCCTAAGGCCGTCTGAGCCCCTTTCCCCAATTTAGCCAGGATCCTGCCCTCCCCCCAAGAGCATGGGAGGCAGTGAGGTGGAAAGAGGGGGAGGGACGCCCGGGGCACACAGGGAAGCACTCCCTCTCCTCCCTGGCTTGGTCGACCCCTGGACCAGCTGCTCAGTCAGACTCACCCCGCAGGATGTAATTCTGGTAGTTCTGGTCAGCTTCTGCTCCCACTGAGACGAGACACGTCAGTCCTTCGGAGTTCACAAACTCGGGCACCAGGTCCTTGTCATCCTGCAGCCGAAACGCAGAGCCTGAAAGGCTCCCCTGAGGCTAGGGCAAACCAAGGCCCCCCAAAGCACTCTCTCCACTGGGCCAGGCTGCCCTGTCCCTTGGCTTCCCCGGCTAAGGGCCAGCCAGCCTCTGGGAGAGGAGCAGGCAGGGAGTCCGGCCGCAGAGCCTCACCTGGAAAAGCTGCTTGAGGGAGAAGAGGGAACGCCTCAGCTCCGGACCCTTGGAACGGTACAGCTTCTCTGGGGAAGACCGATGGGTCAGCCTCAGGAATGGGGCTCCTCTCGCTCATACACCCAACCACCCCCAACATCTCGTGCCACAGTCACAGGAATCCCTGACCAGGGGTACCACAGGGGGAAAGACCCCAGCTCTTCTCCTTGCGGCCTGATCATGGGGTCCCTCCCTCCAAAGAGTCAGCTGCAAGTCCAGCATTTCCCCAACCAGGAGACCCAGCTTGTCTTCAGCTGATTTCTGCAGGGCTCCCCCTTGAAAATACAAGGAGACCAGGCAAAAACTAAAGTTGACTTTAAGTTAACAGGGACATAGCGAGCACCATTTGAGGCATTCAGCCATTTTGGAGAATTTCTACCCCAAGTCAAGTCAACCAAGCTCCAAGTTTAATTGTTTGCATGTGGATGATTCGTAAGCTGAGACTGAGACGACGCCCTGGACACTTCATCCTTCAAGACTGATGGATAGAGGGACCCCTTTATTGTTCCTCAAAGGTCACTTAAGTTAAGGAGGTCATTAAAGAAGTCTTAGGTAACTTATTTGAGCAGAGCAGCAGAATGGAATGGAATGGAATGGAATAGAAATAGAAATAGAAATAGAATAGAATAGAATAGAGCTGGAAGGGACACTGGAGGTCTTCTAGCCCAACCCCCTGCTCAGGCAGGAAACCTTATATCATTTCAGACAAATGGTTGTTCAATCTCTTCTTAAAAACTTCCAGTGTTGTAGCATTCACAACTTCCGGAGGCAGGTTGTTCCACTGGTTAATTGTTCTGTCAGAAAATTTCTTCTTAGTTCCTAGGTTGTTTCTCCTCTTGATTAGTTTCCATCCGTTGCTTCTTGTCCTGCCTTCAGGGGCTTTGGAGAATAGCTTGTGATTGTGGCCTGTGCAGCCCAGCCCTGTCCCCGAAGGAGCTGCTTTTGAGGAACTCCTGCCCAAAGAAGAATGGCCGAGCCTCTTCCAGTTCCTCCTCCTCTGTCACTGAAATGCGCCTGGCTTGGCCTCTCCAGAAGGGCCCCCAGCCCCAGCCGGTGCAGCAAAGCAATGGGGGGAGGGCTGGCCTCACTGGAAATGCAGCTTCCAGGAAGCAGGAAGGAAAAGGCAGGCAGGAGAAGCCAAATGGCCTGTGGGGCTCCCTGCTCCCCACAGGCACCAGAGGCAGACAATTGCTGCCACCCTTTATGCCTCTCGTCTCCTCCAGCAACCTGGCGGTTATTCATTTTCACTGTTCAAATTCTTTATTTAGTTACTTCAAACATGGCTTGCAATAGCACATTCCAAAGCTACGGTAATAAGCTAAAAACAACCACAGCTCTCCAGCTCTGAGAGAGTCTCAGCAGAAGCAGCAGCTGAGCCCTCCTTTAGTCCCTGTGCTCGGCCATCCGCTCTACTGCTGGGACCAGTAAGGCTGGTATGCGGGTCTGTCCCTCAGCATTTCTGCTGCTCTGCGCCTGGGCCCCGGCAGCCCCCATCTCAGGAAATGCAGGACTTGCCCTGTGAGTCCCCACCCCCAAGACAGGATGCAGCAGAAGGCCAGGCCTGCAAAGGCTGACTCATGAGGAAGCAGCAGAGAAAGAGGGAGGGAGGAGCTGCCCCATAGGAGCCCCCAGTCCTAAGATCAAGGGATGTGGCTGACAGCTGCCCTTTGTCTGAAGACCTCCCACCCCACCCCTTTTCAGGGACAGAATTTGCAGGGCAATACCAGGGCAAAAGCAAAAGCAGCAGGAAGACTGCTTTCCTTTCATCAAGCATTTATGAATGAAACCATAAAATAACAATACCCAATAGAGACTTAAAAGGCAGCCAAATGGGGGGGGGGAAAAGCCACCTGAATCATCACTCTGCCCATCTTAGGGGCTCTGTCACATAATCCGACCCCTAAACCTGGTATCACAGCAGGTCTAATCCCAGCCCTTCCACAGTCCAGGACCAGGCAGGACTCACCGATGATGGCGTGCACTCGGACCGAGAGCTGCGTGCGCAGAAGCAGGATTGGCCGCCTCCCTTTGCTGCAACAAGAGGAAACCAAGTTGGACCCAGTCAGGACCAAGAACCTCTGGCTGGTTCAAGATTGCCCCCCTCCCTCGCAGTGCTTGCCATCTGCCGAAATAAAAGGCAGCATCCAGAAAACATGGCATGGAACTTCTCTGCTGCACCAGCTGTGCGGATGCCGGCCTGCATCCAGGTCCAATTCAAGGCTTTGGGTGTGACCTATAAAGCCCCAGACGGTCTGGGGCCAGGCCACCTATGGAACTGGCTTCATCCCATCCCATCGGCACATCTCACCTGCTCAGGCAGGGGAGGCATGTTGCAGACCCCGTCAGCCAAAGGATTTGGACTGGGGGTCCAGGAAGAGGGACGTCTCAGCCATTTGCCCCCACTGGGTAGGATATCCTCCCCCCAGAGGTGAGGGAGCCCCCCCTCCTGAAAGAAAACGAGGCTCTGCAGCCTGGAGCCCAGGGGAGCACACAGCCATGAGGCTGGCTAGCGCTCCTTTTAATTAATTTTAACATGATTTTTAATTCATTCTTGTCTCTTCTTAAATTTTTAAACACTGTTTTTATATTTTACTATTTTATTTGTGCATTACCAGAGTCCCTCTGTGAGGAAGATGGGCAGTTTAAAAATTTGATCAATAAACCACCAAACTAAAAATAGAAGGGTGGCAGGCAAATGCCAGTCTTCCCCTGAGCCAGCAACTGGGGCCTGTGAGGAAAAAGGAGCTGCAGGTGTGGGCACCGCGCATGATGAACCCAGTCTGCTCATGAGCTGGTAAGCACATCGTATTTGGATCCTCCTGGTTGCCTCACACACATCGAGTGCAACTTCTGACACTCCCAAATTGGGAGCACTTGTCCTTCCAGATTAAAACCTCCAGATACGCTGGCATGAGGCGCAGGGGAGGGAAGTTTGCACATGGAAAAGGTGGCAAAATCCCCAGCAGGGATTCACCTGATGTCTTCGTAGAAGACCTCCAGCTCGTCCTTCTGCTCCAACAGTGAAAGTTCCAGGTCCAAGTAGTGTCCAGAAGGCAGCACTTGCAAGGCACAATCCTCCAGCTGCAAAAGAGGCACTTCCAGAAGTTAGCCAAGCATGTAGCGTCTGCTCTGGGATTCCTTCCGCCCCCTTTCCCAGCACGGGCAAAGGCAGTGTCTGCATCGGCATCTAACCCTGGCTCCTTTGGAGGCAGGGCCGTATCCTGCCCTCAGCTCCACTGGTTCAGGCGCAAGACCAACCCCGGGCCATCAGATGCCCTCTCGGTGGGTGAGAGCCTCCTGCCCATCCAAGTGGAGCTGCTCAGAAGGAGGAGCTGGGAGACCACATCTCAGCCCCCACCCAGATCCAGCCCGGCTCCCTCCTGCTCACCCCCTTTACATTTCAGAAAAGCATCCCTAGGATTTGAAGGAGAAATTCCTCCCAGCACTGAAGAAAAAAAAAAGGGGGGCCTGCAGATAGGAAGGCGGGAGTTTGCTGGTACCCTTCCAGACTCAGGGAGAAGCCCCCAGCTCAGACAGGACTCCAGAGACCTGGAGGGTGGGTCTGCCCCCAGTTCTTACTGGAGCCCCAAAAGCCTCTGTGGCCCCCAGGAACCTGCTGGTCTGGCCACACAAAAAAAAAAAAAAAGGCCAAAGGGGGCAAAGTGGATCCTGTGCCGATCGGAAGAGGGAAGGGCAGCCCACTCAGACAGGGCTGCACCAGGTGCAGCCTGGCATCAAGTAAGCAACCAGGAGAGGAGTCAGCAAGTCACCCAACTGGTGAAGAAGGGAAGAGCAATGAAAGGAGTAGGCTTACTTTGCCTGCCTTACGTGAAAGAAAAGCTGGGGAACTGGGGGAAAAGTTCCTTAAAAGGAGGGAAACCTCAAACTTCCAAACACGAAAAGAGTTTTCAGAATAAATCCTATGGCAGACAAGGAAAGTCAGAGATGGAAACCCCTGGACATCAAGAAGGGACAATTCAGCCTGACTTCCAAGGTCAAGCAAAAAAAAAAAAAGAAAGAAAAAAAAAGAATGGACATTCGGTTTTGATTATATAAAATATTTTGTCAAAGTTTCAATAATGACCGAAGTATCTGAATGCAACTGAGATCAGACTAAAGCAATGATCTTTCCAGTGTAATACCCGGCTCCAAAAGCCAGCTAAGAAATTGGGGCACTAAGAATGACCAAATGGAAGACAATATGATGCTTCCATATTACTCATTTTGTGGCAGCTACTACCAACCTGGGATCTCCAAGCAGTCCATTGGTCCTCCATCAAATGCCCTGGCTGCTCTCCAAGGTGAGAGGACCAAGCATGAGAGGACCAAGCATGAAAAAGCTCACGCATGTCGAAGATGGGCTAGAAGTGGACGATGGACTTGGAGGAAAACAATTACACTTGGCAAGCTGGAGGAAAGTTGGAAGGGATGTCAGTGAGTAAGTCAGATGGACAGCATCCAAGATTAATGGAAGGGCTCAAAGAGGGTGAATGGTTGACCATGTGACCACTAGGAGCTCAGCCCAACTCTGCCTAGCTGACTGGCTAACCAAACCTGTGTGCTCTGCTCTTCTTATGCGCAGGTTCACCTTTTACAGGTAGCTGAAAACTACAACGCAACAGGTGTGTGCCACAGCCCTGTCAGATCCTGGAGATTTTCCGCCTGCCTTATTAGCCCCACCGGGCGCCTTTGGTGAGGCCAGAGAAGCAGCGGTTGCTCAGCCTGCGTTTGGCCAAGGGCTCCGCTGCCCGCCGGGGCCTGCCCAAGCCTCCCCTCGTTTTACCGAAGCTTCGGGCAGGCCGTTGGGGGCTCCGTCCCCGTCTCAGCGGCCCGACATTTCTTCCTCTGCAGCCGGCAGCGCTCAACAGCCGGCGGGCCGCGATAACAGCCGCTCGGCCGGCCCCGCGGCGGAAGCGCCTTTCCTGTTTGGGCCCGGCTGTTTTTAGCAACAGACGCCGAAGGGGCAGCGCGTCACCCGAGCCTTTCAGCAGGTTCGCGCCCGGAATAGCAGCAGCCCCGCCGCCCCAGAGCGGGGAAGAGGGCGGCCCGGCTCAGTTCCCGAGCGGCCGGCATCGCCCAAGCCAGGCCGGGGCTCCACGGCTGGCCTCCCTTTGGCATGCTAGGGTCGGGGGCGCGCTTGGCCCAGGGCACCGGGAGGCGCTGCGCTGGGGCAGCGGGGGCGCCGGGGATGTCTGGGAGCGGCAACTCCCGGGCTACCTTCCCGCGCGGCGACCCGTTCCCCGCCCCGAGCTCCCGCCGACCCCGGAGGCGCTCACCCGCAGCGGCGCGCCTAGCAGGCGGAGGAAGGCGGGCAGCTGGGCGGCCAGCGGCAGCGCCTCGGCCACGGGCAAGCCGGGCGGGCGACGCGGCTCGGGGAAGGCGGCGCAGCAGAAGGGGTCCGCGTCCTCCAGGTACTGCAGGCGGCACTGCACGGCGCACGGCGCCTCCGGCGGCGCGGCCGGCTCGGCCATGGTGCGACGGCGGCGGCGGCGGCGGCGGCGGGTCTGTGGCGCCCTTCCCGGGCGGGCGGGCAGGCGGGGCTGCGCCGGAGGGGAGAAGGGCGGGCGGGTCAGCTGCGCCAACCTGGGATTGGCGAGCCGGAGCCCCCTCCGGCCGCGGCCCCCGGGCGGGTCTTCCCGCGACCCCGCCGCAGTCGCCCGCCTTCCAGGGCGGGGACCCGCGAAGACCTCCAGCGGCGGCCCCGCCCCTCCGCCCGCCCCTCTGACCGCCGGCGGCGAGGAAGCGTTTCCTGCCGCCGCCCTTCTCCCTGCCCGGCTGGCTGTACCGGTGGCGCCGTCCCTGGTGGGCGTCCTGCGCGGATCGCAGCGAGGCGCGGAGCGGCCGCCGGTCAGGAAGCGCTGGAGCCCGTCGAGAAAGGAGCGCCTTCCTCAGGCCGCTCGCCCCTCGTCCGACGCTCTTCTGAAAGGGGGGCTTTCCGGGAGGGCGGAGAAAAAGGGCAGCTCTTCGCCCGGATCCCGCGCCGCGCGGAGCTCAGGAGCCGCCGGGCCGGGCAGGAAGCCAGCCGAGCGGCCGGGTGACGCTTCCTCGGAGGGGGCCACCGGGCTCGGCCGCCCCCTTGAGAAAAGCCGAAGCTCCGGGGAGCCGCCCGCAGCCGGCCCGGGAAGACCAGCCGGCCTTCCTCTCCCGGCGGCCCTGCGGAAGGCGAGCCGAGAGCCCGCGAAGGGTGGCGCGCTGCCTCGGTGGGCGCCCGGTGCGGGCCCGGGATCGCCCGGCGCTCTCCCCTTGGCGGACGGTGCAGTCGAGGGCGGGGGGCTGAGCGGTTCCCCCCGGCTCTGCCTGCGCCGATCCGGCCGCGTCGAGCAGGGCGGAGGAGAGGCTTTCCGCACGTTGGTCAGGAAACGGCGCACGCGGCTCCCGCGGTGGTGGAAGCAGGGGGGGGCTCCGGTCTGCCTCCCCTCCAGCCCCGCAGAGGAGGGCGCTCGCCGCCCCCAAGACCGGGAAGGCCGGCGTGGCCCCTCTGCTCTTCTTGGGTATCTTGGCAGGGGGCGGCGCTGCCCCCCAATCCGGGGAAACGGGGGGGGGGGATCCTGTTTCGGCCCGAGTGAGAAAGCCTCAGCGCAGTCCAAGAACGGGGATCACTTTTTGCCAAGGGCTGCTTCAACTGGTGGTTTATTTTTGTAAGCCACATCAGAAACTCAGTTGAAGCAGAAGCAAAAAAGAAAAGGACGAAATGATCACTTGGCATTTGATAGGCCCTTTAGGCCATGTTTTGTACCTTTTTTTCTAAATAAATTTTCTAATTTATTTTTCTACAATAAATTAGGGGGGGCATTTTTTACTTTTTTTAATATTTTGAAATTAAAAATTCTTCAAGACAGTACAAGAATAAAGCCAGCTTCAGAGGAAGCAGCTTGGTCTAGTGGTTAAGACACTGTTGTCCCCAAAGATGATGAAGGACACCAGACACGAAGTGCAGGCTTTGTTTCCTTTTATTGAAGCGCTCCAAGAAAAGGGGTCCTGGCCCAAAAATGCCAAGGAACCTTGAACAATAGTATCAAGAAGGCTTTATACATTTTTACTAAAGCGGAAGGCGAGATAAGGCAAGATATATACATCAAATCATCTAATAACATTTTTAGTAATGATCTAACAATTGACCTATTGATCTCTAGCCATCCCTGTGCCTCAGCTAATGAATGCTCCAGCAGTTATCTAATACACATTCTGTTTGCTCCAGGCCATCCCTATTTCTAATTTCTAGCTGAGGTATGCAGGATGTCTAATACTGCAGCCAGCTTGGAGTTCTGGTTAATTCCCTTTTGATGGCTGTGCTAGGTGTGTCATTTTAAGCAGAACCTTGCTTAAATATATATGAGGGATGTGAGCCTTGTCCTTTTCTCCCTGCCTACTTTCAGGGGCTTGGGGGCTGATGGGACCCGGCTGCATCTCCAAGGGCTTCTCCTGGCATTCCTCTTTGGGACAATTCGGCATGAGACTGGGACCTATGAGTCATCCCGAGTTGCCAGCCGCTCTTTGAGTTGATTTTCCTTGAAAAAATTATTCCAGCATTATGAGGAACATCCCAAAATAGATTTGTGTAGTTCCCATGGTAATCATAGGAAGCCAAGCTATAATCACAGAACTCCTTGTCAACATTTCCAGCCCAACTGAAGGAGGAAGTAACACAGTGTGTGTTCAGCCTTTTGAAAAATCTGGGGTAGGGGGAGGGTTATTGGATCATGGCTGATTTCCCAAGCTTGGCAGAGGGTCTTCCAGCTGCTCCCTGGACCTTGCAACAATGGCCCGCCTTGGGCTTTGCATCCTGCAGCCCCAATTTGGTTGTCAAGGGGACTGCATAAAACAGATGGTTGAAAATCAGGAAGTATCATCCCTGCTTCGTTTGTATTTGATTCTATATTGTATTATTTCTAGTTTCTATTACTCCAAGTCCTACAACATCTTCCTTCCTTTCTTCTTCCTTCCTCCCTCTCCCTCCCTCCCTCAGCCTGCCAAGTGCAGGATCCAGTCAAAGCATTTGGACCGTATTGCTCTTTAGCCTTTGCTAAATGCACCCATCGCATTTTGGCTCTGAGTCCCAAATTGAACTGCTACTTCACAGTTGGGTGAAGTTTATCCTGAATTTCACTGGAATCAGCTCTCGGCCATTCCTGGGTTTTCCTCTGCAGCTGCTCCTGCTGTCTGCAGCTTCTTCCATCATTTTTTTCTCTTACCCTAAAAGATGGAAGATGGAAAGTGCCACAAGGCCTCCTGGGGATGCCCCTCCTGCCTTGTCCCAGGGGAGCCCTTTTGGGATGCTGGTGGAGGTAGTCAGTGGGAAGGTGTCTTCCTCCTTTCCCTTTGGCTCTTGTGGCCTCCCTCAACTCCCGCAACTCCAGGAGGCAAACTGGAGCAGGACAGCCAGGTTTTCAATAATTGGAAAAGACAGAAAGGATAGGTCTAGAATAGGAAGGAAGGAAGGAAGGAAGGAAGGAAGGAAGGAAGGAAGGAAGGAAGGAAGGAAGGAAGGAAGGAAGGAAGGAAGGAATAGGCAGGGCAAAATGTCTAGATAGTCAAGATTTATTGTCATATCTAGTTTGAAATCTGGACAACGCAGGATCTTTGCTATGAAAATAGGTAAACTTGATAAAAAAAATCATAGCTTAAGAGTAGGCAAGATGGAGTGTGGAGATCCACTTTGGATTGCTGCTTCATTGTCCATTATTTTTAGAGAAAGATACGAACCCTGAGAACGGAAGTGCTCTGTATAAACTTTGCAGGCCTTTGACACAGTCCCAAAGTACAGAATGTGGACAAGGCTGGTTGACAAAGTTATTTTTAAGCAAAAGGCAGGGAACAGCAGCCAAGAGACTTGGTGCCTGTGATTAGGAGTCTCTTGTGCAGGAATGGGAAGGGCTGCTCTCCAGGGAGAAACCCATAGACCTCATGCCCTTCTGATTTTTCTTCTATCTTCTTGATTCTTTCCTCATTTTTAGTCATTATTTGTTGAATATTTTCTACTTTGTCCTCCACTTTTTGTATTCTTTCCTTCATCTCTTCATGTAGTTTGGTTACTGATTCCTGAATCGATTGGAACATCATTTTTGTTTCCGCTTGCATCGCTTTTATTCTTTCCTGTTGCAACATATTATCCAAAGATTTTGGACTGGCCAGACTCGAAGCTGCTGCTGATACTGCTGAAGAGGGAGCTGATGTAGTTTTCTTCATCTTTAAATATTAACAAATAGAATAATCAAGAATTTCACAACACACTCTCAGCTATTCAACAGTCCCCCACCCAAATGCCTCTCAGCTTCAATAAATTGAATAGGTTCAATAAATTCCTTATGTCCACAATCTCACTACCAGATCCTTCTTTTACTCTTATTACAACTTCTGTCCAGAGAACCTATAGTATATTAATCCAAAAGTTCTATTATAGTTCTACACCCCTTTTCTTCATATTATGTAGAAATATTATATGACATTATTTGTAGTCCACAAAGTCCCAACTATGTCTCTAAATACTTTTTATAAAATAGACCAAAGTGTCCTTCATGAACCGTCTTCAACTCTTCTTTTCTTCTTTAACAAATATTATATCAAAATTTATTTGTAATCCACAAAGGCCCAGCTGTATCCCCAACAGTCTTTCACAAAATAATCCAAGAGTTTTTCTATGACTGTTCTAGTCTCTTCTTCTCTTCCTCTTTAACAGATACCACATCAAAAGTTACTTATAAACCATCAAAGTTATTTATAATCCATCAAAGTCTGGCAAGGGAAGTCTTCTATTCAAACTGAAAGTAAATTCCTGCTGTTTCTCAGCTTCAGTCTGCTTGTTTGTTATCCGTTAAAGCCCAAGAGCTGCTAGGTTTACACAATCATACTACTTCCACTCTCTGTTCCAGCTTTCCAGACTAAGCAATTTGCAGATGCCAAAGCTAATTATTGTTTACAGCTTCCATGGTCCACACTTCATGTTCAAAGTCAGCCACTTTCACCTCTTATTATCTTTTTCTGCCAATAAGGGCCAGTAGAGGGTGCACTTTTTTTTTCATCTGTTTTAGTCTTAGTTTTGAAGCTTTAGACTTTCTTTTATAAAGTATAAATTGTCCAGCTTCCCGTTCTTATTCCAGTTGTTATTAATTCAATCCCATTAGTTAGTCTCTTTTCCACATTTTTTTATTTTACTTAAAGAGTTATGCAATTAAGAGGGTCATAGGTTGGTGGTTATTTAAGATATCTAGAAAGCTCCTAGAAAAAATGATCAAGCAGTGAGTTTGCAAGTGCTTAGAAATGAATGAGGTGATTACCACATTTAACAATACCTCATTGTTAAAAACAAATTTTATTGCTCTTTGACAGCGACTGACTTAGTGGATCAAGGAAACACTAAGGATGTAGTATATCTGGGCTTCAATAAGGCATCTGATCAACCAATCTCTTCCTTCAACTGAAGACAGCTCTGTGAAATAGAGCTGAAGACTGAAGCAAAGACCAAGGAACCAGCAAGTAGACCGATTCCTTGGAGCTTCTTCAGATCAGGAGAGAGTGGGAGGTCGTCCAAGAAGGCTGCTTCCCAGCAGGAGACTGCAGGACAGCGGTTTTTCATGTTTTTGAACACCAGGAGATTATGGAATTTGCCCTCCTTGCTTGCAGAGAGTTTTAAAAGACAGTAAGTCTGCAAGCCTCTCTTTTTTGGAAATTGCTTGTTAATTATCTTAAAGCTATTTACAAGTAGTCAATCTATGACCATAACTGGAACCTCAGTCATTCAAATGATTATTAAGTGAAACATCACAAGGCCACTTTGCTGAACATTTAATGCCCCACAGCGCTCCCGGGAGCCGGACAGAGAACGAGTCCCGCTCGGTGGGATTCCCGGGCGCAGAAGGGTCTCCGGGCCTCGCGCAAAGGCCCTTGGGGCGGGCTGCGGGTCAGGAGCCGGACTAGAGGACCTCGAGGGGACCCCACTCCCCGCGTCGCTCGGCAACCGCAAAATGGCGCCCGGCTCCGAGCGGCCCCCGCGCAGCGCGCCCCCTTCGGGCCGGGCGCCTCTTGGCTGCTGGGCGGCGCGTGCACGCGGGGGGGAGCGCGCGCGCGGGAGAACCGGCCGGTCGAGCGTGGCTGTGCCGGGAGCCCCGAAGGGTCCTTTCCGTCCTTCTGCTCTAGTGCAGCCGGAGTCCGGGCGGGGGGCGGCGGAAGTGGCCAGTCCGGCGCTTCGGAAGGTCCCCCGAAGGCCTAGCTGGAAAATCCCCCCCGCGCGGAGTCTTTTAGGCCAGGGCCTGGGGTTCCCTTGTCTGCGGGGCCCCCGGGCGGCCTCGGCCGTTGCCGCCCGAGATCGTGCGGGCCCTTCGTTGCCGGCTTTTTGCTGCTGCGGGTTTAGTTGCGCCCGGCCTTCCCCGGCCAGACCCGGCCCGGAAAGGAGGAGGAGGAGGATCCGCAGCCTGCACAGAGGGGCTCTTTCAGAAGGCCACGGGCGGGCCCTGAATCAGCAACTGGCAACGTGCAACTTTGGGCGACTTAGCTAGAATTAAAACAGAAAATAGCAAAATAAACCGGCAGGAAACAGTACAACTTCATCTGGAGGGGCTCCTCCCATGGCCTGCATGAGTGCCCAGAAGGAGCTCCCAGTTTTCAGAGCTGCACAAAAGGCAAAAGGCAGGGCGGCTTTCTTTGAAGGGATCTCTAAATGAAATCCCTGGCATGAATAACTGGGGAGTTTTACTAGGAGAGTGTCTTTGAAGTGCACAAATCAGCCTTAGTCATCAAAGAAATGGCAAACTCTCATGCCTGAGGCAGAGTCTATGCAGAGTAAGAGGTTCTTTGGATTTATTTGGTGATGACAAGTTAATTGTTGTTAGTTTGTGTGTGTGTGTGTGTGTGAAGCAGAACTGCTGAGGGTGCACAATCCTGGTTCTCAGTCCTTGCAGGCGGCACTGAAGCCACAGCAGAAGTTTTTACAAACCAGAAGTAAATCTGGGTGCAGTTCTTTCCCGCTGGCAGAGGAACCACTGTCTGCTTGCAGCAGAATAATCAGATACGCAGCAGCCTTTTTGGGATCATTCAAAACCTGTGAATTTGTTCAGAGTTTGGAACAGTGGTAGGCCAGTTGTGATGGCTGCAGATTTGGGAGCTCTGGACTGCCAAATGCTCTGGTCAGCCTCAAGGGCTCTGGACAAGGGAGACAAATGTAAATGTTCTTTTTGTCCCCACATAACGCTGCCTTTTGTGCCTCTAAGTACATCTCCATGCTAATCTTTGCCTCTCGCCTGTCATGTATTCTAACGCTTACGGGATTGACATTAATGTCAGGGCAAATAATGCAATGTTGCCATATGCATTTTGTTTCATCTGCATGATATATCCTGAATGAAGGGAATTGGTATAGCCATAAAGAATTCTTGAACCTAAACTGAGTTTATTATTGTGCATAGTTTAGTGATTGAGAATGTGGCTTTGTGAGCATTATAAGAACAAGAAAGACACATTCTGGTGCGTGCTCTTCTGCCTCTTTCTCTCACGTTCACATGCACATGCCATGTATTCTCCCACATGCTACAATCACAACAGTTTAACAAGAGGCACACCCTATTCAGTCAGGAAAGTATTTGCAGTGTAAGCTGTCTGCCGCCACAGGACTAGGTGAGCGCTCTGCTCTGGCGCTGCAGGAACTGTGTTTGGGAGAGTTGGGGGTTTGGAAGAATGAGGAGGTCCCCCAGTTGATTGTAGCCTGAGAGACCCAGTTGATGGCTCTGCTGACTCTCCTTCTCTTGGTAGGATTCTCAGTCGCTGGACGGCTGCATCAAGAACATCTTCTCCATGCTTTATTCTCCCTTTGAAATCACACCAGCCACAGTCCTCTGCCAGGTCTTTGATGTGGTGGAAAAGCTGTACAGCGGGGATGGCCTGTGCTACCTCATCGACTTCCTGATTCCTGTCAAGTGCATCTTGCAGTGGGTCCGGCAAGAAGCCTGTGAGTATCTTGCTGCCTCCAGGTTCAAAAGGAGTGCTCAGAAAGCTTACCCCCCAGCATCATCTGGGGGGGGGAAACCTAATAGCCAGGCTGGGTTTGCAGCCAAGAAACCTTTAAATGTGCCCAAGGCATTGCGATTTTTTGCCCCACTCGTTCCTAAACAAATAGAGCAATACTGCAGAAGCTTTCAAGGGTCTGAATCGCCAGAGTTTATTCTATTAAACATATACAACTTGTATTTACAAAAATTACGTTTGTGCAGATGACTCTTTAAAAAACTGCAAGTGTTAGAGAGCAGGTTTATATCTGCTGCATGCAACAAATGTCAGGCTTGATTATTAACAGCAAAAATAAACACTCTGTGGCTCACTTCTGTTGTTCATGCAAAAAAGAAAGAGTCTGTATGCGCTAGTTTTGCCTTATTCCACAAGTAAGGACAGCTTCCTTCTTAGAATAAGTAATGCTTACCTGCATCAGTGTGTGCCGGGCTTAATAATATCTTTAAGCAACTGTGAACCTGAAATAGCTTTTCCTCAATTATGGGATGCTTATAATTATGGCATGGCGGATGGGTGGGGTGGTATTAGATTCTCCCTTATTGAGAAACTGCTTCTAAACAATTCCCCTGACTTTTCTTATCCCATCAGGTTCAGTATTATGGTTAACTCGACCAGCATGCAGGCCGGCCCCTTTGCAGTCATGAGAAGATGGTCATCCAGCTGGCTTCTCTTGACTGATGGACCTCAAGACTGGAGGACTTTTACCTGCAAATGGTTCCGTACTTGAGAAGGTCTCCACGGATTATAGTGAAATGCTTGGCCAAGGACAAACGTAACGTGGAGGAGTTTGGGGTACCTCCTGCCTTGTGTGCCTCTCTCTTTGCTGTGGAATGGCTGAGGTCCATCAGCAGAAATGGTTGGGAGCCACACTGGAAACTGCTTGTTAGCCCCAGATGGTGAGATATTCTGAGTGCCTTGGGATAAAATAGTCAATCCAGAATTTATCAGTAAGTCCCAAACTATTTGAAAAAATAAAAAGAATGTGCATTTTGCCCCAATGACTGAGAAGTCTCCTGCTCTGGGCTTCCCTGTGGAGGTGTCGCCCAGGAACCGTCTTTCAGGGGGACCCCACGTCTTCCACGAGGCCAACTCATTTGCCATCACCCCAGTGGGGGAGCCTGCTGGTCAGGCATGTAGGGACCTAGCGGCCGGGAAGGCCTGTGACAGTGATGGGGAGGGAGAAGAGAGGGACTTGGCAGATGCCTCCATGCCCACCTCTGGCTGCCCCAAAGGATCTTCAGCTCAGTCCAGCACTTGGCATTGGCTGGAAGTCAAGGACAGCCAGCAGCTTAGTCAGAACAATAGCCTTGGCTGGGGAAATTGCGCTGGTTCAGCTCTTGCATCGGTGCCATCTGGGCAGCTGAGGACTCCTGACATGCCAACTATTAATGTTGCATGTTCTGTGAATAATGAAACAGACAGTGGTAAATTGTTCCTGAAACATCCTGGCGTTCCAGAGAATTGTCCAGCTCCTTTGATTCCCACTGCTACCTCTATTATTAAGGAGCCACATTTTGCCGAGACATTATCAACACATCCAGAACAGGAGCTTGATTGGCGGTATGCCACGTGTAGTTACAAGGATGGAGAGGAGGCTGAAGCTCAGGCTCTGGGGAGAGGCCCGTCTGCCAGAGCGGGAGGCAGCTTGGGGTTCCCCAAGCCTTCTGCATCCTGTCCTGATGTTTTGGGTGTAGACAGAATAGGTGGCCGTCTCCCGACCGAGGGGGAGATCAGGAGCTGCCATTCTGACAGCTCCAAAGTAAGGCTGGAGGGAAAGGCACGTTCTCCAGCCACAGTCGAATCATCACAGGTGGGAGTCTTTTCGAGGAGGAACGTGGCTGATCACCAGTCCTCCCAGACACAGTTGGTGGAAGTTAAAGGTTCGTCTTCTGAATGGTTGGAACAACGGTATCTTCTAGAGCACGTGGAAGGGACACTAGAGGAATCATTAATGGAGTTGACCAATAGAATAAGCATGGAAGGAAATCACCAATGGCAGACTACACAAAGCCCCCTTAAGAATGAGTGGCAGCTTAATTCTGGAGACCCTTTAATCCCGAAAAGATCCCTTTCCCAGAAGGCAGGGCAAGAAAATGCGGACGGTTGTCAAGAGCGAGCGGAAGGCAGTCTTCTGTTTCCCGGTTCTGAGGCTGAGCCGAAGAGCGCAAGAACAGAGCTGAAGGAAAAGGGCCCCGGGCCTCCAGCAGAAGTCCCTGGACAGACAGGCCCCCCCCGCAGCCACCTTCACCCAGATGTTGTTGCAGCATGTTCTGTGGATCAGCCCGGTCTCTCAAGCACACCGCACGCCCCTTCCCCAGACAAGGAGTCGGGCGTGGGGGCCTTCCTGGAAAATGGGCACAACTCAATCCATGAAGCTCCCTGCCAGTTTCAGCCTAGCGACCCGGAGATGAACTCCTTGGTATCCTCTCTCCCAGCGCTGTTCCCAGCTGTGACATTGCCTGAGCGCACCAGGCCCATCCCAGAGGGGGATCAGGCCACAGGTACGATGCATTCGGGCACTTTCTGCCCTTTGCTGGGAAAATGATCTCGTGGCAGACCGAGTGTGCAAGAGCATGAGAAGGGCAGGAATTCCAAGTTTAGAACGTTAAAGGGGTTAATTGCAGAGGCCAGCAACCTTTTCGGCTAGGGGACATATTTAGGATTTTGAAAATATGCCATGGGCTTTTCGGCAAAGAATTGCCTCAGAGAAGTTAGCCCGTTTGTGACACAGTTGTCGTATTGCACAGGGAAGGTCATTTAATTACCACAGCAAACTTCCTGTAGCTCCTGGATGCTTCCTATAATTTCTAGTTTATGTTTTTTTTATTTTTGCTCGTCAAATTGAGCATGTGTAAAGAATCGCAGTGTTCATTTTAGGCTGCGGTGAGCTGATTTTTCTAAGTAAAATCCTCGTGGGTCATCTGGCATTATTGGAAATGAAGATTGTGCTTGGTGGCTGTCTGTTCACTTTGCAGTATGCTAGTTTCCAACTGAATAGCCTACACCTACTAAGTCTCCCCAAAATCAGGAGGGCACGAAGGCTGGGCCGGGCCAGGCTGAGGGAGTGGCTCACACGTGGGCGTTGTGCAGTGCTGGAGACTTCTGTCTTATTGCACAGGAATGAGCTTGCAAATTGTGTATAAAATGAACATTGTGCTAGACCAGAACTCCCAGATTCTACTGCCAAAATTTAGCAACACAACAAAAGTTGTGATGACATGATTGTTCACAAAAAAGGAACAAAGCTTCTCACTCATCCCAAAAAAAGCTGTACAGGTAGTCCTTGACTTACAATCACAATTGAGCCCAAAATTTCTGTTGTTAAGTGAGACATTTGTGAAGTAAGTTTTGCCCCATTTTACAACTTTTTTTGCCACAGTTGTTAAGTGAATCACTGCAGTTGGTAAGTTAGTAACCTGGTTGTTAAGTGAATCTGGCTTCCCCACTGACTTCGCTTGTCAGAAGGTCGCAAAAGGGGTTCACGTGACCCTGGGACACAACAATAGTCATTTACATCTATTGTGGGGTGGCTGGCAAGAGCTACATGAGTCAGGAAGAATCAAGGCTCCGACCAGCCTCCCCCTCACCCCCATGGCTGTTTCCTAGTTTTCAGTTTTTTGTAGCTAGGAGGAAGAGCAGATGGGAAGCTACCAGCCCTGCAGCTCCAGAGAAAATACTGCAATTCCAACTTCTCGGGGCTTTTTCTGAAGTGGCAGCTGAGCCAAGGGGAAGTCACATGGCATCCTAAAGGTGTGACACTAGGGCGAGATCGGGGCTCCCCTTCTGCATGAAAGGAACCTCAGTGAAGTGATAATGTTTCTGCCTTGAGTTTGCCCAAAAACTAATATTTTTTCAAAAGACGTTGATGCATGTGGTGGGCTGCAGATATAGAATAATAAGGATGTAAATATCCTCTAACAAAGTAATAGGAGATGAGGGGAGAGGCATTTTTATTATGGCATTCAAGAAGGTGGAATTAATATGCTTTTTATTCTTGATGTAAATGAGTCTCTCAAGGCTGATTTTTGCTAATCTTTGTCATTTCCACTAGTTATCTCTTGTGCCGAGAAGAAAAAACTTAAAATTAAATGTCAGTGCACAGTAGATTTTTTTAATTTTCTCTGCACATATTAGCACTCAGTTGACAATGGGTTAAAGCAAAGAGTACATTCTCAAAGTCACACATGATTTTTAGCACATGATTGACTAATGGATTGATTATATGCCATCAAATTATTTATTCATCACATGGCATATCATACATGGACTAACAATATATATATTAACATTCCACCTAGATTGGTAAAACACAATAAAATGTAAATGTTAAAAAGATCTCTGTTCAAATATTCAGACTCCCTACTCATTGTATTAGGCAATTTCAACAGTGCTAACCTAAGCCAGGGGCTGCCAAGATACACTCAGCGTGTCTGCTATCTCCCCAGAGGCAGAAATGTTTTAGACCATTGCTACTCAACACTAAAAGATGCCTGTCGCTCTCTACCAAGAGCAGCCGTGGGGCGCTCTGATCACTGTCTGATTCGCCTCGTACCTGCAGCTTATAGACAAAGATTTAAAATCATAAAACCAATAGTTAAAACAGTGAAATCTTGGACTAAAGAGGCAAAGTTAAAGCCATAGGCTTGCTTCTTCGACTGCACAGACTAGAAAGTTTTTGAAGCTGCCTCAGCGGACTTGGATGAACTGACACTGACATATGTTAGCTTTTGTGAGGACTTATGTGTGCTGATCAAAACCTTACGTGTCTCGTAATACTAAACCTTGGTTCACAGCTAAGCTCCAACATCTACACTGTTCCAAAGAGGAAGCCTACAGGAAAGGAGAATGAGTGCTATGCGATCAGGCCAGGAATGTATTAACAAGGGAGATCAGGCAGCAAAGAGAAGCTACTTTGAAAAGCTGAGGAATCAGGTCTCCACAAATGAACCAGCAAATGTGTGGAAAAGCCTGAAAAATATCACTGGCTACAGCACACCTCCCTCTCTTGAATTGGCAACTGGCAGAGGACCTGAATGTATCCTCCTGTAGGTCTGGGAGGAGACCACTGTCAAGTACCGCTACCCTCTCCGTCTCCAAGGCTAGGTTAAGGTTCAGAATGAACTGAGACTTGCAACAAAGGTCGTTTTCAAGTTACGTTATTAAGCACAGGGTTCGCCGGCAGAGTAATTAGTTATAGCTGCCCAGAGTCGCTATGGACAGCAAGATGGGTAGCATATAAATGTAATAAAATAAGTAATCTGATGCTCCAGCAGTTTGCTGCAGTCTGGGAAGCAAGGATTGTAATGGGAAGGCAGCACCTCCAATCCCAATGCAAAGGACCGAGAGAAGAGCTGGCCAAGGAGCAGGGCGGAGGAGGACGAGAGCCAGACTTCTAAATGTGCAAACTAAGCAATAAATCAGAATCCAGCTGGAAGGGACCTTGGAGGTCTTCTAGTCCAACCGCCTGCTCAAGCAGGAGACCCTATATCTTTTCAGACAAGTCTCTTCTTAAATACCTCCAGTGATGAAGCACCCATAACCTCTAGTAGCAAGCTGTTCCGCTGGTTAATTGTCCTCACTGTTAGTAAGTTTCTCCTTAATTCCAGGTTGCTTCTCTCCTTGATTAGTTTCCATCCATTGCTTCTTGTCTTGCCTTCTGGTGCTTTGCAAAACAAGTTGACCCTCTTTTCTTTGTGGCAGCCCCTCAAATACTGGAAGATGGCTATCATGTCCTCCCTAGTTCTTCTTTTCTCTAGACTGGCCATCCCAATTCCTGCAACCGTTCTTCATATGTTTTAGTCTCCAGGCCTTTAATCATCTTAGTTGCTCTTCTTTGCACTCTTTCCAGAGTCCCAGCATCTTTTTTGTAATGTGGTTACTGATATTAGCTGCAGTATTCCAGGTGTAGCTTTACTAAGGCTTTATAAAGCGGTACTAATACTTTGTGTGATCTTGATTCTGTGCCTCTATTTATATAACATATTAGCTTTTTTGGCTGCACATGGCCGGCTCATGTTTAAATGATCATCCACTAGGATGGTCGTTGACTAGGACAATTTAAGTTTAAGCGATTGTCCACTAGGACTCCAAGTTCCAAGGTTTGGCAGCAAGCGCAGGCTGCTCCGCAATAGCAAGTGTAAGTGTGCATGTGTGTGTATATGTGTGTGTGCAAGAAGAGATGTTTCATCACCTACGGTAAACCTTATTGGGATTGTCCAGTTCAGAGCAACGGCAAAGAGGCAGGATAAATCAACGTGCATCTGCTTTGTCTCTGAATGCAAATGGGAATAATTGAACTCTTAGCATTGAAAGCTGTTTCTTGTTACAGAAACATCATCGAGTGGGACAGAAAAGGCCCACAGTGAAGAAGCGGATAACAGCAGCCTGCCAATGAAGAGTGTGAATTGGGAGATGCTTCGGAGTGGGGCTGCGTGCCTGCCAGGTAAAGCCTCCAGAGGTTGTTGCTATTTTTATGATTTGTGAAGAAGGCAGTGGTCAGGGAAAGAGTGATTTGCGAACCTGGAAAACACTTCCACTTTCTCACTGGAGGTTGGGCCTTTGTGCATTGGCCCCCTCCCCAAAGAAGCAGCCAGAGCCTCCGCACTGCTGGGCGGTCTCCCTAGGACAACCACAGTCTGGCTTTCCCCCGTTGCAGGGGAACAGTGGGCAGTCGGGCTCTAAGCAAGAGCAGGAAGAGCTGAAATCTTTGTAGAGTGAAGTGGTGGACCTGAGGATCTATAGGAGAACCAGCCTGAGTTGCCAACTGGGTTGGGGGACAAGCCATTCCCCCCAAAATGGTTTATGGCTCTCTGCAGCCAGACTCCCAGTGAGGGTCAGGAAGATCTGCCCTCGAAGAAAACAAGTGGTAGTCTATGTGGGCCCAATTCTGCTTTCAGAACCAGATCTATGCAGACCTGAGTTTGTGTTTCTCCTATTCTGCTGATCATTTTCAGCTTCTGTCATCCTGCTATTTCAAACATTTTGCCATGTTTGTATCCATTCATTCATGAGATAGGTTGAAAAAGGCATTTCTCTGTTTATTGGAGGGCAATACGTGGCCACTTCAAGGGGCCTTGGTTGTTCTTTTTGCCTAATTAGTTAGACAAATTAAATGGAGCCTCTTTCTCAGGTACCAGAGACAGATGTGGGCGCGCTGTGGTCATCATTACAATGAGGAATACAATTTGGTTGTGCCCGAACTGCAATGCCAGTGAAATAACCCGCCTTCTCCTGTATTTACGCAGCATTCTCAGGTTTGTGGGAAAAGGCAAGGCAGACATGGTCAACGAGTGTTCTGTGCACTGAATACTGTAACTGTTCTTTCAGTTCTTAGCTTTATAATTGTAGATTTCCAGCAAGTGAAAAAACACAGATGTGGCTCTTAGCTGGCTTTGAAACTTCCATGTCTTCTGGAAATCCCAGATACGGCAGCTTAGATATACTGCTATAATTATTTACTGTTCTGTGTAAATATTCTCTGATCTCCTCAAGGAATATTTTGAATAGCTATAGACCAGGGGTGTCAAAATGCCGGCCCGTGGGCCGGTTGCATCATGCGCAGACCGCGCGCACCCCAGCTCCGGCAATGCGAAAAAAGTCACGATACCTCGCGACACATCACGAGACGCAGCAAGTTTGACACCCGTGCTGTAGACCAATGTTTCCCAAACTTGACAATTTTAAGGCATGAGGACTTCAACTCCCAGAATTCCACAGCCAGCAACGCTGGCTGTGGAATTCTGGGAGTTGAAGTCCACATGCCTTAAAATTGTCAAGTTTGGGAAACACTGCTGTAGACCCTCATGATAGAGTTTGAAACTTGGTGGGGGAACTACTATTACCCAGTAAGAAACTAACAAACCCTGTTACTGTTGCCTCTGGCTTGGTGACACTGCCTGCCTGCTCGCCCTCAGCCTTGAGACCTACAAGGCCAGGGGAAGACTTCTGGGTGCTTTGGACTGGGGGGGGGGGAGGAGGAGGTGCAGAGGAAGAACTACTGGGAGATCTTTGAGGCTCCTTGGTGCTCTCTGAGCTTTTTTTTTTTTCCCCCCCAGATGTTTTATTATTCAGACTAGGTAACATCATCAGTGCATCACTAACAGAGATCATGTTACCTAGTTTGGGTAATGAAAGTTTGCAAAAACACCACCAAGCTCAGAGAGGACAAGGAGCCCTCATTTCAACCCTGGGCTGCAAATATTCTCCTTTACTGGTAGGGAGTCTTTGCCCTGGGAAGGCAGCCTGCAGGGGTGGAGGAGTTAAAGGAGCTGCTGGTCCGGATTAGTAGCAACCATGCCTGTCTCCTATTCCCTTCCATCCCCAGGCCGGAGCGCAAAGCCTTGGGCTTAACCATCCTGGTAGATGCCCGGCGATCTTCTCCAGTCCCAGCTGTCTTTACAGCCTTAGGCACTTTGCAGGTGAGACTTCCTTCCTTCTTCTGAATGCTGTTCTCCCATTGCTGGGTGCCCACTGGGCACACAGAGCCCTTGTTTTCCTTTGCCAGCGTCCCATCATGCCAGGTCTAGATGCCCTGGAGGTGCTGGAAACATTTGGGTAAGAAACTGCTCAGGTGTGAAGGGCCTGGCCTTAAGGCAAGCGGCTGCAGTTCTGGAGTCCTTCCACTTGGCCTCTTCCTTCCTCGTTCATAGAGGAATGGAGAGAACGTTCCTGCCAAATTCTTCTTTAGCTGGATGTCAAAGAAAACTTTTGACTGGAGCAGGAGCTGTAGAAAAATGCATTTTATCATTGCAGGAGACCATCCCCCACTGCATCCATAGAGCCCTGCTCCTTGTGGAGGGAGGCCGCACCATCCAGGTAGACGAACCGGCTGCTGTGCAGGTGCGAGGAGGTTCGGGGTTCAGGGATCCTCGGCTCGGGCTGGTCTGATTCTATAGTCCTGCATCCCGAAGCTTTGGGGAAGTTAAAAGCAAGATTTTGTAAAGGACGAGGAAGAGGTAGAGCAGCCCCACGGCAATCCTGCTGCCCCCTGGGTAGGCGCTTGTGGCCTGTGTAGACCTGCTAAATAGGCAGGCAGCCATTCCAGCCCAGACGGGGTCTGCTCCTGGGCTGCCTTTCCCCCCGGTTTCCCTTTTCCCGTCAACGTGCACAAAACCTCCATGTTTCTGGCCAAGGGGTTTGTGTTGCAGGAATCGGAAAATGAGAGTCTGTTCAGCAATTAATGTTGGACATCCAGAACTTGGTGGCCATGGGCTTAGGAAAGATGTCACCTCTTCCCCGTTTGCTTTGTGTTCCCCTCCTTACCATCTTATTATTTATTGTTTTATTATTTTAATGTGTACTAGTTTTAATGTTTGTAAGCTGCCCAGAGTCATCTCTAAAAAGATGAGAGGCACATAAATTTAATACATAAATAATAAACAAACCAAACTGGAGAGGTGATATGGAGGTTAGTGATTGCCAGTTTTCAGCCTTGTGCAGTATTTGGGGAAATGTAAGCTGGTCTAACGTGAGAATGCCTCTCCTTTCTCTTCCACAGTGTGAACTTCTCAGTTCCTTGAAGTCCCTCCACAAACATGTTGAGAGCCAGCAGCTACCCCAAGAATTCGGTGGGTCGCTTCCCTATTGCCATCAGGATTGGCTGCACTTCCAAATGGTGAGGCAGGCATGAAAACATAACCTTTGAGTAATCCAGAATTTCAGGAAATCTACAGTTCTATGAAAAAGTATTCTCTCTCTCGTGAACTTTCTGAATTTTTGCATATTTTGCCCTTGAATATTATGAGAACCAGGGTTGAATGTATAACATACATTTATATACGAAGTGGGGAAGGTGCACTGCTTCTTCAGGTTCGAAGGGGGCAGTTCTTCTGTGGACACAAAGGTGGCTCTCCAGTCCCGTCTGGAAGCGCAGAGTCCAGAACAGGGAGTGTGTATGTGTGTGTGTGACACCGGAAGGCCATTTTTTAAAGTGAGTGTTGTCCTGTGACGCCACTTATGATTTGCTATTAGTTTTGGCAGTGCCTGTTCAAAGCCACTGGAGGTGGCTCCCACTGGGCAGATCCTAGGGGTATGGTGTGCTGCCCCAAAATGGAAGTTACAAAACCATTTCTAGAATTCCAGGACTCCATCAGTCCAAAGTTAGACACACAATTGGGTCAACAGTGAATCTTCTCAAGCGACTTCCTGTCAAAATCGATCTAGCAGACAGTCTGGAGGATCCTCAGAACAACTGTTGCGGTTCTTAGGCCTCTTCTTGCCGTGGATGCAAATGGGATTCGGGAGGGAAGAGCTGGGCCGAAGCCCCTGCACGCCAAGGAGGCGATGCTCCCGTTTCCCAGAAAGCAGCTGGATGGCCCTCCATGCTTTGGGAGGAACGCTCTGTGGCCAGATGAATAGGACATTTCAGGCTGCATAAATGTCTGGCAGAAACCGAGCCCTGCATTCCGTAAGGCTAGCCTTGTACCAGGTACCAAGTATGTAGGTGGTAATTGCCATTATTAAAGGAAGCACAAACTCTGATCTGAATAAGAGAATTCTTCAGAACAACGTACCAAATACATGGAGATAATATCATGAAACCAGCAAGATCTACAAAAGAACAGATGCCATGATTTGGAATGAATAAGGCAAAATTCAGATTTAAAGACCATGAAAATGTGGTGGCATAACCCAAAACAAGCAGCTCACTCCTCCCCCCCTCCCTCCAGGCCAGTTTTCCAGAGAGAATGGGCAGGATTCTCGCCCAGCAGAGCTGGCCAGAGGCTGACCTCCCGGTGCGAGGATGGTTGGCTGCCAGCGTAGCAGCTGGAAGGAGGGCAAGGCTCTGGGATTGAATGTAAGGTATTAGCTTCAAGAGGTAAAAATGAAGCAGGAGTCTAGTAATACCTTTTCCAATCAGCCCATTTTATTGAGAGCCTCATCTGACGAAGGGAGCTACAGCTCACAAAACTTACATCTTTCCATACAGTTAATTGGAAAAGGTGCTAATATTCCTCCTGAATTTACTTTTTCATACCGGCACAGGACATGACGTGATGGATAACGGTGGTATTGACAGTGGGCTCGATGCAAGTGCCCCCCTCCAGCATTTCCCTTTGGGTGGATTTCCCCCGTGGCAGGAAGTCGGCAGGGTTCTGGGATGGGGGGGTGACACTGTTTATACATTGGTAGGACTGACATGTTCTGGTAATATTCAAGAGAACAACAGACCAAACACATACAGATAATATCATGAAACAGCAAGATCTACAAAAGAACAAATTCTGATGTTCTGATAATATTTATGCAAAGATAAGCAAACATTCAGAAAACGTGGAACAGGGTATATCGGTTAAGAACTTTGATTTCCAGATGTTTAGGAAAAAAGATTGTTTTCTTTGGGGCAATGGATTAAGTGGGGGTTCCAGAGGGCCACGAGGAGGGGAACGCAGGGGGTCCTGGTGCCCCAGAGAGGCGGGTGGGAGTGTGCTGGGAAAGGCTTCTGGCCCTGGGCGGCTCCTCTGGAAAGGCAGGCTCTCCTGTCCAGGTGGAGTGGCAAAGGAGAAAATAGGGCCTCGACCCCCCCCCCCAGAACCTTGGCTTGGGTTCGGGAGCTGCAGCAGGCGAATGGCTGGTTAACCCACGTGCTGCTGAACTTTCAGCGTCTGGAGCGCTTGCTTTCTGGATGCCAAGAGGCTCGCCTGTTCCTCAAAGAGGCTGTAGAAACGGTGGAGTCCAGCAGATGGCCGGAGAAACCCCAGGTGAGTTTCTGGCTCCATCCTGGTAAGAAGCAAAGGTTCCCTGGGCCGAGTGCCTGTGGTAAGGTGGCTTTTTTAAAAAAAAAAAACACACCCTTCTCCAACCTTTGGGGTTGGGTGCAAAGGCCCTGGAGGTGCCAGCCACCCCCTTGCCAGTGGCTACAAAGGTGGCAAGAAGGCCGGAGCCTGAAGCAGCCCTCCGTGTCTTTCCTTCACTCTAGGATGCCGCTGCCCTGTTGAAGAGCTGCAGGCAAATGATGAGGATGGTTCTGGATGACCCAAGGCTGGCCAGGTGGCAGCTGGAGGGGGGTGCCCTCCTGGCCAGCCTCAGGAAGGAGGAATCCTGCGGGATGCTGTCTGAGGACTGCAGGTGACCTTGCTATGGGAGTAGGAAGCAGGGGGGCCAAGGTGGGGGGCAGGCGATGCGAAGGTGCCAACTGTGCAGGAACAAGGCTCTTCTCCCTGGGAGTGTCCCTGCCATTCCCTTCCGTGGACTTCTTTGCGGGGATCTCATTAACTCCCCCCCCCTCTTTTTTTTTCTTTGGAATTTTAATTCTTTAGTCCCATTTGGCACTCTGTGGTTCTATAGTCACATGGGTTTTTTTTTTTTTTGCAAGTTTCCCTTATTTCTTTAATGAAACTAACCAATCATCTATGACACGCATCTTGAGATTCAGGGATTGCAATAGGAATGTTCCAATAAAACTTAATACAGCACTGACGTTATCTAGTTAATGTAATGTTTGCATGAAAACAAGCTCAGAGAGCACCACAGACCCTCAAACTTAATACAGCCACTGTGAGCTACACGTTGCAAGGCCATTGTCACCCATCCCGCTTAGTTTAATTAGCAAATAAAGACTCCTGGTTCATTTCTTTTTCCAAGAGTATACTTTACTGAGAACAAAGCGGTTACAGATTAGAGCAAGCAGAATCTGTTGGGTGCCTCTGATCAGTTCCTAGGAAAGAAAACTTTGACTCCATAGATTCAGAGAAAAGGTACTTTTACCAAGAACAAACTGAATGCAGCAAAAGTCAGGCAAGGTCTGAAGCAAACAGGTGGGAAAAAGACAAATTGAAAATATCCCCAGAGCCTCCCCACCCCCCCCCAGTGGTCAGGCAGACAGAGTCCAATAATCAAGCCATTGCTCCCTCCCTCCCCTGTTTCTATGGCAACTGGCAGCAAGCTTTTTTTGTATAAAGTTTTATTGGTTTATAGTGTACAACACAATGAAAATATAAAAGTAAATAGCAGAAAAGATGGGGAGGGGAAAAGGAAATGGAGGTGAGGTAAGGAAAAAAAAGACATTGGCTTCCGACTTCCTTTGCTGCAGCGAAGTATCAACTTCAAACCTCAACTTTTTACTTTTACAAAACAATATAAGCTAGCCATTTCAATAACATCAAGTCTATCTGATTGGTAAAACCCAAAATCAAAATTTCATTTTTTTCAACCTCAGCTGGCAGCAAACGTGAAGGAAAGCGATGATGATGTTAGCTTGGTGTGAAAACCATTTCTCAGATCCTTCCATTCTTGGTGTTCTTCTCAGCTTTGTGATCTAGCATGGTGTCAACAGCCAGGTCTGATGTTGACCACAAACCATAAGACAAGGAGGTATTCTGAGTCACACAAAATTAATCTAAGGACTTTTGGGAAGGTAGGAATTGAGAATGTAGAAAGAGTGCTTCCTTCTTCCCCTAGACCGGTTCCCAGGCAGTTGCAGAGCTACTTCGAACTAGTAATGGCCCCTGGTCAACCCTTCCATCTGACCATTTGCCATCTGTTCTTCCCTTCCCGTGACTTTTTTACTTCCAGGCCATTTCAATAGTGAGGTTACGTGGTTTCCCCGCATCCAAATAGCCCTGACAGGAGGGGTTGGAACTTCATTGATTGACCTTTGCTTTTCTCTCAGAGATGCTGTGAAAGTGGCTGGTGCTCTTTATGCAGAAGTGGATGAAGGAACCCACCAGCTGGTGCTGGTCTCTAACAGGCGCATCCGAGTCCTGGAACTGCTAATGGGATTGGAAGCTGTGGAGCAGTGCTTCCAAGAAGTCAGTGCCAGATGTTTTGCAAGGCTATCAGATGGGTGCCTTTGGGCTGTCAGGGCTGCTCTGAATTTGGGGGAGTGAAAAATAGCAGCCAGCTAGGCCTCATATTTTCAGTGGACTTTCTTTCGACCTCCAAGGAATTCTGGTAATGTGGAGGTGTTATTGGATGACTCCATGAGATTACTGCCAATGTGCAGTGACAAAAACAATATGAAAAGAAATCTCCCCTGCACCCCCATCGTTAGCAATGGCTGTGGTTGTCATGCATGGACTGAACTGCTCCAGCTCAGCTGCTCCCCTGGGTGGTTGCTGGGTGGTTTTAGGGGAATGTCTGGAAAGTGCACCTGATTGAGGGTAACATTGTTGAAGTCCTTGTTGAATATTGTAAAGTCCCAGGCCTGAGGTTGGTGTGTCGGTGGAGCTCCTGTTGTGTTTTTTGACTTATAGCTGTTTTTGTATGGGGTATTGTACTTTGTTGTTATGCTTTTAAGTGTTTTAAACTTTACTGAATGTTGTAAACTGCCCTCTTTTGCAATGGGGTGTCTATAAATGATCATCCACATGACCGTCCTTATCCTTCAGACCGAGTGCCACTGACACGGTCCTGACCTACATTGCTGGAACCATCAGTCTTGGTTGTCTTTCCTTTTTAGGGAAGTTTGTTGAGAAGATGGGTGGACTTTTCCAAATATCAGTTCAGTCCATAGTTTGAGCTAGAGGGGGCCATTCTTGCCATTGACCTGCCTGAGCCAGCATTTTTTGCTTCCTTTTCTCAGATCTGCAGCTGGATCAAGAATGTTGGTGAAAAGCGCCTCCTGGAGCTGAACACCCTGGACAATTCTCTGGATGGGCTGCTTCAAGCCAAAAGGCAGTGCCAGGATTTGGCACTTACGGCAGATGTAAGTTCTACAGTCCATGCATTCTCCCTCCCACTTATATATTATTTCCTACTGCAGGTCCTTACACCTTTATTAAATGTAACAGTAAAGAATGTGATACAACAGGACATTAAAGTGGTATAAAACTGTTGAATAAAAATAATGTTCATAAAAAAGGAAGGAGGAAGGAAAAGTTGGGAAGGCTGGGTGAAGAGGTGAGAGCATTGCAGAGCCCCCTAACCCCCCCCCCAAATTCCCGGAGTCAGGAATTTGCTTCTCACCCAGAGATGGGAAAGATGACTGGAGCAGATCTGGGAGTGCAGCAGCCTCTCCAGAAGGTCAAGAGAGGGCCTGGTGGCTGCTGCGCCCCGGGACAGCAGTGAAGAGGGGGAAAGGAAAGAAGGTCTCCTTAGCAGGAGCTTAGACCTCCTAAAGGCCAGACTTTGGGGGTGGGGTGGGAGAGACCTGAGCAAGAGAAATTGGTTCTCACTCAGACCAGTTTTCACAGCTAAGGCAGGACCCGAATTCACCATCTCCTGCTTTCTAACCTGGTGCCTTCACCACTAGACCAGACTGGCTCTCTTTCGTGCTTGGCTAAGGAACCTGCTCTGCTCTGTTTCAGGAATATTGCCAGAGGGGATGGGAAGCGCTGAGGAGGTGGGATGGGGAGGAAGATCCACTGGCCACGGGACACCAGTCAGGCTGCGGAGTCCAGCTGCAGGAGTACAAGACCCAGCTGCAGGGATTCTGCAGAGATCTGGAGGGCACCAGGAGTCGGATAGAGCAGGCGGTTGAACTCTACAGATACTTGGAACAGGTGAGTTCTTCTGAAAAGACGCAGCTGGTACTTTGCCTGCCAAAAAGATAAAAAGAAAGTGGTCTTTTCTACCCTCTCTTGTGGGCTGGCAATTAGCCTGTCCCTCTTGGCTGGTAAGACCCTCCTGGCCCTGAGCAAGTGTCCCACCAGCAGCAGAAAAATTGAGGGCTGTAGGGCAGGGGAGAAGTCCGGCTATATCCTGAAGAGGAGTCCCAGGGCTGCCTATTGGGCAGGGAAAAGCCAAAGGTTCCTTTGCCCTGGCACTGAGTGCTCTCTCCTTGGCCACAAGGTAGCGGTTGAGTCTCTTCTTTGGTTCTGACTTCTCAGTCCAGCCTGTAGACCTGGAATTGCCTGGAGGTGTCCCACCTGGGCCTTGAGCAAGCCTGGTCCTCTCTTTATCCAAAATCCCAGAAGGGTCCAGCTGAAGGCGCCCAGGAGAACCGGGTCTAGCTTGAGCAGCTTCTTTGAGCTCCGAGCGCTTCTTCCTTTCCTCTGAGCTGTTGCTTCTGTTCCTCCCCTGCAGGCGCACAAGTGGGCAGAGGAGGGGATGCGGTTCCTCGCCAGCCTCAGTGGGGACAACGGTTCTGCTGCTGTTGGGTCTGGTCTGCAGAACTACTGGGAGCAGCACCCAGGCATGAGTGACACCCAGTTCCAAAATATGAAGAAGCTGGCCTGTCTGCTGCCAAGCAGTGAGCCTCTTAAGAAGTGGCAGCTTGTCTGGTCCCAGTGTCAGAGGACCAAGCGTGCCTTGGAGGTGAGGCTAGAAGCTGCGCTGAGGGTCCAGCAACCACCAGGTCCTCCCAACCTGAGGCCCTCGGAAGAGGGAGAGTCCTGCTTGGCCAGTCCAGACAAGAGGAGTCCTCTGGCCAAAACTCCCAGCATGGCGCCTCTACCTGAAAAGCCAGCTCAGCTTCCCACAATAGACACTTGCAATGGAGCTGGAGGGGGTCTGCGCCAGACTGCTTGCAGCCACTCTTGTCAGCTTGCTGTTGACCCTCCTAAGCCATCGTGCCATCTCTGCGACGGGGGAGACCCTCTGGAAGCCCCAGAGGAAGCCCCTTCCTCTGAACAGCTCTTCTCCAGAAGGAGACTGAGGGAGGCCCGGAGCATTGACCTCCCCAGCTCAGAGGAACCTTGGACTTGGGCTGACCCGAGCCATTGTGGCAGCACCGGAGTCTGGATTAAAGGCTTAGAAGTCAGCAGCCCGGAGTCAGTGGGCGGGCCCTGGGAAAGCCAGCAGCCCCTCGGCTCAGCTGCCTCACCAGCCTTCCATCCACAAGAGGACCAGAGGCAGAGGGGCCTTGTGCCAGAGACGAGGAGCTGGAGCAGGTGGGTTTGGGCTGCGCTTCCCCACTCACGGCAGTTGGTCCTGGTCTGGCTGCCGATGGATGTGCAAGGCAGCAGGTAGCTGGTCTCAGAGTCATCCTCCCTGCAGAGCACGTGGGCCCTGATGTCTCAGCACAGCCGCTGCTGAAGGTGGAGGAAGACTGCAGCCCTTAATGCAAGAGTGTGAGGGACAGTTTGGAAGAGTTTGGGGTCAAGCAGAGATGGCTTTAACATGGGGGAGAAGTCTCTGTGCCTTGCCTGGTCCAAGAAGTTCTGTTTATTTGTGTTGTATCTATTGATGTCAGCATCTTTACCTCTTGCCAAAGTCTCATGCAGATAATGGTACCCAAGCAGGTGAGCTTGTTCTTCCAGGGACAGCTGTTGGCTCCTTCCTTGGATTCCATTACCAAGCCCTGAGTCTTTCCTGAGAAATGCAAAAGTCCCCCAAGGACAGAGCTCCCCGTGGAATGAAAGGTGGTGGATGTCAGCATGGGAGGGCGTCTTTCCCTTGCTCTCACATAACCAGGACTGGCCGGCTCCAGTGGGGGATGTCGGTTGCCAGCTTGTGACACCGTGATGGCCCTGCAGCTTTAAGGCTCTTTTCTCTTGGCCCCTGGAGGGGCAGATGACCCAGGCAAAGGTTGGATACAGCGCTTTGATGAGGCATCATGCCGAAATGCCCTAGCCTGCTTTTTCTGTATTGCAGCAAACCGCAGCATATTATGGAGGAGATGGTGAGGACAGAGCAGGAGTACGTGCGATCTTTGCGCTACATCCTTGACCACTATTTTCCTGAAATGGAGCGGGTGGACCTGCCTCAAGACCTGAGGGGAAAGCGAAGTGTCATTTTTGGGAATTTGGAGAAGATGTACAACTTCCACAGCCAGTATTTCCTGAGAGAATTGGAGCACTGTTGCAGCCATCCTCTGCGAGTCAGCCATTGCTTCCTGAGACATGTAAGCAAGGAGGGCTTTCCTGGGTGAAGCAGGGCTGGGGGATCCGTGGCAGCACAATGGGGAGGAGAAGGTGAGCCGGTGGCCGAGAGCTGCTGCAAGAGAGGGAAGGAGCTGAGCCCATGAGGGAAGTTCTGGGCAGGCTCCAGCAGAGTTCCCTGCTGGGTGCAGCTGCTGTTCAAAGGCGGCGGCGGACCCCACCCCTCCCTGCACTCAGGGCAGAGAGCAGCCCCAGAGGAGTGCTAGGAAAGCCACCGTGCCCTTTGGCTGCCTGCTTTTCCTGCCTATTCGCCCTTTGTGGAAACTGCCATTAGAATCACTGCCTTCCCAGCATCCTCTTGGCGCCAGTGTCAGTTCGGTCCCAGGCTTTTTAGAGAAGCCAGTGACTTTAATCTTTTCACAACAGGCTTAGAAAACTCTCCAGACTGGTTTTCCTTGTTCGCTCAAGCTGCCTTTCTGATCTTTTTTTGGTTCATGATGAATTGCTGTTCAAAATGGTCCGATCTAGAGCAAATTTGCAGCCCGGGAATGTCCCTGAAGCGTGCCAGTAAAATTTCTTTTGAGCGTAAAAAATTGACCCTTCATAATGTTATTCTTGCCACAGAACAATTGAATTATGCCGAGAAAAAATCTGAGTGCCATTACTAGAAAGTTAATAGGTATTCATAATGACTGAAGCTCAGCCCTCTGCGCAGGAGTGTCTCAGTCAGGCCTATTATAATGAGTCTTGGAAGGATTTCTGTAGGGGGATTACCAGGAAACAGGTTGGAGCAAGTCAGTAATCCTGGTAGAATTAAACATGTGTCTTTTTCTCTGTCCTGTACCCACTGCTGTCCTTTTGCTGGCAGCACAGAGTGATGGTGGTTGCCTTTTCCCCCCTACTACCTGAAAAGGTGTATTGTTACTGGAGGTGGAGAGAAGATCCTCGGCTAGACTGTGTTTCCGTCCTTTCTTGTAGAAAGACCACTTTGGGATGTATGCCTTGTATAGTAAGAACAAGCCCAAGTCTGACTCCTTGCTGGCCAGTCACGGGAATGCTTTCTTCCGGGTAAGTGGGGCAAACGCCTCCCTGGGAGAAGGGCGGCTGCCCTGCCCAGGACAGCTCCTCCAAAGGGTGCCGCACCCTGCCTGAGCTCCTGCTGAGACCGCTCTCCTTGGCCGGCAGTTCAAGCAGATGCAACTGGGAGATAAGATGAACCTGGCCTCCTACCTCCTGAAGCCCATCCAGCGCATGAGCAAGTACGCACTGCTCCTCAAGGATCTCATCAAGAAGTCTGGGGAGGCCCAAGAGCAGGAGCTGGCGTACCTGCGAGCAGCGGAGAAGATGGTGCGCTTCCAGCTGCGGCACGGAAATGACCTCCTGGCCATGGATGCCATCCGTGACTGTGACGTACGTATTGGCCAAGAAGGGTGGAAACGGAGGTGTGCGCAGGGCTGTTGCGTGAGGCAGCTGCTGCCAGGCTTCTGTCTCCACAAGACACACGCCACTGGCCAGGCGTTTCCCACGTGTCAGGGATGCCCTCGGGCAGGGAGCTGTTGGCAGCAGCTGTCCCCTGAAAGCCATCCCTCGCCCCACGTGGAATGGGACCTGGTTAGGGCCTCTGGGGAGAGGCGGAAAGGGGCCGGGCTTCATCTTGCTCGTCTCCAGTGGCCTCCTCGGGGCCTTGCTGAGAGGGCACCTGCCTTCTTCTGAGAATAACTGCGCTCCTCCGCCTAGGTGAACCTCAAGGAGCAGGGACAGCTGATGCGCCAGGACGAGTTTAGCATTTCTCTGGGCCGAAGGAAATGCAAGCGCCACATCTTCCTCTTCGAAGATCTGATCCTCTTCAGCAAGCCTAAGCGAGTTGAGGGCGCCCTGGATGTCTACGTCTACAAGCGTTCCTTTAAGGCAAGGAGGCCTGTGGTGACTTCTCCAGGGGGCCTGCCACAGTGGGTGTTGCTGAGCGAGGTTGGGAGGGTGGGCTGCACAAGAGAGAGGCAAGAACAGGCGCTGCTTGGCTCACAGATTAAGGCACCGTCTTGCCACTGGATGTGCAGGATGTCCCATGCCCAGCTTTTCTGCGATTCCTCCTGAAGGGCTGCGTTTCCTAGATGGAGCTTACATTTTGTGGCCTTTTGACGGAAAGATGATCTACCTTGCTGAGGGGCTGGAGCTGACTTTCTCGGAGCACTTTGCTCGTCTCACAGCTGCTCAGCGCACAGCCTCTCAGACTTGTTGAGAGGATCAAGGCAGGGGTTGCCTCACAGACATCATGGCTTCCTTGTCCCAGACCCCAACTCCGTTCCTCGTCCGCCATGGAAGTTGTCCCGGCCCCATGGGCGGTCTCAGCTGCATCATGCATAGTGGACTCTCATCTCCATCCCTCCAGATGGCAGAAATCGGCCTAACAGAGAACTCCGGGGAGAGCGGCCTGTGCTTTGAGATCTGGTTTAGAAGGTGGAAATCCAGGGACACCTACATCCTGCAAGCCAGCAGCCCAGAGGCCAAGCAGGCCTGGACAAGCGACATCACCAGGATCCTCTGGGAACAAGCTGCCCGCAACAAAGGCCAGTTCCCACCCAGGCTCTCCATTTGGCTTCCAATAAGGAGTGGGGCGCATGAGAGAGTCCTAGGGAGCAGACCATAAGTAAGGTCCTTAGCCAGAACCTGCTAGGGACTGAGGGGGGGGGGAGAGGGTGCGAGACAGCAGGACGGGTACCTTGACCAGGTGAAGGAGAGTTAGGTCAGTGCAGCTTCTCGTGCCAATAGGCACCAAAAGAGGGTCTACCTCCAGGTTCCCTCTTCCCTTCAAGGCAAAAGTGCTGGCGTTGCCGTATTTAGGCATCTCCAGGACTGCTGATGAAACTGTTACAGGCGGTTTTCTGACTTGTGGAAGGGCCTGGAATGGTTTTCACAGGAGAAGAGGCTACTCTGGAAAATAGGACAAGGCTGCATGTTCTGGGAACAGGACCAGGACGAGCATGCAGGATGGAGAGGCATCCAGTATTGCGCTGGTTGCATGATCCAGGGATTGTTGTTTCTTTGCCCATGATACGGGGAACAAATAGGAAACATTAGAAAGTCTATATAAAAATATGATTTAGTAGCACGGCAGGCCCTCAGGTTCTGGCCACTTGTTCAGCGACTGTTCAAAATTACAACAGCACTGAACACTCCTCGGTACTTGGGCGCCTGGCTTGCAGTTACGATGTCAGAGTGAGTGGTGGTCCATGACTGCTCTCCAGCATTTCTTACCAGCTTCCCCAAAGTTAGTGAGGAGCCGGAAATTGCTCCTGCTGCTTTTCATTGGCCTTATTTTCTTTATTTTACCTTTTTTCTTGATATTGTAGGTATATCAAGGAGAGACAGATATAAATTCCTCTGTGAATTTAACTATTTTAACCTGATAACGTGCAGATGGCCCTCAGCTCAGCTCTGGCTCTACCCCACCCTTCTTGGCATCTGCCTAACCATCTAATTGTACTCCGTTCTTGGCTTAATTTTCTCCATACTGATAATAGTACTGCTTTTGCTAATTGGCTGTGTGTCTATCAAAAGTGTAGCTAGGTGTGTAGCCATTGCTAAATTCCCCTAAAAGTTAATTAAGGCCTGCGAAACTCCCAGGGCTTCTTTCTGCTGCATTCAGACCAACTTCTCCTTGTAGAAATAGGCCTGCAGTCGATCAATATTATCCGCTCCCCCCCTCCCCCGCTCTCTTTTCCGTGGCAGCCTTGGATCCCCTGGAGCCTGTGTCTCTTCAGCAGCTCCAACAGCCCCTTCTCCCTTTCTTTTGTGGCCCACTTGGGACTCAACTGCCTGATAGCTTCCAAGGCCATTTCTTCTTCCTTTCTCACCATAGGATAGCAGAATTCTCCATTCTTGCAGACTAATAGAATATTCCCTGTTGTCATCTAGGTCAGTGGTTCTCAACCTGTGGGTCGGGACCCCATTTGGGGTCAAACGACCATTTCACGGGGGTCGCCAAACAACGCAGTCCGCCATTTTTTTCCCCTTTTCCTTAGCTGTGCTACCCCCTTTTATTCTATTGGCTTCTGAAAGCCAATAGAATAGACTCTCTTGAATAGAGTCTAGTTCTATTGGCTTTCAAAAGCCAATAGGAATTGTCCAGGCTGTCTCTGCCCTGCTGAGCCCGCCAAAAGTCCCATTCTGCAAACGGTGCTGCACCAGTTGAGTAGTCCTCGACTTATGACCGGTTGAGTAGTCCTCGACTGACGACCGGTTGGGGGGTCGTGGCATTAAAAAGGTTGAGAACCACTGATCTAGGTTATTCTGGGTGTGTAGGAAACACATAAATGGGGGACAGTTGCAGGTTGCGTTCCGGTGGAGGAGCGGGGTGGAAGAATCGGAGAATTTGGAGTGAGGCTACACCCCCTGGAAGGATTGGAATGGAGGGGCGGGGGGCATGAGTGCTTCTTAACAATTGCCATTACTTCCCATCAGAAATCCGCACGCAGGAGATGCTGTCCATGGGGATTGGGAACAAGCCTTTCTTGGACATCAAGCCCAGTGAGGCTGCCATCCAGGACCGAGCCATCAATTATATTATGAAAGGCAGAGGTGGGTCCCTCTCCAATTTGCTCCCCCCACGTTCTTTGGCTGTCCAAGGCTGCACTGGTCTACATGATGAATTCCTCTCTTTGCGGCAGGCGCCAGGACTCGGGCTTCCATCGCTGTGTCTCTCTTTGACCACGCCAACCCTTTCAAGAGCTCTCCGGCCACTCTGTCTGCTGGCAGCCCATCCTCCTGCTCTGGGATTGGGCCTCTCAACCTTCACATGTACCCGGAACAGGCCTTGCTGCCTACGGTGCTGCCCACCAACCTTCCGTTAAGGGCTGGGGTCTGCCCTGAGGAAGATGAGATGGAGAACGAGACGAGCAGTCAGCCCTCTATGAGTACGTATCATCCCTCTTTTTCCAGCACCACTTCAGAAAACATTGTCCACCAGGATATTTCCTGCAACATCTCTCTTAAGTTGGCCTAATCCTGCGATCCCTATCAGCACCCAGAATTCTTGGTGATAATTTGTCCAGGTAAGAGCTGAAAGGAACTGCTGGGTGCTGTGGTCAACCATGGGCAACGTCACCTGGCCCCCTGTGGAGCAAACCTCTGCCTTGGAAGCCACACTTCCCTGAGCACCTTCTGAGCAGCCACTTCTCAAAGCAGCAGGAAGAGATCCTGGGTGACTCAGTAGGACACCTGGGGCTAAAACCTAAAGATGGGTTAATAAATGCTCCTCTCACAGTGTGTGCCCCAGATTCTAGTTTCATATCATGGCCTGGTTACAACAACATGCTGAACTAGAAACTGCCTGGTCCATTTAGTCCCACCAGCTTGTGATAAGCCCAAGGAGGGCTTCTGGGTGAGCTGCTTTCCTCCAGGAAAGGTCGCTTTGGCCCTTCGGGTATATTTGGAGAGGCCACATCAGCAGGGGGTTGGAAAGGGGGGGGGAGTGCCTCCGGGGAGGGGGGCAAAGGTAGGAAAGGCACCGAGGACGGGGGTCTGCAGGAGCAGCCCTTCTGCCCTTCTTCCAGCAACAACAGGGTTGTGTGTCTTCTCAATGTGCTCAAAGTTTCCTTCTTTCCCTTTAGCCACCGAGGGCTCTGAGTCCTCCCAGGGCCTGCCTGGAAGTGGCTCCAGCAGTTCTGACAGCTGCCTTCACAACTTGTGTGAGGACTGGAGATCCCCGCTCCCAACAGCAGCAGACTTCTTAACCTCCTCAGATATGGAGAAAGGCTGTTTCCCCAAGAACCAGTATATTTCAGCGGTAAGCAAATGGGACTTGGCAGGCCAAGCTGCCCCCCCTCCTGAGAGTTCTTCCCCCATAGCTGCTGGGGGAGGATGGTCCGTGCAGACCACCTGCAGCTGTGCTGTGCGGACTTGCATCTGCAGGGAACTGGTGGCTTGTTGGGCGATGCAAGCTACAGACTGGGGCAGGGTCCCATCCTGTTCCAGCCCAGGAGTCTCCTTGTGCATCTCCCAGATGTGCTGAGGGAGGATGCTGCTGTCTTGAACAGGTTTGAACGCAGCCAGGAAAGAAGGAACCTGATTGCTGGGCAGACCCTTGGATGCAGATGCTACGATGACCCCTTGTCCTCCTCCCAAGCTCTGCGGGAGGGAAGTGGGTCCTGTCCGCCTCTTCTGGTAGTCTGACAGCTGGTACAGGGGAGCAGCAGTGGCTGAGAAGGGGGGGGGGTTTGGTGAGTGTCGGTGGTGGCTAGAACTGGGCCCAAAGGCTGACGGGAGGGCGGGAGAAGGTCCAAGCTCTCGCTGGCTGGCTTGCTTTCCCCACCTGACGGGTTTAGTTTCACACAGAATTTTTAGTAATTGTAAACATGCAGAAGCAAACATTTCTGTGTGAACCTTAAACCTTGTTAATCTAGCTTTCTTTCTTGCCTGGTGCTTACTAATGATTTCAGAAGCAAGTTGCAAAAAAAGCCAAGTTCCAGGTCACCCCACTTGCCTTCCTGTGAGGTAAAAAAGCAGTTTGCCTTGTTCTGCTTGGCAGGACAAAGTCTACATCCTTCACCCGAAGAAGGATTCATTTGTTGCCTCCATTTCTCTGAATCTGGAGCTTCCCCTTTAGGAGTTTTCTGTGATCCTCTAGTTCAAAAAAGGCACCTCTGACTCGGACCTTTCAGCCCGTTGAGCTGGTGTTTTGAGAGTTCAGTTGATGCCCCCCTCTCTAGACAGCGTTAGGAAGTTTGTTGAGTATGTCCAGGAGACAACTAGAGGAGGCTGCTGTAGCTCTTTCTTTTTGTGAATCACATGTTTTTGCCATTCACATGCTGCTCCTCGTTGTTAATGCTCTCGGGCATGTATTTTATATATGCGTGCATTTTATTTTTATCAGGTTAATTTCAAATGAAAAAGAAACTTCTAACAAACTGCAACCAAAGTTTTCAGTTTTATTAAGGGTTCTGTAAATATTTCCCAATAACAAAGTGTGAGAGTGATTTAAAGTACCCTTTTTTAATAAGCAAGTTAATGCAGCAGCTGTATTTCCAGGCAAAAGGCAGGGTGAACTGAAAGGAAACAGAGACACTGGCTAGCAATGTTCTGCTGGGCCAAAGGCCACACCTCAGCCTCCCCCCTCGCAAGGCCACACAGATGGCCTCCTGGGTGGACAGTGATGACATCAGTTGAAATGACCCCCCTTTCATTCCCTTTTCAGGGGGAGGGGTCAAGAGTGTTGTGGGCGTGGTTTGCTTCCCAGACGCTGCCATGCTCATCTGAACAAAAGGCCCACCACCAAAACTCTACGATTTTACTGCCACCTCCTGGAGAACTTTGGGCTGCCAATGGGGTGGGGGCGGGGTGGGGGCTTTGGGGCTGGCTTGCCTGAACTCTGTCCAGACTGGGCTTGCCTGATCTGAGGATCTGGATGTCAGATCCCTCACGTGTGCCTGGGTGGCTGTTCTCAGGAAAGGCGGGGAGGGGTCCCACAATGAAAGTGAGGCCTGCACTGCAAGGGTGCATTTAGCTGCCGCCTGCATGTGGGAGGCCAACTTCCCCTTGTGGATGGAAGCACAGCTATCATTCCCACTTACTTCAACCCACTTCAGCAACTTCTCATAGGAATGGCCGTCGGCTATAAAGGGCGCTGAATTCAGGAGCTCAGCCACAAACTCCTTTGCCGTGATCTGCAGACGCTGTAAGAAATGAGCGACTCAAACTCCAGAGGCAGCACCTGGCGCTCCCTGCCTTGCCAGGCTGAACTGTGCTGAAAGAACCCTGGGAGGGAAGGAGCAGCTCGAATGCCGGGAACCCACCATCGGGCCCCGGGGCTTGGAGCCACAAGGGAAAGGCAAAGCTTGCTAGCCCAAGCACCTCTGGGCAGGAGGGCAGCAGAGGCCTTCTTACCCACAACCTCTGGACCAGACGCTCTACTTTGGCAGTGGTTTCTTTAGGATCCTTCTGTCTTATAGAATCCAAGATGACATCAGTAAGGAAGCCGTGACACTTCTGGGCATAAAAAATTTCTTCTTGTGTTAATGGAAAGCTCAGAAAAACAACATCTGCAAGAGAAAAGAGGTTGTGACCCTCAATGTCTGCCTTTCTACCCAGCTCTGAGCTCTGCCTTCTTCACCCCTTTCAGGTCTTTTGAGCTGGGCACAAAGCCCAGGGCATCCTCCCTCCTCTCCTGGAGGAGGCATGGCGGCTTCCTTTGATTTTCTTCACTCAAGAGGAACTCAGCCCCAGGCGAGCCGCTATTCCAGCCAACGTGTGCGAAGGACATCGGCACATGTGGGTATCCAAATTACCCAAAGGCTCAGAATGAACGAAGACTTGCAACAGAAAACAAGGACAATAAAAAAAAGTTTCTTTCAACATAGCAATAACAAGAAAAAAGTCAAGGAAACAGTCGATCCGCTAAAGACAGAAGATGAAAGGAAGTAACAGGCAGTAGGGAGAAAGCAGAGCTGCTTAACTCATTCTTTGCATCAGTCTTCACACAAAAAGCAATTATAGCCCAACATACCCAAAAAAAAAAAAAACTACTGCAAAAGACAAACTAGAAACAAAAATTAAAACAAGTAAGAAAATGGTAAGAGAACACCTATTTGACCTTGATGAATATAAATCACTGGGACCCGACAGATTACATCCCAGGGTTCTGAAGGAGCTGGCAGATGTTATCTCAGAACCATTGTACCACATCTTTCAAAAATCCTGGAGCATCGGGGAAGTACCTGAGGATTGGAAAAGGGCTGATGTGGTTCCCATCTTCAAGAAAGGGGAAAAAAACAGACCCAGGAAACTACAGACCATTCAGTCTAACATCAATACCTGGGAAGATCCTGGAAAAGATAATCAAAAAATAGATCTGCGAACAACTAGAAGCAAACAAAGTTATAACCAGTAGCCAGTACTGTTGGACCTTGGAAAATGTTCAGAGAAGAGCAATCAAGAAGATCAAAGGCCTGGAGACTAAAACATACGAAGAACAGCTGCAGAATTTGGGTTTGGCTAGTCTAAAGAAAAGAAGAAACGGGCGACATGATAGCAGTGTTCCAGTATCTGAGGGGCTGCCACGAAGAAGAGGGCATCAAACTATTCTCCAAAGTACCAGAGGGCAGGACAAGAAACAATGGTTGGAAACTGACCAAAGAGAGAAGCAACTTGGAATTAAGGAGAAACTTCCTAACGGGAGACAATTAACCTCAGAAATTGTGGGCACTCCATCACTGGAGGTTTTTAAGAAGAGGCTAAACCAGTGGTTCTCAACCTGTGGGTCAGGACCCCATTTGGGGTCGAATGACCATTTCACGGGGGTCGCCAAACAACGCAGTCCGCCAATTTTTTTCCCTTTTCCTTAGTTGTGCTACTCCCTTTTATTCTATTGGCTTTTGAAAGCCAATAGGAATTGTCCAGGCTGTCTCTGCCCTGCTGAGCCCGCCAAAAGTCCCATTCTGCAAACGGTGCTGCACCAGTTGAGTAGTCCTCGACTTACGACCGGTTGAGTAGTCCTCGACTTACGACCGGTTGGGGGTCGTGGCATTAAAAAGGTTGAGAACCACTGGGCTAAACAGTCACCTGTCTGAGAGGGTATAGGTTCTCCTGCTTGAGCAGGGACTAGAAGACCTCCGAGGTCCCTTCCAGATTCTCTTCTCTCTCCTCTCCTCTCCTTTACTCTACTCTACTCTACTCTACTCCCTTGCTGCTGATAACTTCAGGTTGGGGAAAAAAGGCTGAAATGGGACAACAATCCAAGAGGTCATCAGGACAGGGCTGAATGTCTAGAAAGTCCTGGACTGTCTGGGAAAATGTGTCCTACAGTCGTCCTGATCATTTGACCTTTCTTAAAATGGACTCACAGCGTAACAACCAGCAAATCCAATGTATAATAGCATGAGATTTTAGAGTGACGTCTTGCTGTGGAGGGCAGGAAATGAGATTTCCAAATATCTTTTTGGATGTTAAATATGCACAGCCTACCCTAGGAAGTTACCCACATAACCCAGCTGCAGTCAAGAGCCTACCTTTGTCCACTGGGGGTGCCAGGGCACAGGCTAGAGTAATCTCTTCAATGCCCGTGCTGTAGAGAACGCTGCCTTCATGAAAGACGCAGGAACCATCGCCTGGCACAATCGGAGGGTGCTCAACCTTAAGAATCCAGCCCCTCATATCAAGGGCTTCACAAATAGCCGTTTCTTCAAGAGCTGTTCCTGCAGAGAATGAACAAAATAATTCCATGGATGATTTTAACAAGGCAATATATCTATGATTACAGTACAAAATCTCAGCCGTTGCATTTTGCATGGCTATTTGTGGGCCCCAGTAGGATTCATCTGATCTAATCAAGTTAACCCCATTTAACTCTGCTTCTGCAACAAGTCTCAAGCCAGATTTTTAACAGTTAAAAATTGCTAAAATATTTCACGCATAGGCCCCCTGGTGGTTTGCACTTACTAAAGTATACATGGAACTAACATTGCTATTATAATTTTAAAAAATCCTTTAAAAGCCTAATTTGTTTACAGAAGCACAAAGCCAGAAAATAATAAAAGCCTCTTTCCTAGTAGTATGCTAAGAAGGAAAAGTGAAATTCCTTGAACCAAAGTCTGCAGTTGTGAATACAAAAAAGTTGTTGAGACCTTGGAAAAAGTTTAGAGAAGAGCAACTAAGATGGTCCAAGGCCTGGAAACTAAAACATACGAAGAACGGCTGCGGGACTTGGGTTTGGCTAGTCTAAAGAAAAGAAGAAATAGGGGTGACAGGATAGCAGTATTCCAGTATTTGAGGGGTGCCACAAAGAAGAGGGGGTCAAATTATTCTCCAAAGCACCAGAGGGCAGGACAAGAAACAACGATTGGAAACTGATCAAAGAGAGAAGCAACCTGGAATTAAGGAGGAACTTATATTTAACTAAGCAAGCTTCCGCATGGGAAAGCTGGTTTCGTGGACTTTCAAGTGCAGCCAGTGGTGACACGGTCTAAAGTGAGAGTCGATAAACCAGAGCAGCCGCTGGCATGAGAAGATGAAGCCGTGGCAGGATCCCTCTATGCTGATCCAAAGCCATCATGGACGAGCAATGTGGGAAAGGCTGCCAAGATAGAATTTCTCCTAATTCCACCGGACGTTGGAACTGTCTTTGGGCCAGTTGAGGTGGTATGCTAAGTTGAGGAACTCCTCTGTATATTAGTCCTTTAAACAGACTCAGTGAAAAACCAGAAAACATACTGGCCTTTGTTGTTGTCCAGAACATGAGAATTAAATATCCAAGAAGAGCTTAAACTCTGTGGTAAATATGATTTAATCAGTATAATGCAGACATGATGGAGGTTTTCAAGAAAAGATTGGACAACTGTTTGTAACATCTTCTGCAGCTGAAGACAAGGTTAGTAGAAATCCACAAGGGAATTAATTATGACCTTTTCAAAACAACAAGAGTGAAATTAAACACACAGGCTTTGTAATGAAATAGCTGGTAACAGTGCAGGCTTCTTATGAATTCAAATTCTCTTCAGGGAAAGTTTAATAACAGAAAACAAAAGTCCTTTTTCCACCTCAGGGCTTCCTTATGTTGCTGTCAAAAGCCGTGTGGGAATTGAATGAAGGAGCACCCGAATGATTGTTGACATAAATATCGATCAAACTATTCCCTTTCGGGACAAGGATATTTTGTGAAGCATAGAAAAACTTAAGAAGCTTGAGTAGAGAGAAGAAAAACTCCTGTAAAATGTAGATTACATGAACATAATTGTCTGTTCTTCTCGATTTCTCTAGCCTTCCTTATGTCTACGGAGTCTCCATGTTTGCTTTGTGCAGGGCCTTTTGTTCTTTAAACTTCTTACTCCTCTTTCAGACCCTCTCATCAACTCCATCTAACCATTAATTTTTGGTCTTTACCTTACTTCCAACCCATTCACCCTTCTTTCATATATTTATTTTGCAATGCAGTCATTATTCATTCACAAGATGGCAGCAAAGTGTTTGAGTTTCATGTATCCTTGGCCTCTTGTTCCGCTGTTTACTAGGCTTACAAGCTGCTCTCTCGGGGAAACAAAACCTTAACAAATATACACAGCAACCCAAAGAATTGAATTTTTTACTTGTAGTTGTGAAACTGGTGGTGTCACTGTTCCAGCACATGCTCTGCACGCTGACTGGATGACAGCTTCCCACTTGCAAAAGAAGGAAGGGCTGCCAGTCTCCACTGCAGCCAGAAGAAGACCCTCTTAGGCAGGAAAAAACAAATGCTTTAATTACTCCAAGGATCTGAAGAAGCTTCTTGGATGAGAAGCAAAACGTCTTCAAAGAAAGACAAAGTCCAGTTGCCTCGTGAAAAAGCATCTGCAGGACTACTATAAGGATCACGACTAACTTACCAAGAAGATGGTTACTAAGCCTCCTCCTGAACAGGTTACAATTAAAAAGACAAGGTTCAGGGAGAAAATAAATGTTTCCAAGCAGTCCCTTATTCCCAAGCAAACCCGGAAATCATTTACAAGCAGCAAGTGAAAGAGTTCCACTTACCCTTTTCTTTCTGGCCACTCTGTTCCCGAGAGCTGGCACCTTTCCCTGAGGAAGGCACCTCCTCCAGATTGCTTGGCTCATCCGCCTTTGCCAGCCAGCCCTGGAGGGGCAGGGCTCCCTGCTTGCACAGTTCAGCCTTGGACAGATGATCTGGTGCTCCTTGTATGGGCACCTCATTGCTGGAGAGCTCAGAGCTGGAGATTCTGAAGCAGCTGGCTTGGGGAATCCTCCCAGACAATGCTCTCCATTTGGATTCCTCACCAGATTCTGGTCCCTGGGGAGCCCCACAGCATCTGCAATGAGCCATATCCCAGCCTTGCACAAGGGAAATGAGCTTCTGAATGGGGGGGTCACTGTTCTCCAGGGGTTTGGTTAAGCTGCCTTTTGCTCTTTTCTTGGGGGGGTTTCCTTCCTGTCGGAAAAGGCAGGTGTCTCCCCAGTCATCGGAGGACTTCGACGTTTCCCAGGGATGTTTTCGCTTTGCTCCCTTAATGGGAGAAATGCTGGTGTATTTGGTGTTCTCTCTATCACTTCCTTCCATGGACTGTGGTTCTCTAGTTATATTCCAGTTATTGGCACACTGATCTAAATCAGCAAAATGCAGATGCTTCAAAAAGGGAAGAGGAAAAAAATCCATTAAAGCATACTTAGTAATGTTGTCGTGGTTCTGATAGATGAAACCATTTAAAAGAACTTCAAGGCAAGGATTTCTTCCTTAAAGAACATTTTATTTAGGAAACAAGATATCAGCAAATACCAAGGTGAACCCAAGACTAAAATCCCCTCCTTCAGGCTACAAAGTAACAAGTTTCCACCCCAAATTGCTGTCATAAATCACATTCACCAATTATTTCAAAAGCGGGCTCTCCTCCCAGGTCTTATCAGGACTGACCTTGAAGTATTGTTATGGCTAACTGAGAAACCTAACATCCTCCCTCCCCCTCCTTCATCTAAGTCTGTAAACTAAAATGTGGCAAGGAAGACAAAATGAAAAATGGCTTCAGTTCAGTTTGTCACAACGTTGACAAGTGTATTAATTGTATTAAACCACACCTAGACTTTTTCAGCTGGATCAACCCTCCAGGTAAGAAACCTACTGACAGGAGATGGAAAGTAAAAATAAACTAGATTTGGATGGTCTTCCTAAAATTGAAGAAAAAATTGAAAAATGATACTTTCTTCCCTACACAACTCCAAAGATGCTTTCTGCTGAGTGTATCTGCCATCAGAGAATCCCTTTTTCCAATGGAAACCATCCATTTCTAGGCCCCTATAGATATACCTGGAGCCACAAACAGAAGTAGCTGGTGGTAGAGATATTTTGCAATTCTATAAACCAAGGAAGTTGGATTCCATAGGCTTGCACTGGCATATTTTATTGTACTCTGAATTAACCACTAGAGCAAAAAAACAAGACTTTATAGAATTTGTAGTTATAATATAAAATAAGTAGAGCTTTAAAAGCAGCAATGTTGCTCCAATAAGAAAGGGAAAACCAACACTGAAAGGCCATATCGGGAGTCCTCAATTTACAACCACAATTATAAATGGAAATCCGGTCTAAGTTGAGGTGCCACATGACTGAACCTGTTTGTTTTTTTACATTTTTCATTATGGTCATTAAGCAAATCACCACAGTTGTTAAGCAAACCCATTCTTCTGAATGGGTGTTTTTTTGCCAGAAACCATCAAAAAACACCAGAAGACAGGAAGAAACATTGCAAAATGTGGTCACGTGACAGCGGGATGCTGAATTGGTCATAAAGGCGAGCCATTTGCCAAGCACCTGAAATATAGTCACATGACCACAGGGCGATGTGAGAGTTTACCACAGCTGGAAATGCTGCAGGGATCATAAAGCCCCCACTCAGAGGCCGTAGTAACTCAGAACAGTGGTTAAAAGGCTCGTCTTAAGTTGAGGATCCCGTATATATGAATATTATTAAAGCTGATGGGAAGTGTAGAAACTTGCTCTTTCTTGCTGTTGATTATACTGCTATGGTTTGATTAGAAACAAAATCTTTTCTCTCCCTTTGTTTTCTAAGCCTGGCATTAACTTTTGTTTTGACCTTAAAGTATTTAAAGTGGCAGATTCTTTCACTCTACCATTGGAAGGGTATTTTTTTTCTGCAGTGCTCAAAAATGAAAAAGAAGAAAACCAGCATGATGGTAATAACAGCAGAATAAAAGAGAAAGAGCTGGGGGGAGGGGAATCACAAAATACAAAGACCTGCAAATAGAAATGGAACAACTGTGCAAAAGAAAGCAAAGGTAGTACCAACGGACAGGCTCTTTGGGTGCAATCTCAAGAATATGGAGCACCACTCGAATATAACAGCATTGACAAAATCCTCACCAGTCAATTGCAAAAGGCAGCTTGACTTGGAACAGCTCAACAGGTGGATAAAAATGCCAAATCCAAACATCTGGATGACTATGTGACCAATCATAACAATAATAATAGTAAAAAATAACATTACATCTCGAAGGACTTTGTTGGATCCAGTATCCTCCTCTGATATTAGAGACTCAAGGTTTCTAACCGGATAAACTACATGTTGAGCTTCCTTCTGTTGCAGCCATGATCTGGAATACAAACGTTTTACATCTTTTTTAGGAAACACTTTCTATGCCTCAATAATATTGGTCATTGTTAAAATTATCCTATTGAGAGTTAGAAGTCAAGAACAGGAGAAAGCTGTGAATATTTTTTTTTCTTTTTCCTAAGGGGCAGGAGAAAAAGATGTTGAGATGCAACTGACTCTAATTTCTTGGCCAAAGCACAAGCTAACCAACTGTTGCATCTTGTTCCAATGTCCTCTCACCCCACCCCGTGGCTTAAAACTCCCCCCCCCATTCTGCATTCCAAAGGGAGGTGCTCCTCTGAGAAAGCCCAGCCTTTCCTCTGGGGGAGCACTCCGGTTCCTGCACCTCTCCCCTCATTTTCTGTTCTTCACTGAGAGCTCCTGCTTCCTACTATAGTACTCTAGCCCTGTCTGATGACTGACAAGAGGTTAATCAATCAATCGATCAGGACAGAGCTGGAAGGGACCTTGGAGGTCTTCTAGTCCAGCCCCCTGCTCAAGCAGGAGACCCTAGACCATCTCAGATAGGTGGTTGTCCAGTCTCTTCTTAAAAACCTCCAGTGATGGAGCGCCCACAAGAGGTCGTCCTCAACTTGTAACCATTCATTTAGTGACCATTATCAGTTGCAACACCGCTGAAAAAAAGACTCATGACTGTTTTTCACCCTTAGGACTGTTGCAGCATCCCCACGGTTGTGTGATTAATATTCAGATGCTTGGCAACTGGCATGCATTTATGATGATCGTGGCGTCCGGGGGTCACGTGATCACTTTTGCAGCCTTCTGATGAGCAAAGTCAATGGGGAAGCCAAGTTTACTTAACAACTGTGTTACTAACTTAACAACTCCAGGGATTTGCTTAAGAACTGTAGCAAGAAAGGTTGTAAAATGGGGAAAAACTCACTTAACAACTGTCTTACTTAGTAACAGAAATTTTGGACTCAGCTGTGGTTGTAAGTCAAGGACTACCTGATTTTACTTATGCTGAGCAGCAAATGAGAATCAAGCAGAAGACAGAAATACCTGTACATGTCATACTGATATAGAGCCTCCAGCAGAGAAGGGATCTGGTACTCGATCACTTCCTGGCACAAAAGTGACCATTCCCTGTCATGGGGTGAAAAAGCAAATCATTTCAAATCAACTGAACTGAGATTCCCCATTAACTGTTGGTAAATTTAAACGAAAAAAATTATTATAATGAGGATTTTACCACAGCTGAGCATTATAGAGAACATGTTGAAGTTCCAACTTCTCATCCTAGAAAGCCATTTGATTCTTTGTGAGGGTCTCCCAAACAAAGCCATGGCACAGACTGACCAGGGACAAGTACAGTGGGATTAACCACCCTTTGAATCTAAGACTCCCCAGCTCACAGACCAAACTGGCATGGAAAACATGCTAGTCCTTCAGTCAGCAGAGGTTCGTAACTACACACTGTGCAATTCTGTTTATTATTATTTTTATTTATTAAATTTGTTTGTTACCCATCAGGCAATTCTGGACAGCTTAAATTAAAATGATGTTTTAAGTGACTGTAGAGAAAACCAGCAGGATCTAAAGTTCCAGCGCAAAAGCGTTAGGTTAAACCCCATTGCTCAAAATCCCTTCCAAGTGCCCAGTCCACAGAGAGCCAATCCAGAGGTGCGCAGATGTTGTGGGAACTCCTAGCCCAGAAGGTGACAAGTTGTTCTCAGGCGCCTTGGCCGTGGTTCTCCGGGGGATGAGACAAGGCAGATGGCCCCAGGCTCATCCCTCCTCCCCCCAGTTCCCCCCCCCAAAATACATCAAAGCAAAAGAGGAACAAAGCAAAATGAATACATCATAGAGAAGCCACGAGGTTCCCCCCTTCTGCCAGAATGGCAGTGTCCCTATAGGGCAGCGGTTCTCAACGTTTGTGTGACACAAACGTTCTGCGCATGCGTGGCACCGCGCGCACGGGGGTGGGGACACCTTGCGCGGTGTGCATGCGCGGCGGCACCCCTTGCATGGTGTGCATGCACGGCGGCGCCCCCTTGCGTGGCGTGCATGCGCGGCGCCCCCCGCGCGGCACGCATGTGCGGCGCCCCCTGCATGGCGCGCATGCGCGGCACCCCCGCGCAGCGTGCATGCGCGACGGTGCCCCCGCGCACCGCGCATGCGTGACACCACCCCACGCGCGGCACGCATGTGCAACGCCACCCCACGCGCGGCGCGCATGCGCAATGCCACCCCGCACACGGCGCGCATGCGCGGCGCCATCCCCTGAGGGGACAAAATGGCAGATCACCTTTGGCGACCCCCGAAAAATGGTCGATCGACCCCAAATGGGGTCGCGACCCATAGGTTGAGAACTGCTGCTATAGGGATCTATGGGGACTTGACGTGGTTTTTTCATTTTAAGTACCAGCTACCCAGAGTCATGATGGAATTGGGCAGCAGGAGGGATGCCTGGTCCAAGCCTAAGACGGCCTTCAGTCCAGCTGCTCCTTCTTCTACTGCAAGGGGATACTTGCTCTGCTCCAGCTGTTCTTTGGGGCCCAGAGCATCTGCCCCTTCAATCCCCCCACCCCGCTGTGCCCAAGTGCAAAGTCCTTCACAGGACAGATGCACTTTCTAAGATTTGGGAGAAATAAACTTCACTTTCCCTTTACATCACTAGTGATATTTCTGAAATAATGTTTAGCTTTGTTGTCCTGATTCATTGCTGCAAATGGTTAATTAGCAACATTTAATAACACTATAGGGACATAATGAAACCGGAACAACCTAAGAGAAATTGGCAAACACAAATTGCTACAGTTATAGAGAAAATAGAACTTTGGGGAAGAAATAAGTAAAGCCTTATTCTACAAAGAACATGGTTGAGAGATGCAGCCATTCGGTACACTGAGCACTTCTATCTCTGTCTTAAGATATAACTGCTCTTTAACTATCCCAGAGATAATATGCATCAAATAGTAATTAACGTACTTAAATTCAGATGGTAAGTACAACTTGCCAAGTCTTAAGAAGTTGAGAACATGTCGAAACATTTTTCCATCTCCATGAATGAGGAGACTCTGGCCATAAGCAATCCAATATACCTTTTTGCAATTTGATAACAACTCTGGAAACTAAAAAAAAGAAAGAGATTTCCAATCAGCTGTTTCCATAAGCTTTCTCTCAAACTGGAAAGACTATTTTCCTTATCAAAAAGACCCTGGCTATAGCTAACAGATTTGTATTCTAAAGAAATGGACCGTTTACTGCAGACCACGACAGAATAATATTAGGTGCAAAGGGGACCAGAAGTGACTGACGTTGTTAACATGAAATCAACATATGGTGTGGACTTTGCCTGGCCTGCAGATGGCCTCATCCTTGCAAAGCACGTGCTTTATCCCAAGTTCCAGAAGGAAAGCGGTCATCGTAATTTGCTGCAGTAAAAATGTCTTTTGCACATGTTTACCGTGGCATGTATATTTTGTAAAAAAAATCAGATAGTATAACAGAGTGGCAATCCAAACAGCAAGTGGCAAGTAACTCCAAATCTCTTGCACAGGAGACAAAATGGCTCTAAGTCCTGAAAGGAATAGACAGTCTAGTTCGGTGTCAGAAAAAAAAAAAAAAAAAAAAACCTGCAGGCGCTCCTTGGGCAGAAATTGGCATCACCCAGCTGGCAAACTCCAGCTGCACCTGGGTTTTCAGACCGCCAAGTCCTTTGTGACCGCCAAGCCCTTTGGGACCTCCAGTCAAACTTTTTGCCTGGAGATGCTTCCACAGAAACCCGCTGCCTGGTCCTTCCTGCACTCCAAGCCCAAATGGCTGGGGAAGGCTGAAGAGGTCAGTGAGAGGCAGGCAGATGAGCCCACTGCGTGGCCAGCCACATTGCTAAAGGTGAGGCCCGTGATAAAAACTGCTTGGAAGGGAAGAAATCCCTGGACTTTAAGCTGGCTCAAGTCTGGGCTGGGGATAGGACAAAGGCCATATTCATGAGGACAGGATATTCAAGAAGAATTCCAGGGTTTGTTTATGCAGCGGTTAGAGGGATGCGAGGATGATCTCTCTAAGGCAGTTTCCCAGTCACCAGCATTCAGGAAAGGGAATGGATGACACTGGAACTCTCTCACACATCCCAGCCTGCATTTCACCAGGAGACGTACAACAAAAAGCACAATGAAAGTTACGAGAGGTCAATTTTCAAGTCCTCTGTGCAATCTGCCATATGTATTCTGAGCTTAGTTACACAACATGCTTTCTTTATATCTCTTTAGAACAAGCAGCCCAACTATTGGCCACTCTACAGCAACATAAACATACTTAATAATTATACCTTTAATAATGTTTGCAAATAGGTGGCATACCAGTGGCTTCCTACATAGACTTTGACAATATGATGTAGGGAAAAAGCTGTTATTTCTGCTGCCCACTCTGCATCTACAAAACACAATCCAAATGACAGAAGATCCACTTTTATACTTTTGCAACACAAAAGGAATGGATTCATGAAGGAATGAAATACGCCCAGCCACCTGAACCACACAATTTCTTTATAAATAATTGGATCAGGGAAGGAAATAAGAGAAATTTCATTACAGGCTCAAACCATTTTGCAATCTATAACTATTCTAAGACCTACTTCACAAGTTCCATTACCAAGCCAGAGATCCCTTGGCCTATATGCTAGATCATTTTATGAGGGAATTCTCAACTATGTTGTATGGGTCAACAACTAAATGTATGAGCTGAATCTGTACAATATATTAACCTAATATATGAATGGACATTTCAGTATGTACAATGAAGAAAGCCATTCAGGCCAATGGCACTCCCGTCCAAGTAAATGTCTTTAAAAAAGGCCTAAACAACTTTTTAATTTTCTTCTCCCACTAAGAGAAAATACCAATCATTCTATCATACATTCATCCTTCAAGTTCAGCTTGGCCCCCGATGACTATTACAACACAGCCATCTCATCTCTGTTCTGCAACAACACGGAAGGCGTTTGCCACAGCCTTTTTCACAGGGATGTTTTTTTTCTTACCCAGATCTTTAACCTATGAATGACTCCCACAACAGAGCTACCTGTGCATAATAAATCTGAAGGGAGGCACCACTTACTTTTTACCAAGGAGTCTGTAGGCGTCTTCGGGTTTAGAAATCTTTTTAAAGCGTCCTTCATTGGCTCATAGATGAGATCCATTTGATCCAAATAGGTGCAAAGGTGTGGAAGTTCAGACATATTTCTTGTAAGTGGAAGTCTGCAAGTTCCTAACCAATTCCTTTGCATAGAAAAAGAGAAAAACTTGCCAGAAATGTAGATATTTTTAACATTCCTATTTTAAGGCAGCTATTGGATTATTTCTTTTCAGGGGTTTGTTTGCTGCTACAGCCCCCCCCCCCCTCCGGGCCCCTGCTGGATTCCTTTCGTGGACCTTGCAGAACAGGACTCTATTTGATCCCAGGCAGCAACCCCGCTCACATCCCAAGGAGGCCCAGCCAGGAACCAAACTTTGTCACATCTGGACTCATCAGTCCTGCCCTCTCTACAAGACTCCCCCAAACTACTCCAGAATCTAATACTGAGGCCCACGTCAGGAGGAAGATGGCTCCTCTTCCAACGTGAGGCGTTGCAGATCATATTGGACAATCTAGCCAACCTTTGGGAAACCCTAGTCCTAGCTGATGGTCTGGAGATTCCTGGCCACAGACCTGCTCTATCCCTCATTGTCCCATCCTGGGAATGGCTGCAAGAAAATGCAAAGGCCATAAATACTAATTGACTGGATGACTCAGGTGGTAATAAATAGGAGCAGGGACATGCAATTTAAATCGAGAACTTTCCAATGATAAAATAAGAATTATTCTGGTACCACCCCTTGGAGCTGCCTGGAGAGCACTTCCTTCACAATGTTATCCTATAACGGAAGTTTGTGTTTGCATCCACATCTCAAGTGTCTTCGTCAGAAATTAGAAACAAGCATAACCAAACTTCCTAAGGGACATACATGACATGCTGAAAAAGAACTCCATTCCCTGATATGTAGAGCTTGTTCCCATCCAGAGTGCTCTCCATGTGGAGCGGCCCCAGAGCAGAGTCAGGGTACTTGACTAGGAGTCCCAGCACCATTGGGTACAAAGGAAGGAGGACTGATGGGTCCTGAAGTCTCTGCTGCTGTACTGGAGACTTAGAGGCTTCACTGGAACCTGAGCCTAAAGCAAAACACCCAAAGGAGACATTGACATTAAAATGGCTGACTGTGTCTTATACTTCTCTGTGCCAGCATTTGGCTGAAGTAAAGATCCGAGCTGCATTCCATTTTAAAACCAAAGCAGAACAACAACTCAGTATTAGCAACCCAAGCAAATGCATTTCTGGAAAGGTTCACTCAGAACAAAGGAACACCATGGCCTTCGATTTCTTTGTCCAATGGTTTGGAAGTGCCCTTTTGTTCTGGACTGGGGCAAAAGTTTTTTAAGAGCAGAACAGCAGAAATGAGTTAAAGCTCAGAACGTTTTGCAAGTCCTGCTTTCTGAGCCTCCAAATTCCACATGCTGCAATTGTAATCAGAAGAACAGACTCCAGTCAAGGGCAGGGCACAGGAGGGATGGGGGGGGGGACTGAGTGCAAGGGCCACCTGGTTTTGCATTGTTGGACAGTCATAAAATACATATTTTAAGCTGAAGCTTCCTAAAGTGGTTTCTTCTCCCCCCCTCCCATAAAGGGCTTTCGACTGGAGCTGGAGCTGTGCGTGAGTTTAAAAAAAAAAAAAAAGCACTGTGTATTACTGTACAGGTTATATTCTGTACAAGTTCCTAATGAATACGACCAAGTTATCATTACACACACTCTGTAATTAAAGAAAGCACAAGTAATCCCTTTTACACTGAACTCAAGTCAACACAGAACTTAAAATGTTGTAAGAACTACACCTGGGTTATTCCTGAAGATCTTCACGGCTTCTATGACCTTGGGGATGCCCAGGGCTTCAGCTTCAGCTTCCAGAGAATCCAAGCTGGAGAAGTTATCGGGCAAAAGAATCTTCTCTGAGCGAAGAAAATTAGCTAGTTGTTTAAAAAAATGCACACCAGAAAGTAAACAACCTGAAGATCTAGCAAGGTATTTTTGCAATCACATTTCATGGTATATACATATATTTCGAGTGACTTTAGGGGAAAGCAAAGCAACAGATGGACCAAGTCAGTCAGCCAGAAAGGGATGGACATGGAAACAATACAGAGAAAATTGATAGGAAGAAATGGAATTTGAATTTGAAACATAGGCTGCTAGGCTAATAACTATAACAATAATTCTAGGATAACAATGCAAATTATAGGCTTGATGCTCTCTGAGCTTGCTTGTTTTCTTCAGACGTTTTATTACCCAAATACTGTAGGTCACATCATCAGTGAGCATTTCAACCCAGAGATACAAGTGTGGTCCTTTATAAAAACTCCAACAACCGCTGTCCTTGTACAAGCAACACTTTCTTTAAAGGAACGGAGGAATGGCAGCTCCCGGGCCCCGGGTCAAAAGAGGCCTTTCTTCAAACCTTGCTGGCTTTCCCGGGAAAGGAACCAGGGCAACGCAGGACAAGCTGCAAGATCTTCCCCACGTCCTCATTAGGCTTCCCAGCCCTTCATTTCAGGGAACAGGCCGAAGGTGGCGGCCAGGGAAGCTTTGCGCTGGGCAGGAGCCATCAAGGCAACGGGGCGAGGTCCAGAGTTGACCTGTCCCCCCAACCTCCCCGCCGCCTTCGGAGGAGGCCCGGCGGCTGAGTCCCTCCCACCTGCCCTTTACCGATGAAGCGGAACTCGCCGCTCTCGACCTCGATCAGCGCCGCGCCGTCGGCTAGCCAGAGCAGGTTGTCGTCGGTGACCAGCGCCGGGAACTCGCCCACCAGGCGCAGCGGCAGGAAGCAGTAGCGCACCTCCGCCTCCGCCTCCAGCAGCGGCGTGTCCAGCAGCCCCAGCGGCGCCTGTTCCTGCGACCCTGCGGCGGAGGCAGGTAGGCAGGCAGGTAGGAGGGCCGTCGCGGCGCCGCTCGGGCACCCGCCCCGGCTCCCCCCGGCGCCCCCGTCCCTCACCGGAGCAGGCGGGGCTCCTGAGCGCGCCCTCGGCGGCGGCGGCGGCGGCGGCGCCTGGCCGGCTGATGCACTTGCGCGTCCGCCAGTAGTTGAGCGAGGCTCGCTCGGCCACGGGGATGTCGGCGGGCCGGACGCGCAGGTTGTGCTTGCCCTCCTTCAGGTTGTCCAGGCTCTGCCGGGAGAGGCGCGTCAGGGGGGGCGCGGGGGAGAGGAGGGGGGCGGGGAGGGGGGTCCCCCGGGCACCTGCAGCAGCGGCGCCAGGCCCAGCAGCCCGGCCTGCTCGTAGAGGAGCGGCAGCTCTAGCCCGCTGCCGCCCGACAGCCGCGCCGTGTGCAGGAAGTAGTGGACGTGGCGGAAAGCGTAGCCGTCGCGGTCCAGGAACAGCCGCTGCCCCGCCGGCCCCGCCGCTGCCGCCCGGCCCAGCAGCGACTCCGGGAACGACGCCAACTTGCTCCGCGGCACTGCGAAGGCCCAGCCGCCCACATTCAGCTGCACCGGCGGCTCCTCCGGCCCCGACGGCGGCCCCGCCGCCGCTGCCTCCTCCTTCTCCGCCGTCGGGTCCTGCGGGAGGGAGAGCCGCGCATCAGCTCGCCTCGCCCCTCGGCCGGCCGGCCGGCCGCCCCCTCCCCTCTCCCTCCCCCCCTCACCATGCCGGGTCGCCGCCACCTCCGGGCCGCCGGATGGGCACAGCTGCTCAACCGCCGCCACGGTTGCCCAGCAACGGGGGGCACGTGCCGGAGCCGCCGCCGCCGCCCCCCGAAGAACGGCCCCCCCCGCTACTTCCCCGGGTGCCTGCATGGGGAGGGGGCTCTGCGGGGGGCGAGGCCTTCCAGTCCCCAGTCGGGAGCCGAGCCGGACCCCTAAATGAGAGGGGGGGGGGCCGCGGGCCTAGGGAAACAGGGATCGCGACTCGCGGAAGCAGAAAGCCCTTATTCGGGGGGAGGTCGAGTTTTTTATCTATAAATGATAGATTTGATGCATTCGTCAGTCAGAAAGCAAGTAATTGAACCATAAAAGACATTGATCACGTGTGCGAATTAAACAATAGAAAATGTGGATTCTAGATAACATTCCGGAAGTGGCAAATGTTTGGGTTGCCTTCCTCTTTCCCAGAGGGGTTTGTACTTTCTTGAAAAATACAAATGCATTTGTCAGAAAACCCTCTCTGCTGTTTAGTTCCTGCATATCAAAAGAAATGGCCTTGGCCAGGAAGAAAACCCCCCTCCCCCCATGTTTTTCTAAAGTTAAAAAAGAGACCAGAACTGCCATGTTGAAAGTGTTAATACCACGTTTTAAAAAGCTAATAATGAACCCCTAAAATTCCAGGTAACACTCCTAGATCATGAGGTGGGAAGCCTGCACATTTCTGCTTCTTTATTAAATTTGTTTGCCACCCGTCTCGCTGCGAGCTACCATGGAGCTACCATTCCATGGAGACAAGTTTAAATTGTTATAACAATTGTTCATAACAATGTGAAGGCACCTCATACACATCAAGTTCTTCCCAAGAACCTAATAAGGTGTAGCACAGTGTGGCCTTTTGCAAGTGACAGCTGGAACATGTCAAAGCGCATAGTGTCCAAGTGCCATTCGAGACTTTTTGGTAGGGCACCCAGTGTGCAAATAACTCTTGGGACCACCACGGCCGGTTTATGCCATAATTTAAGTTTTCAGACCTTGATACTTTTTGATCTTCTCCAATTATTTTTCTCTTATTCTACTAGTCACATCTATTATCCACACTTTCTTCTTTTCAGCTACAGTTAAATCTGGTGTGTTATGAGTCAGACTTTATCAGTGTCAAGAATTAAATTTTGGCAGCTATGTGCTGCTTCTTTTCGACTTGCCATTAGAGGTGGGGGGGGAGTGTTGCTTTAAAAGTGTATTCTGTATTCAGAAATCCCACAATATTTTAACCTCAGTTTTGGCTATTTTTTCAACTTTTATGTCTCCCCCTTTTCATCTGTGCAATCTTCTTACACAGGCTGAATATATGATCTACTGCTTCTTCTGCCTTTGCACTTTGAAATGACACTTGTTCAATTCTGATTTTCACCATCCAAGGCTCAGCAAATGCAGGACCATCTAAGGCAGTGGTTCTCAACGTTTGTGTGACGGCGACTCCCATCACACAAACGTGTTGCGCATGTGTGGCGCGCCACGCATGGGGCCGCCACCACGCATGGGGGCGGCGTCGCCCCCATGCCTGGCGCGCATGCCCGGCGCCGCCCCGAGGGGGAAAAATGGCGGATCGCCTTGTTTGGTGACCCCCGAGAAATGGTCGATCGACCCCAAATGGGGTCGCAACCCATAGGTTGAGAACTGCTGATCTAAGGGAACAATAGAGATCTTTGGGAGAGGCCATGCTGAGCTAGAACAGATATGAGATCAGACTTGAAGAACTGTCCTGGAGGGAGGGGAGGAAGAAGGGAAAGTGAGGCTTGCAAAAGGTGTCATTCTCCTACTTGATCCACAGATTAGATGACAAACTTCAAAAAAAATATGAAATAGCCATTCCTGGCATGCTCACCCTGCTGTATCTTGGGCCATTTTAAGGGTCGTAGCTCTGCTGACTGGGTGGTGACAATCTTAGTAGCAGGTCAATCAACTATTCACCATAGAAAAGCAGACCTAGAATAGAATGAAACTGGAGGTGCCCTTTGGAAACAGAATCTGATCTGTGAGGAGTCAAAACGGAAGATGTTTTTGAACTACCTATGAATATGGAAATAGTCTGGACTAAACCTTGGCTGTCCGTTGAGCATCTCACGGGGCTGTAAAAGGATCCAAGACACGTGCAGCATAAAGACCAGGAGACCCCAGAAAGAAAAAGTACAGCTTTTATTTTGTGTAGCAGAACACAAAACAAATCCAATTCTTTCACACTGTAGCCTGTGGAGTTAAAAAATAACAAAACGAGGGGCAGCATCACTGGTTTGAAGCGTTGGCAGGTTCCAAGGAAAACAAACCCTTTGGCTGCATGGCCTCCTAAGCTTGTAAGGTTTGCAAGAATCAGGCCATGACCGCAGTCCCTGCCCCATGAGCCACAGTCCAAAAGCAGGCCTTGGGTTTGCCTGATAGCAAGAAATGGGCGGCCAGGGCCCCCAACCTCCGGAGCTGAAGCAGCAGCTGCTTTGGCAAGGACTGTTCTGGGACAGGAAGAAGGTGAGGCTGGACCATCAGGGACCAGAACACCTCCCTACTTCATAGCGTTGTCCCTCATTCTGACACCGGGTGTGGGTCCAGTCCAAGAAATAATGGCAGCCAGGCAGCCATTCTGCCAGCCGCAGAAGCCCCTGGGATTAGCCAGCCTCCCATCAGCCCATGCCACGCCATGCAGTGCCATCCAGGGACACCGGGATAAAGATGTGTGAAGAGCTATCAACAGTTCATTAAGGAAGCCTCCTGGAAACGGTGTCCTAGTGAGCTGGAGGCACTGCAATTGCAACTGATGTGGGAAGAAGTTGGCAGAAGGCTACGGCTCCCAGCCCTGAACCCCCCAAGCCCAGGGAGTACCATGCCCATGCATCCAACTGGTACCTCAGGATCAAGGGGAAAAGAGCTCAAGGTCACACAATTCTTGTTTGTAGAATCAAAGCAACATGATATTTGTAGACCATCGAAGGGCCAACTCCAGGTCAGTTCTGATGACACTGGCCACCATCTGTTGGCCCCATAGTCAGTTTTGACCTTTCCCCAATCTCCTTTGGGGAGAAACAATGGTCGAGAGAAGGCAAAAAGGTCAAGGGATCCTGTGGATACTTGAACCCACCATCTCCTTGGTTGCAGGTATCTGCGGCTCAAGACACCAAGCTAGAGAGTTCAGAGGGGTATCTCAGGTCACACCAAAGTGAGACTGCAATCCAGCTGCAGGAGACATGTAGGGGCAGGGAGGGGCGGCAATAAGATTTGATGCTGTCCCAGAAGCACAAGGGCGATCCAGCACCATTGGGGAGGGCACCCTCCACTTTGATATGACCATAGAAAGCTGCCCTGGTGTCGGCCAGAAGCTATTGACCCACTAGGGCTTAGAGATCCCTGATTGCTGCTATTTCTTACTTTTTAGTGCTCCAAAAACATCTTGGAGAACTATTGTTAGTTATGCTTGTAACGAAAAGCCACCATTGCCACAGCTACTTCATGCCGTAGAATTCAATTATTTCAAGAAAGAAAGCACTGATTTAATACTGTTTGCTGGGATTGTCCTTTTGAAGAAAACTGATTACGGGCAACTTGTTTTTGCCATTTGTCTACAAGACCTTAATTGCCAAAGCAACGGGGAAGTGACCTGTTTCTTGCACCCAGAGCAAGAGAAGGCAGCCGGGCTCACTGTGGAGCCCCTTCTCTTGCTCTCAGTGAAGGAGAGCAGGCAGGAATGGAACAGACAGGGGTAAATGGCATGAAGCCCTCTCCTTGGCTAACAAGGTGAATGCGGGAATAAAACCGCCAGCTCTGACAGTTTTAGTGGCCTAGAAAATGTTAATCGCTTGTGGATTAAATCCTGGAAGGCATCAGGATTCTGACTCCATGTGATTCATTTGTCAACCGCCCCTTCTTCCCCTGGAGAAAGGCTGCAATCTGGAGGGGGAGCTTTGAAGGACAGGCCTTCCTTGCATCCCTGCCATGTGACCGAAACTATGTCCAGCGGAGAGAGAGAGGGAGGAGGTCTGGCTGACAGGAACCTGTAGGAAAGGGATGAAGCCAACCTGCCATATTGGAAGGCAGGACAGAAATGACGAGTCCAAGCCGCAGCCTGCAGAGTCTGTGCGCTTCGGCAGGATTTCTTGGGTGCTCCGGGAACAAGAGCATCTACCCTCGTTCCAAACACTCCATGCCCTCAGCTAGATGTCAGTTTTCCTACAATCTCCAGAAAAGCTGCAGGCTCTTCCTGGCTTCCCCTCCAAGGTTTCTACATGAGTTTACGTGCCTGGGACAAAAATACAATCCAGCCTGGCACCTCCTTGAACAAAAAAGAAAAACAACTTCCTGGGGCAAAGGCAGAAAGCTGTTCTCATTTACTGAAAAAAGACTTTAAAAAAAAGAGTCTGGATGTGCCCCTTGTGGTGCTTGTTGGGAGACAAAAGAGGGTCTCAATCTTAGAGTCAGACGTGGCAGAAGCACAAATGGAGGAGGAGGGGGAGGGCTGAACTGCTGCTGCTACTGTTCTCCTCCGTTGCTCGGCTGTTTCGGAGGCTCCTGAATCTTGTTGGTTTGTTCTAAGAAAGAAGAAGAGCTGGTCCCTGCTTGCATCTGCTTCACTGGAACCACCTCGGCTTTGGTGTCAGCCACTCCATCTTCATCTTCAAAGAAGAGCTTTGCCAAACAGGGCATCAGGTACAGGAGAACCTCCACTCCTCACCCGTCCACCGACAGCCCGACTGCCCAGCAGCAGCTGGAAACCTCAGTTACCACGATAAACGCTGATCTTGTTCATCTTCTCCAGGATGTCCACAATGTGGGCCTCAAAGTCTGCATCGTGCACTCCGGTTTTCCGGAACTCCCCAGCATAGCGGTTGTTCTCCCAGTAGTGGTGCCAGTTGCCATGGCCGTCTGCCCCGAATCCAAAGACGTTCACCTGCCAGTCGGGAAAGAGAGAGAGAGAAGACCCACTCAGTGGGGGAACTCCAGGCAACCTGGATGCCATCCCACGTTTTCTACTGAAATGAGCCCAAAATTTATGGGATTCAGAAAAGACTGATATTCTTTCCCTCAATGAACATTAGTTTCTACCCCACCCAGAACAAGAAAAAAATGTCTGACTTCACATAAAACAATAATCTGGAGGAATAATCTGTTCTACTGCTGGGGCTCCTTCTCTGGCACCCAAAAGTCAGCGCTATTTCTGTCTTCCTCTTGATTATTTGGCCAACACTCCCACTTTCAGCCTTTTTCCAAAGCAGGTTTTCAGTGGCATCCAAAGGATTCCCACTCACCACGCCAACACACACACACACACACACACATACAGGGTATCCAAGAATGACAACTCTTGAGTTCAAGCTTCATGGAGTCAGAAGAGACCTCAGAGATGATCAGGGCAATGCCAGATCCTTGACTAATGGCTGCTTGGCCTCTGCTTGAGTATGTCTCTCAGCTACTATCCTAGCTCTTCTTTCCTGTGGCTTTAGTGATCCATCCTGGTTCATTACCCCACCTTTTCTGCCCCTTCATCCAGATCCTTCACTGATACATGACCAGCCCAAAGCCCGAGACATCAGCTGAGTGTTCAGGGGATAGCCTACTCTTCTACTTTGCTTCCTGTTTCTGAGAACAACAGGCTACAACTCAGCCCCCTTTCTGCACATCCCATATCTGAGGAAGAAAATAGAACTAAAACTCTCAGTTTTCAAAATTCAAAATAGACGTATGTGCATCATTTAATCAGCAGGAATGCTGCTGTGACTCCCACTAGGACAACTTACTTGGCCTATCAAAACTGACCTCATCGCAAACATGTAGGGCGAAAAACAGCACCAACATGCCTGTGGAGGGATAGCGGCCATGGTGCTCTGTCCACCGGTCATGGATATATTTGAAGAATGCGGGATTGTAGATCTGAACCTAAAGGCAGTAAACCAAAGGAGTAGTCAAGATGAGGCTTTTTGCTCAGCAAGCCCAATTTCAGGTCTCTGGGTGACAATAGTTCACGGAGAAGCCCCGCAGAGATTCACAACTAAGACCTGGCCAGGCTTTCTGCAACCACCAAGTACTTTAAAACAAGGAAAAGCAAACATGACGGATTTACCATTCCCAGGGTCCATCCAGCCCAATCCTCTGCTGAACACAGGAGTACAAATTAAAGGCTAATTGGCAAAATCTGCCTGGGTGGCTAATCCGTCCTCCTTTCTATCTGCTGAAGGGATGCCGAGCCAATCAAGGGGCAGCTTGGGCAGGTTTTCTTCACTCGGGCACTGGGAAGCTCGGGGGGGGGGGTGTTGGTGCTCTATCATTATTTTGTGTGTTTTCTCATATAGTGTTTTCCTTCCCTTAATTTTGAGTAACCCTGGGGATACGGCACATCATGGCGAATATATAAATGTTGAAGGAAATCAGTAAATAACCTGTATCTAACTTACCCTCTCTTTGTCCACCCGGAGGAACGGCTTCACTGGTGCGTAAGTACTACAAGAGGCATGGGAGAGAACAAGCAAGGCATCAAGGGTCCTGTGGTGTGAAACCAAGAAGGCCACCTGCGCTCCTCCTGCTCCCGTCCAGGAGGGAAGGGCTGGGGGGGGGGAAGAGCAGCTGCCAGAGGTAACAGGTAGGGACGGAGCTGGAAGAACTGGGCCACTCCAGAAGTGAAACAGGCAAAGATGGCAGATGCCTCCCCCAGCCAGGATCAGCTGCTTCTGCCCCAGCACAGCAACAAGATACCTAACCCTCACCTACCCCTCAGGGCACAGTATGTAAAGGAGAATTTTACTCAGAGGGATTCCAAGAGTTTACCTAGAGATAAGATGGGCGGCCTATTCATCCATCACCATGGACTGAGGTATCATCAATATGCTGTTGATACCCAGCTGTACACGTCAACCCATGGTGGGTTAAGCGATGCCGTGAGTTCCCTGCCTCTCGCAGGGCCTGGAGGCTGTTGGGGCTGGATGGGGAGCAATGGGTTGAAACTGAACCCTGGCAAGGCTTGAGTGGCTCTGGGTTTGGGGTTCTTTGGCCCATGGAGAGTTGCCACCTTTGGTCTTGGATGGGGTGGCACTGCCCCAAACAGACCCTGTGCATAATCTGGGGATTCTTCTGGATCTGTGACTCCCGCTCGAAGAGCCAGTGGCAGTTGTGCCCAGGAGGGCCTTTGGGTCCTTCTGAAAGGCCACCAGGGTTGGCGCCATTGGAGTCCTGGGATGGACGTTGCTCATGGGGGCTCAGAGAAGGCACCACTTTGGGGTCTCATAAGAGACACAGAGCATGGCAATGGTATCGGATCTTGCAGGATGACAGCAACTGGAGATAGAGAACCCCCCTCTAATACTGCTCCTCTGCTGTGCAGGGCTTCCTGGGTGACCACCAGTACCATGAATTGCACCTGGAAGCCTGCAACACAGGGAATGGTAGCAGTACAGGGGAGTTCGGAAGTGTAGCTGCCTGTACTGCACATTCTGGGCCAGGTGTAGCTTCCGAGTCATCTTCACGGGCAGCCCTGCCTGGAAAGACATATTCCAAGCAGAGGCGACTAGGGCAGCATGAGGCATACGTACAGGGTAGCTGCCGCCATTTTGGCCACAGGCATCGAGTACCTCGGGTGGAATAAGTGCCAGCCAAGACAGCACCGTGGCAGCTACAGTAAATCAGATCCCCTTTGAAAAGGGGTGAAAAGGAGAGGGGTAGATCCTTCCCCCAAATAACCAGGTCCGCACTCCTCAAACTTCCCTCAGGGATACGTACAATCGGATCTGGCCTGTTGAGAGGGCGCTGGCGATCCATAGCAGGTCCAAGGCTTTGAAGGGCACTAGAACAAAACTGACATTGGCAGGCAAGTTCTTGGCACTCTCGGGGTACATGAAGTGGTGGGTTGTCCTGCTCCCAACATCTGCCTCAAAGCCCACTGTAGGTGCCTGATTTATTCTGTAGAAAGGAAAAGGATGTTTTACACCTTGATTCTTGAAGAAGGAATCTGCCTCCCCCACAAGACTGTCCATTTCTTCTGCCTACTCCTGAGTAAGCATAGGAAGCAGATTCTTTTTTGTCACCAAGATCATGGAGTGCACAGCAGTGATATAATACATTGCGCTAGAGGAATCAAGGTTGGAATTTTCCACCTTCCCATACTTGGAGAGGTTTGGCTATAAAATTTAGCTACGTATGTCCCAAAGGTGCTTTGTCAAAAGGCAACTGGACTTGTTTTTTTTTCTAAAACGTTTCGCCTCTCATCCAAGAAGCTTCTTCAGTGAACCCCAAAGGCTTCTTGGATGAAGAGGAAAAAAAAAAAACAGACCAGTTGCCTTTTGAAAAAGCACCTTTGGGACAACCATGAGAATCTCCATAGATATTTACCTACGTATGTTTTCCCCATGATTTCTTTAAAAAAAGGAACATGTCCCATTTTGGTGGTCAGTGTTAACCCTGAAATAACCTTATTTTAATTAAGTAATTTCTTGACAGGCTTATCTAAATTGTAGAGTTAGCAAATAGGGAGCCCCAAGGATGAGTTCTGGGTTCTCCAACATTATAATGGCTTGGATGAGGAACTGGAAGGGGAATGTTTATCACATCTTCAAATAATCTAAAATTGGGTGAGATACTTAATTTCTTAGAAACAGAAATGAAATTGATCCTGATGGCTGGAAAAATAAGTTAAAAGTCATTGACTGAAATTTAACAGAAACAAGCGCAAAGTCTGGTTGATGATAAGCTGAATGTTTCATGTTGAAACAAATTACACCACCAACAGAGGTTGAGGAGAACATCTAAAGGCTCCAAAGAGCTAGGAAAGAAAGCAAAAGTGTGTGAGGCACAGGAGATGCGGGTTCATCTATTCTTCCAACAGATGGACAGACATCGCCCAAGGCAGGAGGGGAGGATGCTGGGAATGGTGTGATCAAGGAACTTTGGTCTTCAGGAAAAATCTGTTTTATGATTTTCACTTATGGCTCTTGCTTGGCTTCTTGCTTCCTTTCTAGAAAAGGCAGATAGTTTATTTTCTGCTGGTTCCCTTCCTGAATCTCACGTATAAATGCAAGCTGGTGAATGCCACAACCCTGGATCCGATTCGTGGCATACTATTGAAGTTTGCAGGTGCTGTTAGGCAGATGTATGTAACAAATTGTACTGATCAGTTTGGTTCACAACTATGCTGCCTGCAGTCAGAACTGTACAGGAACAGCTATCATACATAGTGACCTATCTGGAGAATCAAAGCTGCTAAGACAGTTGGCCCCATCTAATTGAAGGCCACAAACATTTAACCATCCTGCTTGGCTTAGGATGAAACACTAAGAAAAATTTCTGAGGATCCAATTCTGTGCCTGTTTTGTTTGGATCAATATATTTTTAGACAAATTCACATTTAAGATTAGAGTGCAATTAAAGCAGCGGTAAATATCTCCCTTGCGCAGGTTGCTTGCTTGCAGCCCCTTGCCAGAGTTCCAGTTCCTCCTTTCCGCGCCTCCTCTCCCCCCCTTCGCTCCTCACCTCATGACAAAGTCGTGCCCGTTGATGTCTTGGCCGTAGCTGGAGCCGCGCAAGTTCCCGGAGTTGCCCACGACAGCACAGCGCCGGCAGAACGGAGATTCCCGGGACCTGTATGGATCCTCTCCGGGAACAATCTGGAAGAGCTTGCTCAGCACTTCGTGAAGGTTGTGGGACTTGAACTGGGGCTGCAGCATCTGTAGAAGAAGTGGGACCATTTGCAGCAGCTGAAAAGGTCTGGGGGGGCTTCTGAGAGAGAGGACAGGAGGGCTGAGCTTGAGTCATGAGCACTGATCACACTGCTGATTATTTTGGCAGAATAAACCTAGTGTAAAGCAGGGAAACCTAAAACACACAGAAGAGACTCATCTTTGGGGCACATCTCCACCTCAGTTGCAACGAAATGGTCTGCAGCCATTAAATGCTCATCAAAATCTTTCAGAGTCTCCTCTGTAAGAGATCCTCTTTAGATTATCAAAGTTCCCTTTGCTTGTTGGAGGGTAATCTGAGGAACTGAATAGCTCCACTGAATTGGGACAAGGCCCACCTGGTCCAGTGTCTTCTTTTTGCAACAGCCAACCAGATGCTTCTGGGGGCAGCTCACTAGCAGCAGCCCGAGACGACCTCTTTTCCATCCACTGACCGTCCTCCCCCGCCCGCCCCATACCTGGCATCTGGAGGCAATGCTGCCCCATCTGAGGTAACACTGAGTCTCAAAGATCTTTCAAAGACCCTTTTTCAGTTTTAATGTTTGCCAGATAGCCACCATTATATCACCAACATTGCTTTGTGATATTTGTTCTTGTTGCATTACTGTTAACAATGACTGACTGAATTTAGCTATAACAGGCATGGATTTGCTGTGAAGCGCTCTCAGCTCAGCCCCAGGAATATTAGATGAATATGGGCTGCAATACTTCAAGAAGCTTCCGCTTCCCTGGATCAAGAAAAGCAGCACCCCTCTAGTGCCTCGTCAAAGCTGGGGTACGCCAGATATCCTAGGAAATTCTCCTCTGGGATAGTGAGGTTGGCCCCAGACCCAGGACCAGATGGGCATCTAAGGGCCCATAGAAGTAGGAGCAGGACAGGTGGACAAGGATTGCCCTCTTCTGGCAGAGAAAGAGGAGAGCCAAGTTTCACCCAATCGGCATCCCAAAGTCCAATGGATCCTTTCCCTCTTTTGCCCCTACGGAGGCCCCAGAGACGGCCGCTAAGAGGAGCCTCCCCTTGGAGGCCCACCAGAGTTCTGCACCTGGGCAGCATATCCATATTAAGAGGCAGCGCTAGAAAGAGACAGCTGTGCGTGTTTGTGTGCAGGAGCTGAGCAGCTGCTTCTGTTTGGGCAAAGAGCCAACAGGACTCACCATCCACCACCTCTGGACGTCCAACGGCAAGTCCACGTTCTCTTTGGTCCACACTGGGGAGATGTTGCCATCAAAGCGGCTGTCGAACCATGCGGTGTCACTGGACTCCATGGTGCACCGGTGGCAGGCACAGCTCTTCACCAAGAGCCCCTCCTTGCTCAGGCGCTGCATGCCAGCGTAACTGGGCACCAGCTTCACCCGGTGGAGTCCGTTTAGTCCACCGAGGTCCAGGTATGCTATGCTGTGGTGGGAATAGGTGAAGAGCAGTGACATGATGAAGACAAGCAGGAACGCCGTGGAGAGGAACCAGAAACGCAAGGAAAACTTCATGGCGGACTCTGAGGAGAAGGCCCCCTCCACACAGCTGCAGCCAATGGAAAAGGGGAGGGGGGAGCAGGGCTGGTCAAGAGTTGGACTCCACTGGACTACTCCTTCTGAGCCATGAAAGTCCCACAGACCAGCCCAGAGATGGTCTTCCGGCACTGAAGCACACAAAACGAGAACCTCCACCTTCGGGAACCCGACCTTTAACTGCAGAAGAAAAACTCACAGGGCCTCCTTGCCGTCTGAGTTCTCATGTTTTGAAAATGTCTCTGTCCAGAGAAGACCTTTTTCTCTTGGAGACTGCCGTGACCCCAGGAGGAATTGGGGGCCTCTCTGCCTCTTCTTCCTAGCTTCAGAATGCTGGGCCTCGTGCAGAGGGAGAGAGAGCAGCTGCTATCAGAGCCACACCGACATTCTCGGGCTTAAGAAGCCGCCTCCTTGAGGCCCCCAGCCAGGATGCTGAGAGCTGCTGCCCCTCCCCATGGGTGCGCCTCGCCTCCGAGGAGGCCCTCTGCTTCCCGGGGCTGATGAGAGGGCAGTGTATCTGCAGCGCTGCCACGGAGCAAGGTCTCCTGGCTGGACTGGGCTCTCCCAGCACCTTTGGTCCGCAGCAACCACCCCTGGGTAGCCCAGGTAATGCCCAGTCAGCGCAGCAGCATCTCCCTTCGTGTGGCATCTGTCAGACATGGAGCTGCAGTATGGCTCTTCCTTGTGCTGCTCTCTGTGCCCGCAACTTTTCAATATACTTCTGGCAAGTGCTCAACCAAAATCTGAACCTGGGGAGGGGGGGAAAAGAGCAAGAGTGAGAAAGGTTGTGATTACACAATGAAACAGGCAAGAAGTCAAACCACACCAGCTCAGGGCCCCAAAAGGTGTGAGAAGAGCAGCAAGAGCCAACTGCACCTCCCCCCCCCCAAGGGCCCTGCCTCAGAAACCCCCAGCATCCTCTCTTTTTCCCTTGGAAGCACCCGAGAGGCAGCTGCCAGTCCACCCCTGGCCGTACACAGAAGATGCGCTGCTGCAATGCCTCAAGGAGAAGCGCCTCTTATTTTCAGGATAAACAGATCAGAAGGCATCACGGCCAGCCCTGCAGTTTGCAGGTCTCCAGCCAAACCCATACGGGCAGATTTCCCTAATGGAATCAGTCTCTGCGAGAAAAATGCATGCAATATTTTGAAATTCCAAATATTAAATCATTCCTCAAAATGTCAGATGCCTCTGGGAAAGCATCACCTGTTTCGCTTCTTCATCAGTGCTGACTGGATGGTGGGGGGATGCTCCCTTGGTCAGGGCGGTGGCTGCAAAAGCACCTGGGCTCTCCCAGCAGAACGGGGGGGGGGGCTGTGATGGCCCTTCCCACCTGGCCCTTTCTGGGACGGTGTAAAGGCTGGAGATGGGGAGCGCTTCTTAGGCCAGATAGAAAACGGAGGGCCCACAGCACGTTGCCTCCAAAGGACAGGAGAGAAAAGCCTAAAATTTAAGCTTATCTCAAATCCTCTCTTCTGCATTAGGGAGGCTGTCCGCATGTTCAAATCTCACCGGCTCAAGGTTGACTCAGCCTTCCATCCTTCCGGGGTAGGTAAAATGAGGACCCAGATTGTTGGGGGCAATGTAAATATATATATACATTGCTTACTGGTGTACACCGCTTAGAGAGTGCTTGCACTTAAAGCGGTATATAAGTCTCATAAAATAAATAAATAAATAAATAAATAAATAAATAAATGGCTAATTCTCAATTTACAACCACAACTGAGCCCAGAATTTATGTTGCTAAGTGAAAGATTTGTTGAGTTTTGCTCCATTTTACAAGTTTTCTTGCCACATTTGCCAAGTGAATCACTGCAATTGTTAAGTCAGTAACAGTCGTTAATTCTCCTTCTGACTCCTTTAGTTTATGAAGATGCTGAAGAGTGCTGGGCCAAAGAGAGAGGTAGCCCACAGCACGCTTCTCTCCATGTAGCTATAGTTGCACTGAGGGCCACACACTGAGTTGTGCTCCTTAATGCCAAGAAAATCTTGTGATTCTATCACAGTTATAAATATAAGAGAATCCTGTGATTCTATGATCTGGAAGTGTTACTTCTCCTGAGTGGTAGCTGAAATCTGTCCCCCCTTACAGTTTTCTTGGTTAAAGGTTCCTTTCTACCTTTCTGGTTAAGGGTGGGGTCAAGGTTCCCACTGCTTCCTCCTCCTCCCCCTCAACAAAGCTCAAATCCAGCCGGCGGATTCTCCCGGGCCTCTCTGCCATTTGGCAGGATTCTGGCCTCACTGAGGCAAGCGCTGAGCTGGAGCCTTGTGCTTGGGCCGACTCGTCTCGCCGCAGACCTTTGGGTCACTGAAACTGCCCACCCTAAACCCCTCTCGGCTTTGAGGGCTCCATTAACATTTTCTCCTCTTCTGATTGTTTGATGGCCAAGAAAAACTCCCCTGGGCTGCTGGCCTTTTAGAGGAGGTGCTCCCCCCCCCCGCCGCGTTGCCTCCAGACGACAGGCAGGCCCCTTCCTGCCATGGGATGCACTGGCCCTCCTCAACCCACAGGATGGTCTGCAGATACATCTGGAGGCTCCAGGCCTCTTTCAGAACCCGCCAAGAGCAAAAAGGCCCCTGTAAGCCCCCCCAGATCCGAGCCTGTCCTCTTGCTACACGCCTCATTTGGACCAGCCTGGGCGAAAGACTCCACACCAGCAGCAGAGGGTTGCTGGGCACAGCTGAGGGTTGAGAAGAAAGAGCAAGCAGAAAACCTGCACGGGAGTCAAGACAATCCCTCTGAGGCTCCAGATTTCCCTCCAGCAGGTCTGGAGGAACTTCCCTGCATGTCAGACCGGCTGATTTATCCAATTAATAGGGCTGCAGCCTCTCAGCCAGCATCCGTTTAATTAACTGCCCGCAGAAAAAAGGCACAAAAGGGCCTTTCTTCCTGGCCAGCTGTGCGGAAGCCGAGAGCCAAGGCCTTGCTCCACCCGACTCTGACAGACCGTGGAGGGGACTCTGCCAAGGGGCAGCAAGGCAACCCGTTCCCAGGCACATTTGCGGCCTGCAGTTCTGGAGAACCAGCACATCAACCCTCTTCCCATATTCTCCTGCTCCAAGCTGGGGTCTCCTCCTCCCTGGTTTGGCCCTTTCAAGCCCCCTCTAGACCCTGCCTGGGAGTCCCGCTGCAATCTTCTCGAGCCCAGGGCTGGGACATGCCCAAAGCGAATGCAAGCATCCGTCCCAGAGAGGATACATACTATCAAGCACATGCTGCATCAATGGCTGGATTCACACAGTACACTAAGCTGGGCTTGAAAGATCAAGGGATGTTAGCCCCTGAATTCCCCAGACAGCTTGCAACCCTCTCAGTCATGCTGTTGCTACATTTCAGGAAAAGCAACTTTATACGAAAACAAGGAATAATAAGCCAAAGGAGTTAAAGTCAAGAGGTTAAAAAAGAAAAGAAATTCCACCTAAAACTAATCAACATTCAGCTCCTGCACTGCAAGGGGTTCTTCCTTAAACCACATTCACTTGCCCCCCCTCCCAGCATCTATGTTTCTTGAAATGCTCCCAATTTTGCATGCAGATAAAATATTTATTAAATTGTACCAATTTAATTAATAAATAATAACCATTCATTCCGTGCCAAAGACCACAAACTACCCTAGTAAGTATTTTAAAATTTGTATGCCCATTTTCTCATCTTCACAGAGGGATACAAATTTATTTCTTAGTTTTTCTCCATTTATAGTGAATTGTGTTATATTTTCCCTATCAAGCACACATTCTGTAGTCTTGTCAAATTAATTTTCTGATTTGAGCTGCTTAATGTCATATTTCACGAGCATCCAAGTCACATTTATGTATATCACAAACCCTGACAGGCATACACCTGCCCAAATGTTCATTATCGCCTCTTGGACCCTTTGCATCCGCATTTTGCCTTTCCCATCAACATTTAACAAGCTAAATTGTACTTATACTTGATGCGTGATAACTATCCATTTGTGCAGTGTCACAATTACACCATTCTCCCAACAAAACAGATCCAGCCTTCACACGCAGGCTAAACAAGACACACCGCTACTCCACCAGCCAGCCAAACGCACCCACGGCCCTTTCTGCCGGCGCCCCGTCTACATCCGCAGCTCCAAAATCTTCGGTATTCCCTGCCCCACACAGCAGCCTTTTCTTCCTTTCCTCCCCGCGGGGGGGGGGCGGCGGCACCGCTTTCAATCCTATTCTGGGGCACATCACCATTAGGCCCTTCCCACCTTGGAAGTCTATTGCCAGCACTTGGCCCCATCATCTGGCGGCAGCCGCCTCCTCCTCTCGGCTCCCTTCAGCCACGGCACAAAAGGGAAGCGCAGCAACTCCCTGCGCCTCGCCGCCGGCGCAGAGCCAGCCGCCCGCCCCTTCCACGGGGGCTCCGAGGCCGGGCCAGGCGTGCGGGGCTGCGGGAAAGAGGCTCCGGCGGCGCGGCCGAGAGACCCAGCGGGAGCCTCCCTCCCTCGCAAGCGCCACCGCCCGGCCCCTCGACTGGGGGCCGGCGGAGCAGCCCCCCCCCCACCGCCGCGCCTAGCCCGGCCGCGCCACGGTTTCGCGGATCTCGTCTCCTGCTGGCCCGCCTCAGCGGCCGCGGCCAAAGGCGCAAGAGGCAGCGGCGCCCCCGAAGCCTCCCCGGCCTTCCTGCGCCGGCTGCAGCTACGGCTCGCGAGCCCTGCGGGGCTGCGGGCGCTCGGCGGGGAGCGGAGAAGGCACGCGGCGCGCCCCGCCCCCCCCGGCAGCTCTCCCGCGAAGGCAGCGCGCGCTCCGCTCCCCCCGCTCACCGGAGATCCGCCGCCGACAGGCGAGGGCGAGGAGCTGCCGTCCGCCGGGGCCGGGCGCGGCGCGAGCCCGGATGCAGGCGAGGCCGCCGGGCGGGGGTCTTCCGCTTCCTGCATCGGGGTCAACGGGCGGGGGCCGGGCTGTTCTGCCTCCGCCGTCCTGACGCCGGCCGAGGGAAGGGACGGGGCCTGGCCGCCCGGCCTCGCTCTCCCCGCCCCGCGCGGGCTCCCCGTCCAACCTGCGCAGCGAGGGAAGCGCGAGCCCGCGGCGGGCGCTCGGCGGCAGGAGCTCCGCCCGGCGCGGCCCACCCGGTGCCGGCGGGTGCATCCGGGCGGCCTTGGCGCGCGGCCCGTTGGACTCCCGAGTCCGAGAGCGCAGCTCCCGCAGCCGCTGCTCTGGCAAGGCAGCCGCTTGGCCGGTCCCCCCGAGCGCGGCCCTGACGGGGGTTTGGCGTGGCGCGTGAGTCTGGCTGGGGAAGCCCCTCCTCGGGCGGCCTTTCTTCTCGGGCGGGGGCGCCCCCTAAATCTAACCCTGCCAGGGTGAAGCCGCGGCGAGGCCGGCCTTTGCTGGACGCGGCCAGGCTGAGTCTGTCTTTGGGGGCTCCCCCGGCGCCTCTCTCAAGCAGGCCAAGTTCACCCCTTGCAGACAAACCACGATGTCCCTTAAACCACGGTTGAGTTCGGTTGGGTCTAGCACCTGGGCCCGGCTCAGCCCAGCCTCATGGGCGGGCCACCGGGTGTCCGGTGGTGCCTCCTCCGGGCTCCCTCTCGGGCAAGCTGTGTGGGGCGACCCTGGGCCGAACTGGGCGGAGGACTTAGTGGACGCCGCTTCCGTTCCCCCGGCGGCGGCGCCCGATGCAGCCGGACCAGGCTGGGTATGCAGCGGCTCGTCCTGCCCCGCCAGCCCTCCTGCCTCTCGCTGGGGACGCGGCGTCGGGGAAACAAGACGTGAAGCCGCCGCCCGGGCGTGTTTCCACCTCTCCGCCCGACTCGCCGCGTTAACCTTCGGAGCGACCCGAGGGCGGACGGAGAAGTTTCTCCCCGCCGCCGGCTCCCCGCCCCCGGTCGCCTGGCTAGGCCAGGGGCAGAGGGGGGCCGTGCCGCGGGTTCCCGGGAGACGGACCCACTCCAGCCCGCCCTTTCCAGCGACTCCGCCTCGGGGCGGCGGACTGCATTTCCCGGCCTGCCCCGCGCCTTAAAGGGCCAGGTCGAGGCCGCTGGACTTGGCCAGGCCCCTCTGAACCTCGTCGCCGCTCCTGGCTAGGCGGCCCTGCCGGCGGGATGGCTGCGGCCTGGTCGGTGGTGGTCTTGACCTGCCAGCACCGGGACAGCGCCTTCGCCTTCCAGAGAGGTGAGACCCGAGCGCCGCCGAGGAAGGGAAGGCGGGCCGGCCGCTTTCGGGGAGAAGAAGACCCCCCCGGTCCGGCAGTGCTCCGGGGCTTCTGGGTTCCCGGCTCGCCCGAATCTGGTCTGGGGCGAGCAGCGGCCGGCCACGTTGGAGGCTGGTAAAAAGGCAGAGCGGCCGTACGGAGCTCCGCGGTTTCTCGTTTAACCAGCCACCCGGCTGCTCAGCGGGGGAAAGCAGCCTCGCCCAAAGATGGAGCGCCTCCGGGCAAGAAATACGTTTGGGAGGAGAAGGTGGCTGAGGTAAAGGTAGGAAAGGCGCCCAGGACATTCCCCGAGGTCCCGGCGCAGCAGCAGCCTCCTCCCTTGAACCGCTGGAAGGAGGGCCCGAGCAGGCCAAAGGGGCAAAAGGTTGGAAGGGCTCCAGTGAGACTGCAGCTCACGGTGGGGTCCAGGAAGCCTTTTCACCACTCCTGCCTTCGGGAGATGCCCTGGTGGCAACTCGGCTAGAGCTTCCTGGTCCTGCCCAGACTGTGCTGGGACTGGGTGACCCTTTGTTGGCCTTCCAGAGCTGGAGATCCGCCGAGACAGAGGCTCCCTGGGCCAAGAGACCATCCTCCTCACTGTGGAAGACCCCAAAGCCCAGGTGGGCAGTGGAGGGGCCACCCTCAATGCTCTCTTGGTTGCGGCAGAACACCTGAGTGCTCGGGCCGGTTATACGGTGAGCAGCCCAACATCTCCCTCACCCCCAGCTCGCCTGCCCTCTTAGCTCCTGCTTTTGCTTAGCTGGGCCTCTAACAGGTCAGCAAAACCTGCCTTCTGCACAGCAGCCCTGACTGGACTTCTTCCACCGTGGGCTGTTTGTGAGAACCCCACCCCCACCATCCCTGGAACCTCAGTTTGGGGTGGGAGCTGCCTCTGGCCCAGGTGGGCATCTGCGTTGCTCGGAGGGTGGAAGCAGAAAGGCCCCGCCGGATGCTCTGGGGAGCCTGAGCTGAGGTACCCATGCTGTGCCTGGCGTTAAGCAGCCCGTTCTTCAGTCTGTTGCTGTACTCCCCTGCAGGAGCGTTGTCCCCTGGTCTTGGTATGGAGCTGGGGTGGAGACAGAGCCATCTGGCGCTCTGTTCCAGTAAGGTTGCAGCTGCTCCCTAAGGTCTCCGGGTAGGGCCTGTCTCTCCCTTCCAGAGCACATCCGGATCTCTCCTCTCTGCTGCTCCAGGTGGTCACTGCTGATGTCTTGCAAGAGGCCAGGATTCTTGTCTTGCACATGGTGAGCAGAGAATCTGTTTCTGCTTTGCTGGATTTTGCATTTGTGGGACCTCCGCCTGCCCTGTCTGGGACAAGAGAAGTTCCTTGCTCCCACTGGAGAATGGGGGAGCATGCAGTAGCTTCCGGGAGGGGGGGAATCCCTCAGGCAGCTTATTTTGCCTTGGGTCTCTGGTCAGGCCATAGGAGACCCCGCCCCAAACATATTGGAGAATCGGAAGCCGGTCAGTCCAGAAAAGGAGCAAAGGGTCAGATCATAGCATAATGGTAGCCATTAAGACCAAGACTGGCGTGGACCCCCCACCACATACACAGAGGCAGCTGGCCCCCCTGGCCCAGCTGCTTCTGCTACTCCTCAAGGGTTGACCGGCTGTTGAGTAGACTTGCAGCTCCCAGCAACTTTGTCCTTGCAGCCAAGGGGGCTCTCTCCCCCATTGTCTGTATGTGGGGCTGAGGGACTGACCGAGCCTGTGGGTTCCTAGGCTTGCTCCCTCCCAGTGAAGACATCCAATGACATGTTCCCCTCCTGCCAGGGCCGGGACTTTCTGTTTGACGACTGCAGCCGCGCATTTCTCTGCCTCCCCCTCGAAGACCTTGCGGCCCCCACCGAGGCACTCACCTGCCATTTGGACAGGCTTCTGGCCACCTTGACAGAGCGGGTGAGTGAGCGGGGGGAGATGTCCCACTGCTGCAGAGTAGGTGGCAATATAAAGTTTTCAAATAAATAAACAGGACAATTGAATCAGCCGCTTGATCGGCTCCATTTCCATTCGTGGTCCAGGCCTGCTGACAAAACCCCATTCTTTTTCATAAAAATGGCAGGGTGGAGGCAGAAGCACCTTTCTTCCATTACTGGGCTCCTCCCATGGGGCCCGGGGGAAGGCATGCCCAGGCTCCTCTCTCTCGCCCAGGGCAATGTAGATGGGCCCCAGAAGCGAGCCTCCTCTGTTGCAGCACCTCCCCTACAGAACGGCGTTCCTCTCTCTGGAATGCCGATGGTCCTGCTCTTCCAAAGGGCTTTGGGTTTGGGGATGGAGTGGGCCCGTTTGGTGTGATGATGGCTTCCTGATCTTTTAACTCATTTTAATGGTTATTGTGGTCACTTCATTGACCATTTGCAGGTCAGAGTTCCATGCCGGTTGGGCAGACATATTCATCTAGATAATCAGTAAATAGCTAGAAAAGCATCAACCACGTTAAGCAGCTCTGAATGTCTCAGGATAATCTGGGCAAGGAGAGACACCTTGCCCAGTTTTGGGGCGCAACTGGATCCACCTCACCTTTTGAAGGCTTCCAGGGCAGCTGCCCAGTTGCTCGTGCTCACTTCCTTCTTGCGTATTTGCAGGTCTGCAAGGGTTCTCCCCCAGGCGTGTGGGTCTCCAGCACCGATATGTTTCTGACTGTCCCTGCCATGCCGGGTGAGTCTGCTTGCAGGGCAGGGGGTGACCCTCAAACCCACGGAACCCTCTTCTGTGGAGGGGGTGAATGTGCCAGCGAGCCCCTCACTCCTGCCTTACCTGTTGTGTGCCTTCGTCACAGAGGCAAGAGTGGGAGGGGCCGCTGGGAGAGGGAAGGGCCTCTGTGCTGGGCCTCCTGGCCTTGGAAGGGCTGGCGTTGGGCCCCTGATTCCTGCTGAGAGGATCGCTGAGGCTTGACAGCTCTCGGAGGGAGGGCTGGCTGGCTCCTTGATGAAACCCGTTTCACCCTGCAGAAATCGACTGGCAGAGCTTCCAGGGGGTGAAAGTGGTTGCGGTGCCCGCCAGCGTCTCCTATGCCAGGCAACATGGCATCTACTCTGTGGACTCTCAGGTGCCCCCCAGGGAGATTGCTTATGTGGGCGGGGGCCCCTTCCTGTGCCTCATAATCTCCAACACAGAGGCTTCTCTTCGGCTTTCTCCATGAAGTTTGCTCTCTCTAAAATGTCACCTCTCGCCAAAGGAGGCTAACAAGAGTATGTCATAAAGTTAAACCAAAATAACGAAGGACCTGAAAAATCCCCAATTCTGTGCTAGGGATTTGGCCAAATCGAGGATAACAAAAACATGGTTTTGGAGGCTCTGTCTGCGGGCAAAAGCCGAGTCTAAGTAACAACTGGATTTTATCATGAGATAAGCAAAGAGATCACAGCCTCCAGATAAGCATCCCAGCCCCGACAAGGAGACCCAGGGTGGTTCTGGCCTTCCTATTCTCCCGGCAAGCAGTCTGGAGTCCAGGCTAGCCGAGAGGCTCCTGTGGGGCACGAAGGGACAGCTCGGGGTGCCCTTGCTCAGGCTGCCTGGAAAAGGAAACAGCTGTTCTGTCTGGCCACCCAGATGTTGCTGGCTGGGCGACAGGTTCATGCAGGGATGTTTCTAGTCCCAAGGAGGAGAGGGCATAGGGT